CCGACGACTCGGAGCTCAGCATTACGGACGACAAGATCATCTACAGCCAAAAGGAGATGAATCAGCTGTTGGATACGATCGATGATGGCAACAAAGGTACTGGTGGCATCAAGCTACGATGCACTGCCTGGGGCTTGCTGGGTTTCATCAAGTTCACTGGACCGTACTACATGCTCCTAATCACGAAAAAGAGCACAGTAGCCATGATTGGGGGGCATTATATCTACCAAGTCGATGGTACAGAGCTTGTGCCGCTGACGCCCAATCGATTCAAGGCCGATGTTCGCAACACCGAAGAGTCCCGGTTCTTGGGCATACTGAACAACCTGGATCTTACCAGGTCGTTCTATTACAGCTATTCGTACGATATTACACGCACACTGCAGCACAATCTGACGAGGGAGCGCGAAGCGCTTGCGCGTGGGCTTCCAGGGACCATGGATGACTTCAATGGCATGTTTGTGTGGAACAGCCACCTGCTGCAGCCGGCCATGAAAGCACTCAAGGACCCCTTCGACTGGTGCCACCCCATCATCCATGGCTATATTGACCAAGCTGGTGAGTACTGGCAGATGACACTAATGAGTCAACTGGGCATCTACCTGACTGCGTTTCATAGCCTTATCGATCTACGGGCGCACTGCGTATATCACCATCATTGCTCGGCGATCTCGTTTCTTTGCTGGTGCAAGGTTTCTCAAACGAGGGGCCAACGACCTCGTGAGTTTGCCCAACTAGCATGCAAGAAACAATGCGGCTGACACTTTGCGAACAGGGTTACGTTGCAAATGATGTTGAGACGGAGCAAGTAGTCTCAGAAGCCTTGACAACTTCGTTCCATGCCCCAGGACACAGGCTATTCTCCAGCCCGCAGTACACTTCCTACGTTCAGCACCGGGGAAGCATTCCTCTGTACTGGACACAGGATAACACGGGCGTGACACCAAAACCCCCCATCGAGTTAAATCTCGTCGATCCATTCTACAGTGCTGCCGCTCTTCATTTCGATAACCTTTTCGAACGCTACGGCGCTCCCATTTACGTGCTGAATCTCGTCAAAGCGAGGGAACGGACGCCGCGGGAATCCAAACTGCTGCTGGAGTATACAAACGCAATCAACTACCTGAACCAGTTTTTACCAGAAGGTCGCAAAATCATCCACAAGGCGTGGGACATGAGCCGAGCGGCGAAGAGTCGTGACCAGGACGTTATAGGTACACTGGAGCGCATTGCCGAGGATGTCGTCACCACGACTGGATTCTTCCATGATGGCGACGGCAAGGTGTACCCAACCAGCGTCCAAAACGGCGTGGCCCGAACCAACTGTATAGACTGTCTTGACCGAACCAACGCCGCCCAATTCGTCATTGGGAAGAGGGCCCTAGGCCATCAGCTTCATGCACTTGGTATTCTCGAAGACACCTCCATCAACTATGACACAGACGCCGTTAATCTCTTCACTCACATGTATCACGATCACGGTGACACTATTGCTGTGCAATATGGTGGCTCCCAGCTTGTCAATACCATGGAGACATACCGCAAGATCAACCAGTGGACGAGCCATTCTCGCGACATGATCGAGAGCTTCAAGAGGTATTACAACAACTCTTTCCTGGATGGGCAGCGCCAAGAGGCGTACAACCTCTTCCTCGGCAACTACATATTTGCTCAAGGGCAGCCAATGCTATGGGATCTTGCGACCGACTACTACCTTCATCATGCGGACCCGCGAGCTTGGTCCGAAAAGACGAAGCGAAACTACATCAATTGGTATACTGCGGACAACTTGCAGGAAAGAAGTTTACCGCCTTATACGCCACCCCCAGGCGAAGCAAAGAACAAGCCAGTATCTCACTTTGATGATTACTGGGTTGAATACTATCGCCCATCCACACTCTCGTCATTTCTGAAAATGTTTCCCTATAAAATGAACTCAACCATCAAGTACATACCCTTCAAATCCACGCAAGATGGACGGTATGACCTGAGTCCTTTCCGGGTTCGCAACGAGGCGGATATGGACGCCCACGAGAAGAAGAAGCCCAAAAAAGAGGTGACAATCGTCGATCCGCAAGACTTGAAGTCCCCTCGAGACATTGACGCTGCATCGGCCATGTCGGACCGTACTGCAGGTGGAAAGGGGATTTCCATCCACCGCTGGCTTCAGCCAATGCAGGACAGAGTGACTGGGCACCATGGAATTATGAAAGAGACCCATGCAGAACCACAAGATCCGTCGAAGATCAAGCCCACAGCCCAGGAAAAGACTAAAGCGGCTCAATGGACCTTCACGAAGGCTGTTAGTGAGTCCCTCAATCCATCTGTCAGCCAACAAGAGGCGGAGGACTATGAGCGGTACATCAGCCACCCTCAAAACCTGCCGCTGGTAGTGTCTGCCGAAACGATCCAGGCAGAAAACCAATCCGAGTACCAGCACTATGTCCAGAGCAGTGAGCAAAGCGACGCGATAACGCCTGTCGGCACTGAGGAGGATATCGCTGTATACGCGGAGCTTCTCAAGGTTGGCAGCAATCCTCTTACCGTCACCGAGGAGGATGCTCAGAAGAAGCGATACAAGGCCTATAGGAAATGGCTTCGTGGCAAGTCGTTTTTCAAACAGCAGCCACTTGATTGAGGTCACCTCCGCTATTCCCTCCACCTGCCGCCACTGCCCCATCCTCCTGGTCTCCAAACAAGTCTTCGAGCCTAGGCTCCGCAGCTAGCAATGCCGACATGTGAGGCTTTAAGGGCAGATCGGCCGCTGCAAAGATCGCGCGTAAGATAGGTGCAAGTTTGGAGACTTCAGCTAAAGCCTCTTTGGTCGCTGCATTCCCAGGCCCGTTCCTTTGCTCAGCGAGCATGTTCAACCAGCAAACGCTGATGGATCTGAGGACTTCGCCTGCATGTGTCCCGTCTGGAATTCTCGGCCAGCAGTTCACCAGTATGGCACCGAATGCCTGCGCAGCCGCTTGTATGCTGCGCGGATGAGAAGCGAGAAAGGGGTCCGTCATGATTGCAGAAACCGTGGACAGGAGTTCCTATGGAAGAGTTAGCAGTCTAGGCACCACGCTGGAGACATGTGGAGTTACCTTCAAATGTGCTGTGGCAAGAAAGCCGAGTTCGTTGACGATAGAGGTCGTTTGTCGAGCAAGTAATTCAACAATTCCAATATAGTCGGACGCTTGCCAGTAGCCCATAAAAACTCCTTCCCTGAGTAAACGAGTAAGAAGTCCTTTCTTTTTGTCTCTGTCCCCCTCCCCAGGAAACTGAATTTTAGCAAGCTGGATGATTGCACTATATGCCGGATCAAGTAGCAAAAGGGACTCTTTCTCAGGCGTCAGAGTTGGCAAGGATAGTAAGGTGGGGAAGACGGATTGCTCAAAAATGTCACCCAGGCCGGTTTGGACGAGGACCTTCCCTGGGCATTTGACGAGAAAGTCGCCTAGAACAGCCAGGCCCCTTGCTTTATATTCTGTGTCGGGGTCGTCTAGGAGAGCGAGGAGAACTGGAGTGAACAAGGGCCAATTTTTTTCGACAAGTGCATCCTGTAGATTAATGGTTAGCCGGCCATTCCAGCATCATGACTACTTGAGATCGGAATTGACCAACATGGGATTGTTCCACAGCCCAGGAAAACACCGTAATGGCATGAGGTTGAGTGGTTTTCCAAGATTTCGCGTCCTCGGTATCAGCGGAAGCGCCAGGAGTAAAGCGGTCCTGACTGTCGTCGGCGAAATGAGCTTTTCTGCCGGTGGAAGTGATACGACTAGAGCTTGCCCGAGAAAAGATGGGTCGAATAAAGCCCTCCAACACTACCGAGGTGATGAACGTCTGCTTTTGAACATCGTTCAATGAACGCTTCAGGATCTCTCTAGCAGAAAGCTCTGCATTGACGGTCGTCCAGGTTCTCTTGCGGTCGGTGTATGTAGCGATAACAATGAGATCTTGGTCGGCAAGCGGTGGAGAAAATCTGACGACAAGACTTCTCAAGACATCTAACGCCTGCTCGGCTAGAGCTGGGTCAGTATTCAACAGCGGGCCAGAAGAGCTGCTCAGTAATCCAAGTGCATGGCTAGATAGCTGTGCGATAGACTCGTGATCTTGAGGCCCTTGGTCGATGCGTTCGGCATTTCCGAGACAGAGTGAAAGAGCGCTGAGAGTGGATATTGGTGGCTGCCGGTGGTGTTAATGAGTAACAGTGTAAGACGAATTAGATGGACTAGTAGGCCGAACCCACAAAATGCTCGACCTCCGATAAGTCTCGTGCGAGGTCTGTGAGAGTGTATCGTTCTGGTAGGTCTGTGGCTCCTGTCAGCTTCCAAGCTCTAATGAAGCACTGCTTTGATCGCCGGGAAAATGCGGACCTCTATCAATGTTGAACTCAAGAGAGCTGGACGTAGCTCGATGCAGGGCTTCAACTACGTCGGAGAGCATAGCGGGCAACGTTGAGACCAAATGAACGTGGACGATTGAGGTCGGACAGAGCCCTTGATGCAGGTGTCTTTACTTGTCTGCAGGTCGTATGACAGGCTCCTTTCTGGGCAAGTTGGGAACACGGATGACATGAGAAGTCTGACCTCTTCGCCTGCCTACATAAAGTAGATGGTTAACCATTGATGGAAGCAAGTAGCAGCAGGATTGAGCGGGCACAGTGAGAGTGAAATCAGTGCGTGCAGCCTTCGGAGGGCGAATCGTAAAGACTTGTACAGTACATGTGTAGTGTTATAAACTGTGTGGCGCTGTGCAGGCTTCTCCGACATTCTCTCCTCGAGTACAGGCAGACCGGTAATGAAGGACCGCCACGTTGAAGACGTCAGGAATATACAGAAAAAATGCCTTCTTAGACAGAGAGATGTCACAGGAAACTCGATGGCATTTCCCTCACAGCTTCAACAAGCAAGTGGTCTTCGGGTATTTCAAGCCGGCCCCCTCAGGCAATAATATTGCCTTCACCGGCACAACCCCTCCTCCCCGTTACTCCTTTGTCAAGTAGAATCTGCACCTAGCACTGCCCGAGGCAATCGAAGTCTTAGCTCGTTACATAGTGCAAAGCCCGTCTTGAAGGGCATTCTGCCCAGTACAGCTGGGTTCACCATGTGGGAAGCCCCTTGATCCCCAGTTCTACTGCTCGTCGTCGCACCTCTTCAATGGCCCCTGCCGGCTCAGTCTCGTCTGGGTGACGAAGCTGCCAGGCAACGCAAACATCCAAGGCCTGGCCCATCCACTTACCGGGGCGGACACCGAGTTCTTTTCCCAGCAATCGCCCGTCTACCAGGCGCGTCAACGAAGGTGCGTCCATGACGTCCAGATCAGCAAGGTGGTCCAGGAACTTTTGCCATCCAGAGAGAAACTCTGCTCTGTCTGTGGCGGAATGAGCAACCATTTCTGGGACAAGGTACGAGGTGTACGGAGATGGCGGTACTTACCCGTAGGGGAATCAGATGGCAACTTTTCAATAGCCTCGACAAGTAAGGCATAGAGTACCTGGATCCGCCAGTGGCCTCCATGGCTGTCCCACTTACGAATTGCCATACCAACGATGCCCCTTTCAGTAGTCCTAGATTGCCCGGCACCAAAGCTTTGCTTCAGATCAAGAATCTCGACGCGGTGGCGATATGCTGCAGTAATTACATCGCAAAGCTTGTTGGGGGCCTTAACGCCTTCCCGGGCAACCAACGTAGGCAGAGGCACAGAACCCCGAGCCTTTGGTAAGGGTACTTCCTCCATTACGTGGGAGTACGGGGTAATTGCAGCTAAATTCCAAGCAAAGTATGCAGCTTCGTCGGATGTGACGAGAACGTCATAGATCATTCTGGGGACCTTGTCATGAGCGAGCCTGTCAAGGAGGTTGTAGGCCAGTTTCCACTTGGAGAGATCAGGTGACGGGTGACCGCTATCACTGGAATCCGTGAAGATGGCCTCGTACAGTTTGAGGGTTCGAATCAAGTCCAGAGACATGCATGGGTTCTTACCTGCTCCAGCATAAAACCAAACGAGTCAGTTCACCAGATTGGTATATAAAAAAACTTAGGCATAGGCAGACGAACCCTTTAGCATCTTTTCCATCTCGACACCAACCCTTTCGCGGCTAATCTTAAGTTTCAGAGCGTTCAAAACTTGGGGGTCGGCCATGACTGCAGTGGCAGCAGAATCAATTGAAAAGTCGAGACGACTGGCGAAGCGGAGCAATCTCAGGACTCTGAGGGGATCGTCTGTAAAGGTCTGGAAAGGCTCCATGGGTGTGCGGATCAGGCGAGACTTCATGTCTGTGAGTCCTCCGGTCAGATCTTCGACCAGGCCGGTGTGTAAATTGTAAAAGAGGGCGTTGATGGTGGCATCGCGGCGCAGAGCATCTTCCTCGGCAGTACCAAACTCCATTGTAGGATTGCGACTGTCCTGAGTGTACGTCTCCTTGCGTAAATTGACAAAGTCAACGTCCAGACCAAACATACGGGTAGTCGCTGTCTCGAGGTGCTTCGACTTATCGGGATTCGCTGCAATCCTGTGGAGGCTGCCCATATCATCGGGACCAATATTGTGCTTCTTTGTGTGCTCTTCTAGAGCACAGTAGTCGCGCAGCTCCAGACTAAAGGCATAGCCAGTCATGGCATTGATGGCGGTATCAATATCGTGAGACTCTATGCCAAGCAGCTTATCACGAACCCAGCCCCCAGCCCATCGAAGGACGAGAGGCTCAGGTGAACGACCGGCTCCATCGATGAAGGCAGCAACGTCAACCAAAAGATCCCTCAATTGCTGCTCTTTGGGAGTAAGACTGAGTGTCGGGGGATCATTTGCAGTGGTGATGTTGCTCGTAGACGAGGCGGCAGCGGAGGTGGTCATCGTGGACGGCGAAGAGACAGACGGACGACCCACAAACGCGTCAAAGTTTCTCTTCATGAGGCAAGGGTACAAGGATGCGCGCGGCACCGAGCAGCGGTTCCAGGTCAAGACAGATCGGGGCCGAGCACAGGCACGTAGCATGACACGACAGGCCTGACAGTTGGAAGGTGTCGAGTCGGCAGATGCGCCAGTGCAGAAAGTCGAGGGGTAGAACGTGCGCCGCGTTAGACCACGGGCCGTGATCCTTGGGTTTCGAGATAGAGTCCTTCTGGTCTCACTCCAGAAGCAGCTCCAGCTTAACCACCTTAGCTAGGGTGGTGGTGGTAGCAGTGGTGATGGAGGCGGAGGCGCAAGCACAAGTGCGGTTGCATAAGGTAAGGAAAGGGCGCAGCACAGGCCTTGAGGCAAGCAGTCTGGGTCCCAGGATCGTCAAAGGAAGTCGATGAATGGTGGGTTGGTGATGTGGGTACGGCTGAACATGCAAGACCGCACTGGGGTTTGAGGTGATGGTGAGCTCAAGATGAAAAGTCGATACGAGTGGCTGGTGCGCGGTTAGCTGATGGATGGTAAGGGCGTCAGGGCGATGAGACGAGACAGGTCGCGACAAGTTGAGATGAGTAGAGTGAAGAAGGGTGAGTCAAAGCAAGAAAGCCAGGACTTGGTGTCGAAAAGCCAATCATTAGGGACAAGTGATATGAATGTGATTAAGACTTTGGCTTGAATTACAAGCTCATCTTGGAGGGGGGTATGTATGATGTACTCATATAAGCCAGAGGTGAGAGTCTTTTGGATTTTGACTCACGACTTGCCACGGGTATCTAGTCAGCCGAGGCCCTGTAATTGGGCCAAAGGACTTGACGTTTGCTTGAGTTCGCCAAATGTGACAGTAAGAAGAGGAAAAGAAGTAATGAGTGTGCCGTGCACCGGCGAAAACCTGGCTCTGGCAGGCAGTGATGATAGGTAGACAATGAGTCTTCACTCAGGCGGGCACACAGCAAGCAGCACGCAGGCCACGGGCAAGTGACTTGTTAAGCACCTTAGCGCTTAGGTACCTGAGAGTGCTGATTTACCCATGACTCCACAGGTGTGTTTACGTAAGGAGCTTTTCCCAGCGTGATTATGTAATGCGCGGAGTCTGAGTTGACGTCGTTTCAAAGTGTATCCGTATGTGAGTGGTGAACTCAAGTGGACCTTTCTTCACTTCACCCTGCAACCTTACTTGACCAACTTATCTTTGGCTATTGCTATACTAAACTTCCCGTGTCATCTGATTCGTCCAGGGATAAGGCTCGCGCGGACAGAGATGGGGTTGTTGGATGCCCAAAACTGGTGGCAAGACCAAGTTTTCCGTACTGCTGCTCCGCTGTCAAAGCATAGCAACGAGGGGGTGTCTTCGACATCGTCACTACGGACACCGTCCAGTGCTTGTGGTGTCTTGAGGGCCTCTTGTCCAAAACATACCGTCAGCTTCAGCCCCAAACAGACGATCATCACTTAGCGATACAACTTTTAGCGGACCAGAATCCCACACAGGGCTGGGACACCGCGATAAAAGTCCATCTTCGACCATATCTCGCCAAGAGCAGATCCACACCTCTTCCTGCTTGACCAGTTGGGGGATTTTCCCCAGGGGATAGCATGACCGTGGTCGTAGTTTGGCCAAGGTTGGCTTAGCTTCCGCCGGCCACGTTCCCGTCCATCTTTAACCTTGATTACTCTTCCTTTCTGTTTGATCAGCCGCTGGCACTTCCACCACCTTCCAAGCTACTGTATGCCCTTTAGGTTGGCTCACGAGGATCATGCATCACACCGTTGTTGTCACCGGCTGGCGGGTCGATCCGAGGCAGCTTTGTCTCCTCTCCCTCTCTCATGAGCAACGGCCAACGGGATCGATTCCATAGCTCTGCCGCATACTGGAAGGGGAAAGGCCCATGCGATTGGCCCCGTATAACAAACGGCTCTAACGCGTGTCCTACCATCGGCTGTACGATTTGCCGGTTTGCCAGCCGTTGGACCTGTGCGCGGCTCATACTCGACCTTGACTTGACTCGGCTCGACCCGACTGGCTTACACAAAGAACGAGTTACTCGAATTCGGACTGCCTTGCCGACCATCTGTGCGTGCGTGATTCTCGCCGTTGTCGGCCGCAGCGGTTTGATCCGTCTGCACATGTGCTCTCTTTGCAACGCTGGTCGACAGCGTCTCCATTCATCTACATTGTCTACCTACTAATGCATCTGCCATACTGGCTTATGAGTGTCTACTCAGGGGGCCATCCACGCCACGGCGGTAGATCATTTCTGCCCGTGCGTTCGTAGTTGACTGCAAGTTCAATCCAGTTGGGCTGCCAACTCCCGGGCTCGTTCTTACCTTACCCCCTGCAACAATCACGTCGTACCCCGGTGATCTGGATCCGGCGTGGACGCTCCCGCGCCGTGGATCGAAACAGCCGTATATCTCTGCATCAAACACGCACGAGGCATGGTCTTTGCTTGCCAGGTCTACCACCACAGACCTGAACACAACAGCCTTGTCCCTAGTTGCCATGTCACCTTACATAACATCTCACCCTAGGCTGGCCGGGCCGCCGCAATCCCCACGCTTGTCTTGGTCTTCAGAAACGGAAACAAGGCCGGCAAGATCCCTGTCGAGATCATATTGGCAGTGCTTAATTTCGATGTAACCCGGCAGCAATCCTGAGCTAGGTCACGTATCTCATAACTCGCCGACTCGTGGGCCTACTCCGTAGTTGATTTCACTCACGGGATGTTGAGGGATTTGCATCGACGAGCTGGCTGCGGTATTCATTCCCAACATCAGTCGCTGCTGTTTTCTCCTGGGTGGTTTGAAAACCGTTCTCTGTCAGGTCGAGCTACTGCCTGTATCTGCCCGACTAGAAATACATGGAGTGTGCCATCCTCTTATGTATGGCACTCTTGTCGTTCGTACCATAAGCTAAGGTAGTGGACGGTGCATACGATCATCATGCACTCATTAACCCCCTTCAACACTGGCGCATCTGAGCTGAGTCGAAATAAGGTCGCGGGCTCGGACTTTTCCAGCTGACATTCGGCCACACCAACTCCGGAACCTTGCGGCCATCCCTGCTATGGCGGCCTCAAATTGCACACGCCCCTGGCCCGAGGTTCGCATGAGGCTCTGCTCGTGGCCTCGCCACAGCCCGACTTTGTGGATACAACTTATAGCGAGCAACAACAGCCGCGCGTAGAAGGTACTTCTGTGCATGTGCACGCTCCTTTGGTAGTAGTGATACCCCCCGGGAACTCGCATTGAGGCTCTATTGCGAAAACATGTTTGGCTTGGCGGTTTGGGATGTCGGATGGAAATTCGACCAGCGTTCTTCGAGTATCAGAGGAGAAGGCGGGAGAAGCACTCCGGATGCTCACTAAGGCGCGTAAGGGCATTGGGATGCAGGACATGCGCGTCGTCTCGACATCAGACAGACATCCGTCCACCGCTTGGTTGCTCTCAAAGGCGTGCTGACAACCAAGGTATAAAGATGGTCTAACCTCCGGCCTCAATCCTCTCGTACTCTTCTTCCCCATCCAGCATTCAGCAGTCTTTTAATTATCCGACCACTTCTCTCCTTCCAATCATTTGTATTGTATAATATACCCCTGCCGGCCAGGACTTACCTTCTCTCACATCACAATGTCTTCCATCAAGAGCATCTTCGCCATCGGCCTTTTGGCCACTGCCGACATTGTTGCCGGCCACGCTGCCATCATCGGCGCCACTGGTGATGCCGGCGGACAGGGCATGGCCCTTGGAATCGACTCCAGCACCCCCCGTGATGGAACACGTCGTGATCCCTTCCAGGCTGACAGCACTCGCTTCAAGGGAGAGGCTGCGGATACCTTTGGCGAGACTGTTGGAGCCGGTACCAACAACCTTGAGACCGGCACCAAGGCCATGATGGCTGAGACCGGGACCATGCTCCCCCAGATCTCCGCCGGTGGTTCCGTCGACATGACCCTGCACCAGGTCAACGGTGACGGTGGTGGTGAGTATTCGATATGAAATCTTCTTTCACTTGACACTTGACTGACACGTACCAAGGCCCCTACGACTGCATGATCAACGCCGATGCCACTGGAGCGTCGTGGACCAACATCAACGTTGTCACCACTCCCCCGGGCCAGAACTCCCGCAACCGTGACGGTGCCATGACCGACTTCCCCCTCAAGGCTGCTATCCCTGCCGACCAGACTTGCACTGGTACCGTCGCCGGCCAGAGCAATGTCTGCTTGGTTCGTTGCCAGAACGCTGCCCGTGCCGGTCCCTTTGGCGGTATTGTTCCTGTCCAGATGGCTGGCACCACCACGCCCGCCGCTGCTCGCCGCAACTTGATGCTCGCCGTCAAGCGATCCGATGAGCTCCTCAACAAGATGATCAAGCGTGCTCAGACCCCCTCGGCCGCACCCGAGGACGACGCCGCCTACCTGGCCGAGCTCCGCGCCGACGGCGAGGAGATCTAAACGCTGTTTTCTGTGGAGAGGGATTAGGACTACCGCGAGGGTCAAAACAGAGATCCGTGGAGGCAGGATGGATAGGCGATGGAGAGAGGCTGTTAACTGCTGATGCTGATGCTGATGCCTTTCACTTGTATCTGAGGTGCCTGACTGTGTCTTGACACCCGTAGTACACAATTACATTCACTGACCGCTGATCACTTTGGTTCACTGTAATGCAAATGTAAAGAGTGATGTTAATATGTATGTGTTCGTGTCGAGATCCTTTACTACTTAAAAATAGATGTGAAAAGCATGAGATTATCGTCTACTACCGGAATTGAGTATGAGAGTTAATGTGCAGAAAGTGTTCACTTGCCACATTGAACGAGGTACCAATTAAAGGGAGAGATGTGCAAAAGTATAGCATGCAGGCATCAAACTGACGGAGAGCCGAGGCGGGATGACGGCGAGAGCAGGGAGGGGGGCGGCACATCACTAGTAGATGCAGGATGAAGGAATCATAGGACTTGATCCCAATCCGAGTGCCTCAGTCAGTGTCAACCTACCTTTGATTGCTAGCCACACTTCCTTGCATCAAACCAACGGCTGACACTGTTGACAGTCATTCTCTCCGGTGATGCCATTTGTTCAAAAGACAAAGTATTATGTCTTGGTCTTGTTGTTGTCGCTCCTGTACAGTCTAGGTATCTTCACGTTGAGGACTTTTTTTTATCAAGCCTAGCGCAGGCCAAGGCCTCGGATCTCAAGATGATATTAAGGGGGGTGCCGAACCGCCCAAGTGTCGCGGGTGTCGAAGTCCAGGGTTCCTGGTTAAGGGAGGGAGCCGGGGAAGGAGAAGGTGTTGAAGAGAGAGGGGAATCCTAAAAGGGAAACATTGGAACCTCCCCGCACTTCCCGAGATACTGGTTGAGTTGTGTGGCTGTGGTTGGAGGCTTGTGTTGGGATAACAAAAGTAAGGTAAGGTAAGGTAAGAACAGTCCAAGGTATTATTGGTACGTAGACTGAGGTATACTTTTGCCTCACCACTACTTAAGCAGTACTTTCTGAAGCTGGACCAAAGCTGCGACGCACTAATACAGAGTATGGGTGGTGGGCAGGTAGCTCTTGGAGTGGTCGCGGCCTCCGTTCATTCGCCGCGAAAGGCGTGTGACGTCAACGGCGATGGCAGATCCTCGTCACTTCCCCCGCGTTCACAGAGGGAATGGATAATGTACCTTGCACCTACTCGAGTACTTTCAGATACAAGAAACCTTGACGACCTTCCTAAACGTGTTGCCTCACTCTGTCGCGTTGGTTCAAGCTGAGATGCTGTTGGAACTTGCACTCTCATGTTTTCCCCCGTCGGAGCACCCTTTCTTGGAGGGTGTTGTAGCCGAGAGGTCGGCCTGCCTCACATGGCCTAACCTGCTATGAATTACCTATGAGAGACGAACACCTCGTCTTGAAGCATGTCGCTGTGAACAGAAACCAAGCCAGTTTGGCCGAATGAATCCTCAACATCAGGTAAGTGAGGTGAGCTGCGATGCGCAACATAATATGTCTCCCTACAATGTGTAGATTGCTACATCGCGTATGTTACGACCACCCTTATGTTCCTGATACCTGGTGTATGTGGATGCTTGGCTCTCTTCAGGTTCGCTCTCGCTGCAGCCATAGTGGTCTTGGCACATAGATCTGTGTGTGCAAAGGTCCTTGAAAGCTTGGCTCAGGTGCACTGGACTGAGTGATATGCATCACACGTCGACCCAGCCTCAACCTTAGCACGTATATGATCGACAGGTTCATTAAGCCAAAGCGCCTTCGCTTCTTGAGTAGGATAAAGTGAACTCACACCTCCCTCAATGAACAAATTGGAGGCCTGGGGATCAAAAGTGCGCAACTGGCAGGTGACCACCCTGAATGAGTTCTGGGCTGAACCTACCTTACTTTGACCTCCATGTGCTCTCTTCGTACACCCCCCATCGTACAGTACATGCATCGCCTCCGCCTTCGTTGACATCAACGCCCGCCAGCTTCATTAGCTAGCTACCTTACCTCTGCTCCTCCCTCACCATGCCCTCCAATGCCATCAGTAGCACCCACCCTCCACGACTCGTCCATGCTACCCAACCGCAGGCTGCCGTTAAGAAGGCAATCGCGAGGCCTGGGCCTTCATAAACTCACGTCTTTCCCCCTCTCAAGTCTCCCTTCCCACTCCTTTGCTCAACTTCTCCACTTGCCCACCTAACCAGCGACACCACGATACCCTCAAACGGCGTTTCTATCAGCCACCACCCTACACAACTCATCTTCTGAACTCTTAGTAAGACCTGCCACTGAGCAAACCTATACTCATACCATCCAGTATATCCACCATCACCATCACCATGTCAAGTAGGCGTCCCCGTCTATGTGCAGCGCATGTGAATCTTGCTTACACGGACTATCAGACGAACAAGATGGAACCCAGAGCATCCCGACCGAGGTCGGTAGCTCGCCAGTCGCACTCGACGGAGAGCCTGCCGTTGCACTCTCATCCTCGCCCATAGATCGCAGAGCCAGCACCGACGAATGGGGTGAGCCCTAGAAGTGCCCTTTGAAGCCTGCGAGTCCTTTGAGTGCTGACTGATGTGCTTCATCTACTAGACGCATCTAAGGTGCCCCCGAGCCGCTTCCAAAAGCGCAAGGGTTCCATCTACGCCACACCGGGTTCCCGTGATGGCCACGTCGACCGCAACTACGCCTCGGGGTTCCATGAGAAGCACACCGAGAAGGGCTATACCAAGACGCCCGCGAAATAGTCACTGGTACAGTGATGTTCTGAGCAGGCGCACGGCGTGTTATGAGAAACGCCCCCCACGCTCGCGGCATGGAGCAGTACGCCTAGCCAGACCACCACATGTGAGGCTGTGCAATAAACCAGCCAGACAAGGGGAGGGAGAACAGTGAAGAATGAACTGATTTGAATGGGGAGACCGGGACTGGAAAAGTATTGTAGGGGTCCTGCTGTCTGTATGCTATTACCTAAAACTAGCCAACCACCGCCAGGCCGGAGAAATTGATATATGTTACTCGTCAAGGTCGTCAATGTCGATAGCGTCCGGATTTGCTGGCGCTGGCGGCGCTTCCAATGTGCTGTTCATCTTGGTAGCGTCGCTGGCAGCCACGAATCCGGCTGGTGCTCTTGCTTGTCGTTCAAGTGCCGCCATGGCATCGTCCACCTCGGCGTCGCCCGAGTCCTCCGGTCTCCGCTGACTACGCGCAAGCGCTTGCGACGCGATGAAGTTGACGTCCGTGTTGTACTGCGCCTGCACACTCCGCTTGATACGGAGCATTTCCTTGAACGTATCCTCGTTGCCATGCTGCACCTCGAATGACTCCCACTTGGTCCAAAAGGCTGGACTGGTGCGTGGATCACAGAACTGTGACGCGTGACCGTAAATGGCTCTCGCCCGATCGATCTCGCCAAGGCGCTTCTCCATATCGGCAAACTTTAGGCACATATCCCGTGCTTCGTTGTCGGGTAGAGTGGAAACCGCCTTTTCGTAGATTGGCCTTGTCGATGGCAGGCCAAAGTTGGACGCCGACTTGGTGATGTAGAAGTTGAACATGTCTGCCCGATCCTCATCCGCCACTGCACGCGTCGCGCGTTCGTAGATGCGCATAGCGTGCCTCGCGAGGCCCCGCTCCTCCTCCAAGTTGCCGTACATGAGGTAGATGACCTTGGCGAATTTGGGTGGGCAGTCTTCAATGGCCTGTTCGAAGAGGTCGCGCAGACGCTCAATACCGATCTTGCGATCCACGGCCTTTGTGAGGTAGAGATTCCATAGCTCAAAGGCAACGGGATAGCTGAAGAGGTCCAGGCCACGTTCGTAAATCTTGAACGACTCTTCGTAGTACTGGTGCTCTTCCAGCAGATTCGCGTAGTTGACCACTGTCTGCGGTGTTGCGATTCGCAGCTCAAAAATGCGCTCGTAGACCTTCCGTGTGTCCTCCACAGAGCTGACACTCTCCACGAGGTCCACGTAGAAACTCCACAGCTTCCAGCTCTTGTGCACACGCTGCTGCGGCGATAGGGTCTCGTCAAAGTAGTCGACTGTGGATCTCTTCGGCGCCTGGACAGCCTTGGCCATGATCCGTACGGCATCGTCAAAGTTCTCGTTCCTCAACTCCATCTCAGCCCACTCAATCCACATATCAGCCAATTCGGCAACGGACTTGAATGGGACTTTGACGGCTTTCTCCATGATGATGCGCGCATTGCGTATGTCACCACCACGCTCGTAGAATTTGGCGTAATTGGCCCAAAGCTGATGGAAGGCCCCGACGGCCTTTTTCGGTTGTATCGTGGCGATGGCGGCTGTGTATGTCTGAACGACTTCGAGATGATTGTCTCCCCAGAGAGCCACTCTCTTCTCCCACTCAGACACGTTGTTGGGGTTCTGGCGCAGTACTACGTCGTTGAGAAGGAACGGCCGTCTGTCCATGAGTTGCTCGAACCGCATCATCCGTATGTCGAGTTCGAAATCTGCCTCCTCGTCCACGATACCGTTGTCGGCACGCTCCGAGGCTACCTCCATCAGGGCTCCAATGATGGACTCTTCGAACTCGGTGTACGAATCGAAAACCAGCGTGAAGTCTCTGACCGTCATGACCGTGGTAATGGCTTCCTCGAGCACATCTCTGGCGCGCTCGAAGCTGCCTCGTCGGATCCAGTAAGTCGCTAGGCCGCACCAGAGTTTTCCTCGTTGATCGGCGAACCGGACAATGCCGCTTCTGACGATCCTGTCAACATCAATACCCGTTTCGTGGCCGGTTTCGATCTCCGCCGCGTGCTCGACCATCAAGTCCACCATTTCGCTCCACAGTTCATAGTGCCCTTTCCCTTGCTTGCTAGTGAAGCGCGGGTTGTTGAGAATGTCCATGTACTTCTTGATGGCTTCAGTGTAGAAGCCGACCTGCACAAGGAGCTCGATGAAGTCTTCGGCGTCCTCGGGGTGTATTTGCATGTAGCGGCGCCACACCTTGACGGCGCTGATACCTGCGGCAGAGTTGATGAACGGCTTGTAGAGGGCCCAGATCCGATTGTGCTGGGTAAGCGGTAAGGCGCGAAGGGCTCGATCGAAAGTGCGTCGGGTGGTCGTGACCAGCGGCTGCTGAAGCAAGAACTTCAGATACAGCTCCCAGATGCGAGGCATTTTGTTCAACAGAATGAGCGCGCGCTCAAACAAGGCATTGACTTTTCGGTACTCGGCGGGGAAAATGGCAGCATTTAGCTTCGAAACGTGCTTGGTGCGAAAGGTAAGATACTATCCGTACAGTTAGCAATCGGCGGCGGCGGTCCGCGGGCTGGCGTGCTCCTCGCGACTTACCATCTTCCATAGCTTGTAAGACCGGGGGAGTTGGAGACAGGCTCGTTCGAGCACGAAAGTGCGTTCGTGTACGGTTCCATGTTGAGACTTGAACTGAATATAGGCAAGCCACGGCTTGATGCTTCCAGGGTTTCGCAGGATATCCTGTTCGTTTACGGAGTCCTCGTCGCTCTATCGGATACTGTTAGCTTCTATCTCCAGTGTTGACAAGACGAAGAGGGCAAGTAGGAGGATGGGCGGCGCATACAACGAGGTGCAGTTCCGGCCGCCTCTGAGAGCCGTTGAGAAGCGTGGAAGCAGGCATCTTGGTTCAGGCCGTTTGCCCAAAGGCCATGAGTAACCAAGAGACTGACAGCTTGAGCGCAGCGAGCGCCTTTTCGCCGTGTGCAGGTCGCGTTGGGGACGAATTCGCAACTTCCGGGGGCGCGATTTCAAAAGATGATCATGGCGCGAACTAGGCGACAGATCGTTCCTTTACGACGCAGTCTGGCAAGGTCGACCAACCAAGGTACTTTTTCTTGCATGCGCCACGTCCTGTATTTTTGTGTTGGCGCTCGGCTATTGGGATAAGTCAGGCGGCAGTGCCAGCCACCGATACAAGGATATCGCAATGGAAGCGCAGCGCCGCTTTAGCGCCCGTGAGACTCTCACGCGCGGATAAAGACAGCCCACTCTCGAGCATTATCAGTGGACTGCTAATCGCCAGCGATCCACCTACCTTACACCAGGTACCCGACTCCATCTCTGGGGGGAGCCGCTTGAGGTAGGTACTTCCACCTTAGCGTCCTATCGCTGAGCCGGCTCTGAGCACTGACGCAACAGCAGCCAAAGGCCGCCTGACAACATCTCCAGCTCCTCCTTGTCGACTCTATCGTCGACGACCGTCTTGCGCCCAACTGCCTCCGCCCCTCACTGCCCTGCGGATCGCCTTGAATCTCCCCTCCGATCTCCTTTCGATTCCAAGTCAAACCTATACCATCGCCCGTTCCGATCAGCCAACACCATGTCGGGTGCTCCTGTAGGCCGAAGCTCTCCTATATAATTCAGAGTCGATCACGGAGCTTTCTAATATGTCGATGCATCTGTGCAGGACCGAGAAGCGGTGTTCCCCACGCGCCAGTCGCTGGGGATTATGAAGGCCAAGCTCAAGGGCGCCGAAACTGGTCACAGTCTGTTGAAGAGAAAGAGCGAGGCCTTGACCAAGTATGTGTGCAATGAACTGTATCTTGCAGCGGACTTCATTGACTGACTTGTTCCGTGATACAGGCGATTCCGAGGTTGGCAGTGTCGCTTCCAGTCCGAGACGAACGTACGCTGACCGATGTGACCGCGCCCTGAACAGAGATTACAAGACGCATCGACGAGGCGAAGAGAAAGATGGGACGCGTTATGCAGATTGCTTCCTTCTCCTTGGCCGAGGTCACTTACGCCGTGGGTGGTGATATCGGATACCAGATCCAGGAGTCGGCTCGTTCAGCTCGCTTCCGTGTGCGTACCAAGCAGGAGAACGTTTCTGGTGTCTTGCTCCCGGCATTCGAGAGCTACGTAACTGAAGGAAACAACGATTTCGGCCTCACGGGCTTGGGCAAGGGTGGCCAGCAGGTCCAGCGTTGTCGCGAGACATATGCCCGGGCTGTTGAAGCTCTGGTCGAGCTTGCCAGCCTACAGGTACGCCGCCGTGCGTCTCCAGTGGACACTGCAGAAGCGCTAACAGTGCCAAGACCGCTTTCGTTATCTTGGATGAGGTTATCAAGGTCGTCAATCGACGTGGTATGTATTCGAACAAACGTTGAACTTCTTAGCGATTGACTAACTTTTTGCAGTAAACGCCATGTAAGATGCCTGCGAGATCATCTTGGCGATCCACCACTGACCATTTCACCAGCGAGCACGTTATTATTCCCAGGACAGAAAACACCATCAAGTGTATGTTGCATACTTTACTTCGGAAAACCTATCTAACTTTGACTACAGACATTAACTCGGAGTTGGACGAACTTGACAGAGAGGAGTTCTACAGACTCAAAAAAGTACGTGGAGAGCCATTAGATCTGGATGGCAATTTCTCACAGTGTAATGCAGGTTGCCGGAAAGAAACAGAGAGACACTGCTGCCGCAGACGCCGAGATCAAGGCCAAAAAGGCGGCAAGGGCAGCAGAAGAGAAGGGGGATACGTCAGGTCCCGGCGACCTTCTCGCTACGGAGGAAGACAACGACGTTATTTTCTAGGCAGTCCTTGGGGCACGGGTTGAGAGGTGGCGATCAAGCATGCGTGTGTGGTGTTGTTAGACTAAGGTAGCTTTCATTGGGTACGCACTCGTTGTAAACATTAGTACCCTTTCGGAACACATTTATTACCTCCCTAAATGCAAACAGAATTGAGGCTGATGCCTTCATCCCCATCAGCCGTCTTACTCTCTTACTGGCGTTGGTATGTGACCTTGATCGTGTGCGTGTCTCCCAGCACCATGCCCGCCGTGTTCTCCTTCGCCGTAATGGCACCCTGCTCACCCTCGTACTCTACAAAGGCGATACCACGGCGTCCAGGCACCAATCTGACCTCACGGAAACCCTCGAAACGGCCAAAGATACTGGTAACAGCCTCGATGTCGTAGTCGTCGGGCAAGTTCTGCACGAAGAGAATCTTGTTCGGGGGCAGATATTCGTCGGGAATAACGGCTGTGGTGGAGGGATTTGTGGACTTGAGACCAGTTCCACGAGCAGCCTTGGCAGGACGGGCATCTGCTGCCGCCGCACCGCCAGGGCCAGGCCTCTTGAGACGTTTCTGCTCCTCGGCAGCTTCGAACACATTCTTCTTGTCTGTCGGTGATGAGAGGACAGGGTCAGCAAGCCGTTCTGGTTCAAAGTAGCGAGAAAAGGCAGTGTGAAGGGCGAAATGGAAATACCCTTTTCAGCCAAGCGGCGACGCTTGTGAAGCTCAAATTCGTCGTCGTTGCCTACCGACTTGACGGTCGCGTCGCTCCTCGTCCGGGCCAGGGCCAGCTGCATAGGCTTCTCGAATAGCTCGAATCCCTGAACCTCCTCGATGGCCTTGCGCGCAGCCTCGGCATCGTCAAAGACGACAAAAGCCTGGCCCTTTGCCTTGAGATTCGTCTTGGCAACAATGTCGATCACATTGCCGTAATCGGAGAATATTTGAAGCAGCGCATCCTTCAGCTGGTCAACTTTGGCGCGCTCCTCGAGGTTTCGCACGTATACCCTGTGGCACAAAAGGTCAGCCAACGGCCCGACGTGTCGAAGTGCAATGACACGTACGTGGCGATAGGAAGACCGGAAGCCATGTCTACGGTTGTGTAGGCGAGCTCCAAACAAAAGTGAATGGGAAGAAGAGGAAAGTGGAAATGTTGAACTCGAGTGACAGACTGAGATTGGCTTGTGCACAGTGTTGCGCTAAGTTCTAGTAGCCTAAGGCGCGTTCCTTGGGCACGGGCTATCTATGTGTACCCTTACGGCCTGCGCAGTGACGCGCGCAACCTCCCGCTTTCAACTCCAACTTCAACATCAAGCTATCCATAGCTTCACTGCATTCTTGTTGCACAATCATTGAGCAATCTCTGCTAGTGTTTCACGAAAACGATACTACGTAGTAAGTAGACTATTGAGCGGCCCCTTGGAAGATGCGTGGTGTCGTTCTAGACTAGATGATATTACTCTGGCTCTGTTGGACCCCTCACGGCCTTCTTTGCTGGACTGTAATCTTGCTGGGTCGGGATTATAGACACATTCTGCTTTGAAACTGCCACATACGACCATACCCATTGGAAAACTCGGGATCCCGTCCGCTCTCCCATAGATAAGCCAATGAGGGCCGGATTAGTAGTTGGGTCGGTGACGACCAGCGAATACCTGGTGTTGTATGTTTTTGATTTTTGACAATCCCTTTCTTTCTCTTCAGATTTGCTCGTTCTCAAGGAAAGGGTCAGTCTTGGCCTCCATTGAGCTGTCAAAAAATGTTATTGGGTGTTGAGACCTTTGTCCTCGCGGTGTTTCAGCGTCCCCGAGCCTTGAACCGTTGTGCTCATAACGTGAACGCTTGTGGAAGGGATAAAGAATGGCTCTCTATTATATGCAGGATCTTGGTGATACACTGCACTTGGGCACGGTTACATATGTATAATGTAGTCCAAGTGCATTTTGACTTCCCCTTACTTTCACGTAAAGCACTTTTCGATAACACCCTGCGGGTAGATATCAGGGTGACATCCTTGACATCCTACTGCATGCATCAAATGCCGATGTGGCCCAGTATCTTGACCATCATGAATACCTAACCCATGCTGCCCCCAGTTGCCATATATGTACACGTAAACAGTCATCTCATCTAACGGCAATCACACCCAGGCGCCTTACGATGAACTACCTCTAGGCAGTCGTACCAGCCGCTGGCGCCGGCACTTCTCCGCTACTTGGTTCTTCCAAGGCCAGGTCACTCTTCAGCTCTGGAAGGAAACGGTCGATCCGTTTCCAAGTCTCATTCCATAGCTTTTCTTTCGAAGCGTCTTGTCTGGGAGACACCAAGAAGCCGCTGCTTGCCATGAAGAGCACCACGTTTTTGAGGTTCTCCCGAACCGCCTCCTCCTACGTACTGTTAGCAATCTCTTCTGTAAGGTCCAGGACTCTCCACATAAACGTACCAGGCTATCGCCTTGACCGCTATTCATCAACCGATCCATGATGTCAATAATCTTGACCCACAGATCCAGCATCCCGTCCCACTCTGAAAGGAGCACGAGATATTGAAGGAACACTTTGCACAGCAGTGACGCAGCTTGAACACGCATCTCGCTCATGCCGTCACGGTCCGATGAAAAGACTTCAGGCTTAAGGAGTTTGTGAATGAGAGGAAACAGGACCTCGCCAAAGATGGCGGTCCACTCCTTGTGGTCACTGTCAGTGAGCTCAGGGGAGAGTAGAGATCGCTGTAGCGACGTGAATGCCTGGAGGCGAACATCGCGGCATGGGTTTGTGCATTGCGTTGTTAGTGCTTGGAAGATAGGCAGCCAGTAGGCGGACCATGCTGTAACATTGCGTTAGTCGTTATTGCTCATCTCACAGCGGTGAAGAGCATTACCTTCGTTGCTCTCAAGATGGGACTGCTTCATCAAGAAAGGTATACGCGCTGTCATATTGTGAATGCTGTTGACCGCCTTGGTACCTCGTGAGATTGCTTCATTGATACTGCTGGCCGTTAGTAACTTGCAATGTGGTATAGGCATCGGGAATCACTCACGTCGTCTTGTCGTGCGTCCCCTCTCGGGCCTTACGCTGCTGGGCATCTAGCTTGCGTTCTGCAAGGACAATCCGACCCGCCCCGGACGCGAAGTCGCCGAAGAGAGAGATGGCCGCCTCGTAGTTATCGGCAATGATAGCAGGCGGTGTACCTCCGCAACCTAACTCGAGAATGTCAAACACGAGAGGTGCAGAATCTGGACGTCCGGTAAGTGCTCGCATGATTGCCCAGAAGTCCGGGGAAGTCATGATCTCGTTGCGTAGTGGGCTGGGTTCGTCGATGCACAGTCTTAAGCCCTGGAGCACCATCGTCGAAGTTCTCGCCAGTGCTTCCTTGGGGAAGCTCGAGATTGTGTGCAACAGTACCGGGACATTGATGTAATCATGAGCCTGTAAACCAGTCAATGAGAAAACAAACGTTGTCAGGGGGTAAGAGCATGCATACATAGCTGACTCGGAGTAGCTTGAGAAGATAAAAGGTTGCCCTCGAGACAACAATGTAGTGGTACCGTCCAGCATCTCGCAGCACGGCCTGCAGTGCTTCGATGACCCTCTTTGCTACAAGTTGGACAGTGTCCTGGTCACGAAGAGCCAGGACTGTGCTGAATTCAAGGATGTAGGCCATGGCAGGGTCGTACACAGCTCCTGGTTGCACGGGCTTTTGGCCGTTCATCGTTGCTGCGGGTACATTGTCCGACTTGACTACGATCACCGTTGGGTTGTTATCTTCAGGTAGTGCGTTGAGGAGGGAGTCAATCAGCGGCTCTAGGTCTTGAGGGGAGAGTTTTCTACGCGGCTCTGATTAGTAGCTGTACCTGGTCAGGAGCACACAGACTTACGAGATGTTGGCAAAGACGTTGCCCATATGACATGAGTTGACACAGTCGACGGTGCAGAGGGTACTTTCCAGTTCCTCGTCCGAGGGTTCTGGTGGATCGTCTGCTGCGTAGCTGGAAATGTAGCTAGTAAAGGCAGAAAAGAAGCCAGTATCGACAGTCTTTGCAGCACGATCGATCACCTGAGAGGGTGTGTGCAGCGGAATCGGACCAATGTCCAGAACTGGTGAATCCGCAAAGAAGGGAGGGACCAGTGAGTTGACGAAGAGATTGAGCCATATGCGGGTGATCTAGGTTTCGTTAGTTTCTCCGCCATGATGACCCAGGAGGATGTTGACCTACATGTTTCCAACCATCCTGGATTAATTCCTCGCTGCCAGTGACAACCCGGAACAGTACCAGAGTCGCCAGTTGCGCCCTGAAGTCTCTTCCAAGTTTCACTGCCAGCTCGCTGACCATGACACTGCTTTCGCCAGCTTGGACCTCCGTATTCAAATTGGTGTTGAAGGGTATGTCAGTAGCCAAGGTTGTCATGTGGCTCAGTGCGTAGATGATCTGATCGAGAGCCTCCGTGTTTTTGTACTTGGCCGCAATTCGGGCGCATTCGTCAAAGCCAGTGACGATTCTCGCAAAGACTGCATCGTCCGTAGCCGACATGAATACGTAAGAAAGGGTGGACACGATAGGCCGCCACGTTGAAGCGAACATGTCGGCATCATAGATGTTCGTCTCGCACAGAACCAGCGGACGCACCGATTCCGACTTGACGAGCAACTCACGCCAAGCATAGTCAAACGCATGCTTGTTGTCATGCTCATCAGGCAGGATGATCTCGTTGGTTCTAATGTTGTCGAAAATATCCTGAAGGTACTCTGGCGCAAAGTTTTGGCCGTCATTGACGCCCCGCAAGTTTCGTGCAAAATCATCCACGGTCATACGCTTTTGACTCTTGAGGTTGGGGTTGTGCTGATCCGTGTTGAGCATGATGATGGCATAGGTCAGGACGTAGACCGCATCCGCGTTGGCGACCTCGGTCGGTTTCGCCTTCAAGCAGTACTTGTCTGCGAAACAGACAACGATTCTCTCAATCAATGCCGACTCGCCAGGCAATCTGAATGTCTCCAATAGTCCTCTGAGCGCCTCATCCACTCTTTTATCTGAAAAGTCAAAGTGGCTCATGAACGCCTCCAGTACGGCCTCGTTTCCCTTCTTGGAGAGATACTCGCCGAGAACCTTTTTGGACACGCGCGATGTTCCCTTGAGGAACTTGGCGACTGCGACTGGGTCCTTGAGGTCGGAGATGATTCCTTGGGCCTCGAGATAGGCAAGGCCGCCCTTGGGGTTCTCGTTGAACTTGCTGGTGCCCTTGATAATGATCTTCTTCTTCCGTCTTAGTTCCCGTAGCTCCGTAGCGTCGGGATAGTCATCGACAACCGGGGCCTCGTCCAACCTTTCGGCGATGAACTGAATGTATCTGAGCAGTGCATCCAAGCAAAGCGGTGGCACGCTCGTCGTGCTCCAAGTTGCAGAGTCCGGCAAAGCATTTCTCGAGAGAAGGCCAATCATGTCTTCGCACAGGTCCGCCCGATCAGCATCGCAGTCGTAATTGACAAAGAGTTCAGCCATGAACGTTGGCATCCTTGACAGTACACCAATGTTCTCAACCATGGCCTGTCGTGCGTCTGGCTTCCTGGCACCACCCTCTAGACCGAGTTTTTGCCGATCCTTTACCGGGACTGGCGTCGAGCGGCCGCTGCTTGTCTGTGATGGGGGTGGCTTGACAAGCTTGGGGGATTGCGGTATCCCGGCGTACAGTGACGGGTCAATGCCTGGTTCTCGCGGTATTTCTACCGACGGGTGAAGGCACGCAACGAGATACGAAAGGAAGAGCTCCTGCTGCAGCTTCAAGACACCTCGGCAGGTGGCTAGTAACGTGCCGGCCACGATCAACGACTCTTGCAGGATGGCCATGTTGTCCGACCTAACAAGCTGAAAGAGATAGCAGCAGAGCCTGTCCTCGGCTATCCCAGCCAAAGCAGGGTGCCGCGCAATAGAGGGACCAGAAACCTCGAGGGCAACGTGAATAATGCGCAATGCCATGACTCTCATAGTGTCGGTATGCTGCCGGTCGTTGGGGTCCAAGAAGTTGACCAAAACCCGGAAGAGTTCCCGTACAGAAGGCAGCGAGTAGGGCCGGAGATCCAAAGAATCGGAACTCTCCGCGCCATCTGCATCACCGTCGGCCTCCACATCGCCGCCAGCGCCAGCGTCGGCTTTGCTGTCACCCGACTCTGAGCCTCCCCGAGATCGTGGATTCGGGTCCAAGGGAGTCGAGCTTGAGGTGGACAGGCGCGCATCCGGTTCAGGGCTTGTCACCTGCAAGCCTGGCGCAGTAGTCGCGGCTGGGTCCATTTTGACGCTGTCCATGTCCGCGCTTGTTTGCTTGTCGAGAGCGTCGGACTCGTCTCCGGCCTCAACCTCGAGGTGTTTGACGTCCTCAAAGATGATCTGGCACATGCGAACCATGGACGCCTCGGCTGTTCGTCGGAGGACGGGCGAAAATCGTGGTTGCGAGCAAATTGCTAGCCCCCTGCCCATCATGTCGCAAACACTTTCGTCACTCAAAATGTCGCCTCCCGGCCCCGACATCATGTCCTCCATTAGGTGGAGAATCATTAGGAGAACAACCTCCACCTGTCCTGAGTCGCTTCCGTCGAATTGACATCGAGTGACAGCTGCCGATAGGGACTGCATGGCAAGGGCGAATCGTGGTGATGCAGGGCTTATAAATCCGTATGCCAAGAACTTGCGCAGAGCTCCCAGGGTGAGGATGGTTATGGGCGCGGCCGTGCCTTTCGTTTGGATTATCTGAAGGAACGGATTCAAGAGAAACAGAGCGTCGAATGAGTGTATGTCTGGGGCGCAACGTTGTTAGCAAGGCTAGCTCAGCATAGCAGAGGCCAGTGCCGCAAAGAGCGAGTTTGAATCCTACCTCTAACGCTGGCCAATTCATGACGGAGCTTCCCAAAACCGGCCATCAAGGGGTTGTCCTGTATGCTGCGACCCTTCTTTCCACGTAGGCCCCATCTGTTGGCGGAGGCCACGTCCTGACCGCCATCGATCCCGAGTCCAGTGCCTGGTGTCTTGGATGCACCCCTCGGTGAAGGACTCGGGGGCCCCAGGTGAATCGGGTTTGGGCTTCCACCCAAGATGGCCGAAACGGAAGAATGAGGTGATCGCGCATGTTTTTGAATCGCAGAAGTGATCGATATGCACTCGGACATGACCAAAGATACGGGGTCCACAGCGACAGAGACAGGTCGGCTTCGATACTGCATCCTCGGCGCGATCATGGCTCGACGAATGTCCGCGCTAGAGCGCGTGCCAACGGCAGAGGCCGTCTCGGTTTGCAGCAAGTCATCTGCATCTCGACTCATGGTATGAAGGTGAACGCGGTGGTTCGAGTGCGCGCGCGCGAGGATCGGTCTTGGAGGGCTCTCGGTATGATGGTGTTGGGTGGCGGCGTTGAGGCTAGAGAGGAACGACGAAGCACGGGCTGGATATCCGTGGATGACAGCAAAATACTTTGGCAATGTGTGGCGGGTGCCTTGTGCAATCGCCGAGGAGGGGTCCAAGGACAGATATCCGTCGAGCCGTTGGAGGTTAGCTCGGGTTCGTATGGTGCGGATCGAGAACGTTGAGATTTAGGTGTTTTGTCCAAGACGGAGACAGCTGTCGCCAAAAAGGGTTCCTGGGCGAGGAATTGACCAGGTTGCAGATGGAGCTCCAAGTCTTACCGTGTACCTACGGAGCAAGGCCTCTACATGGCGCCCGGTGTTAGTGATCACTAAGTAGCGAGTACCCACGGTAAAGCAGCCAGATAAGGTGCAATGCCCCAGAGTGGGGATTCCGCTGTAAGTGTAAGGTACCTCAGTACCCGAAAGCTAAGCTGTGGAGGTACGTATCCTCCCAAGGTTCTAGCCTTCGATAGAGGTAGAGGCACTAAGTTAATAACTTCATACTTCCTTTCCATTTGTCAACTACCTCAGCCTCCAGCCTTGGCCGCCAAGATACTACACCTGTTACTGAATCCTATGGCAAGACACTTCCACACAAACAGATGCTATTCGGGGCTGCTTTGCTACAATCATTACAGTCATGATTCCAAGTGGCATCTCCGTAAATAAGAGATGGAGTCTTGAGCGAGGCCAGACCATCGCGATTTTCCCTAATCAACAAGAGTCCTGGACTGACAAGGTTGCTTCGGGCCTATTCTCTGCATCTAATCACGTATATTGAATTCTCAACTGTACATCTGTAACTCATAATTTCGCGGGCTAGTTCTATGCCCGATGCGTTGCCCGTGTCTTTGGGCCCCAAGATAAATCAACGCCTTCCTACAACATCCCCTTGTTCCAGACCATCCGGTGGCAGATATCCTAGTGTACAACAAAAGTTGACAACACGGCTCGACTCTGCTTTTTATCCCCGTGTATCGATTGCACAAGCTGTCTGCTGGTGGCAAACTGCGTACCGATACTTGTTCATCAAGAACAGCTACAGAACCCAGCAATGTTCGACGGTAGGGAGTCGTCCTACTAGATTTATCCTCCTCAGCTCTCAGCCTTCTTGGCGAATGCTGCGCCGTTTCCGTCCTTTTCCTTTTTTGCCGGCTTGTCTGACTTGCCTTCTGCATCCTTCTTGTCTACTGCTGCGGCCTTCTTGTTTGTATCCGCTTGCTTGCTGTCGGCATCTTTGGGCGACTTGGCCTCCTTGCCCTCCTTGGCGACCTCCTTGGTGTCTTCCTTGGTGCCCTTCGTCTCTTTCTTCTTCTCTCCGACGACGAGGTTTTGCATATCAGTCTTGTCCTTCTCCCACTGGCTGCTGGCATCGCCGAACTGCTCTTTGACCTTCTTAGCCTTTTCGGCCTTTTCTTCTTCCTCTTTTTGGCTAGCAAGCCTCTCCTGCTCCATTTCCTGTATTGCGTTAGAATAGATTTCATGACGTTGCCATTGAGCAAGCGACGTACCTCCATGTGCTTGATGTCGTCAACACTAGGCTCGTAAAGATGCCAGATCGTGTAGTGCGGCAGACCGACAACAGAGTATTCCATGCGCTTCGCCATCTACAGTGGAATGGTTAGTTCTCTTCTACATTCAGTAGCACAACCATCTTACCTTTCCGAATCCTTCCGTCTCAGCGTGCTTCTCGAAACTAAAAGCTGGGAAGTGTACTCCAGACCGGAAGACCTTGGCCTTGGCAAGAATACTGACGCCGCCCACTCCATCAATCTCCATCTCCATATCAGGGTCGCCATACGGGTCTCGCAGGTATGCCAAATGCGGTCGCCAAGTTGCATACTCGGCGTAACCTTCAACGATCACGGCATCTTCGTCCAAAGTGTCCGCGAGAGCTAGCGCCGTTTCTGATTCCTGCCATGAGTTGAGATCATACGGCTGCTCTCCGCCGAGCCAATCGGGCAAAGGTCGCCAAACATCTGCGAACTGTCAGCGAGATACTCTCCCTCGCCCCTCGGGGTTTCTTGAACTTACTTGGCACAATCACGTCCTTGTTGTGACGCATGAGATCTTCGAGGATGGTGAATGGGGCGGTTTCGACGTCAACGTCGCGCCAGTACACCCAGGAATGGTATGGCCGCAGGGCGGCACTGAGTAGCCAGTTACGGGCCTGGGCCATCAACTTCCTTCGGCTCGCCTGTGCCGCGAATCCGTGACGACTCTCGACATCCTGGTTGACCTTTTGTCCAAAATCCTTTTCGATGATGGAGATCTCGCCGTAAGGTTGTTTGGGGTCCTCGTCGGCCTGAATCTCCTCCAGCATATCGTTGAGAACCTGTAGGGTGCGGTCCTTGGAGTCGGAGACCAGGAAGGCAAGGTCGATGAGGTGGTGGGGGTAGGTGAAGTTGCGCAGATGGGAGGCGAACATGGACAGATGTGACTCGGCGTCTCTCAGAGGGACGCAGAGAAGAATGCGCTCCTCCCGCTCCCATCCCCTAGCAGTCCCCTGCACATTGCTGAGATCGTAGTATCGCACTGTTTCCAATTGCAAGTCGCTGCTGGCGGACAGCAGGCCGAGGGAGAAGATGGAAGTCAGGGAGGCTCCCGGCCAGACGAAGACGAGAAAGAAGATGGCGACGACGGCGACAATGATGAGGCGGGTTACTAGACGCTGACGACGACGATTCGCGGGTGTTGAGGCTCGTGGTTGGTATCTGTTGAGAAGAGAATGACAGGTCAGCGAGGCGCGGCGCAAAGGATAGAAGCAATCAGCGAGGAGAGAACAAAGGTGTCTTCCTGACCTATGGGGGGAGATCTCGAACGTGTTCCCCCTTGGATATCCATTGGAGTAACCACTCGCATGATGCCGCGGCACCACCTTGGAGGCTGAGGAAGAATAAGAAGGCAACATCCAGGGCACTGGGTGGAAGTCGAATTCCCGGTCCCGAGGTGAGGGTGGAGAATTGTACAGCAATGAAGCACCTCGCCCAGCCCTTGGGAGTCGTGAAGATTAAGCAGAGGAGAGCATCTAAAACCAGGGGGAGCGAGTGCTGTGGTCGGTTGGCTGGAAAGTGCGGCTCGAGCAGCGAACGTGTCAAGTTGTCGAAAGGTATGAAGGCCGCGATCGCGATGACGGATGACAATGCGTCTTGAGGAGGATAATATGGGATGGGTCAGGTAGGTTAAGGGAGCGTCGACGGGATACCTGCGAATACGGGGTCTGGGACTGGACCGGGACGCCAACTTTGGCTACGTATTATTTTATTTTCAGATTGCCTCTCTGTCATCCCAGGAATTGAATAGGTACTTGGCAGCCCAGCTGTGACAGGGCACCTAACCAGGTACCGGCACCCCTGCTTCGCGCCGTTTGGGAACGATGCACAGTAAGGACAGCGTACTTTGAACGTGTCCATCTGCCAAAGGCAGGGTGGCAGGGCGGGAGGATGGGTACGCAGTGCACAGTCTGCAATGTAATTGGACGAGACTTGGCGCAAGAAGCCTCCCTGAGCTCCCACTAGTCTGGATTCCACTGCCTCAAGCTACGCGGGACCAAGCTACCTTGCCTTTCGAGCTTCTGAATCCGCGACTATCTGGCCGCACAATCGCCCGGGAGGTCTGTAAATCTGCCTCCGTTAAAGCTTAACCTCCCTTCCATCCACCATCGCTCCCGACGATAAGGCGGTATTCAGTGCTCTTCTAAGTCTTCTCTTACGGCCCCCCAAATACTTTCATGACACCGACGAGCGTCAGTCATCCTCAAAAACACCAACATCTGTCTGAAGACTTAGGCGCAGAGTCAGACTCGATAGAGCTGATAGAAAACCGTCGATCAGAGAAATGGGTAACATGGCTTGCGGGCTTGTGAAAGATACCAGGGAGTATGGGCAAGATCACGACTAGGGAGAGATACGTCGTAAACCCCTTTGAACGCAGGTGGTAAGGTAAGTTAAGGCAAGGCGCCTTACCGCAACGCCCGAATTGAACAGGTAAGTCCTTTCGGTGATGAAATTTTGGTCGAGACCACGCAACACAATACATAGGTGTCGTATTTCACTCTCAGACGTGAGGTGTTCGGCATTCCCGAGGCCATCATACATAGACATGTTACCCACTCGCCTACACACTCCGTCATGCTGCACTTGCGGTTGTGGGGGACATCAGGGAGGAGAGCGCGACTAGAGACCAACAGTCCATCTGACGTCTTAGTCATCTCCAACGCCTTGCCACATCATCTCGACTGAAGCCGCAGGTGGATGAATTGTGCATGCGAGGCTACCCTTCACTTTAGGTATCATGAACACAACGAAATAAAAGCGCTCTGGTGGACATCACGGGAGACAGGCATGGATACACAATTCACATTACCGAGGCAGGGCAAGACGAGAATGAGTCCTAAACGTGGCCATCATTAGCAAAGTGAACCACACGTAAAGGCTACTTGAGAGAGTATGATCATGGCATCAGGTCAGACAAGCCGGGTGTACTCATTCAGCCTAGCCGGCCTCGCGAACCCTGAACCTCAGAACGAGGAACCGAGAAGCTCAGCACTGAAGTCAAATGACGACTCCCGAGGGAGACAACTCCACCACCTTCCTCGTCCCTCCGGAGAGAAACTCCAGTGTGGGAGGATGACTCGGCTGGCATGACATAGTTGAATGGATAAGCTATGGTCATCATGATGTTGCATGCGCCCGAGCAGGAAGCCCGAGAAGCACGCGAGGGAAAGCATTGAGAACAAGAAAATTCTTACCTGTGCTTGCGCGTTTACCCACCATGTTGGGGGCAACAGCTCTTACGCTGAATAAACAAGATTGATTGCCTGCTGTAGGACTGTTCCTGTTAGCTATTTGACTCGGATGATCAAACAGTAGCAAAGGAAGAAGGTAGACGTCGTATCAGACAAAGTTTTTGGTATATGGGTTATCATCACAGTGTTCAGTAGCAGAACTGAATGATATGGTTGTTCATCATAGTCGACGATGTGCAGGTGCTGCAAATAGAGAGACGGAAGAAGCAAAGTTAACGTACCCAAAAAGTGTAGACAGGAAGTTCTGACGACGAGAAATTCACCTGGTTTATTGACCTTGAACCACAGTTAGTAATGTTCTCTTTTCTGGTCTCTAGAGAATGTGCTGAAGGTCCATAGTGGCGTAGGATCAGATGGTGATGCATGTTTGTTCTTGCGCTCAGGAGATCGCGGGAACGGTGTGTAAGATATACATCATGAAGGTGGACAATGGGCGCAAATGAGGCTGCAAAAACTTACCGAGTAAAATGCTCTCGAAGCTGACCATGCGAAAGCAGCCCATTTTTGGCTGCCGGAGCATTGTTCTTTTCGCGCTTGCGAAAGATGGTGGTTGAAGTTAATGGAGGGAAGGAGTGTGGTGAAAAATTTCGACTCGAAGTATCGAGCCTTATATGGCATAATGGGATGTCTCCACTTACCTTTGTGGACCCGGCGCCGGCGCGCAGATGCATCTAAGCGGGTATGGTAGCCGTAACGCAGTGGTCGGTAACGACCTGGAAAATTCACCTCAGGCCTCATCTCGAGCAGCTAAGAAAGGCCCTCGACCCAGGCAAACGACGTCAGGCATTCATCAACCACACACATATCGCGGGAAGTCATCTTCTGCCAAACTAATACTGCCAATCAACAAACCGGTCAAACCGCCCTCCTCACTACTGGGAATAAAAAACCAAAACAGAGTCTCTATCAAGATGGCTGATCGACGGAGAATTAATGGACCGCCTGGTACAACATTACCGCCCGTTTATGAGACTACGGATCCGATTGCGACCCCCAGGGAAAGGCCGGCAAACGGAATTCGAGGATTGTGTTAGTTGACCATTGCTTTTCCCTTGGAAGTTGATCATGCTAATAGTGAGAAGTTCTCAAGACTGGCGTCACTCCCACAGCTTCAGGCTCAGCATACATGGAGATTGAGCCACCACTCGGCCAGATCAAATCTCAGGCTGCTTCTCAGTCAAAGACCAATGGCATGAAGCTCATCTGCACTGTCCATGGGCCTCGTTCGCTTCCTCGATCCGCACCCTTCTCGCCTTACTTGGTGCTCTCAACTCATGTCAAATACGCTCCTTTCGCCACACGTCGACGTCGAGGCTACCTTCGTGACTCGAGTGAGAGAGATCTCAGCGTTCATCTCGACACGGCCCTGCGCGGAGTCATCATTGCGGATAGATGGCCAAAAAGTGGCGTCGACGTGATTGTTACCATTATCGAAGGCGACCAAGAGCGAGAGGCGTCTCACTCCCAAGGCAACGAAGAGTGGGATATGATGAACGTCCTCAGTGGTTGCATCACTGTTGCCGCGGCGGCTCTCGCCGACGCTGGTATCGATTGCGTCGACATGGTCACCGGCGGTGTTGCAGCTCTTGTCTCTTCAAATGAACAAGACACCACAGACACAGACGCGCTGTCTATTGTCTTGGATCCCGTTTCTCTGGAGCACGACAGAATACTTGCCGCTTGCTGTGTGGCTTACCTCCCTTGTCGCGCGGAGATCACCAACCTCTGGGTGAAGGGTCAGCTCTCGCCGTTGGACCCCTTGCTCCATACGAAACTCATGGGTCGCGCTATTCAAGCTTCCAAGGGCAACTACCGCGCCGTTCTCGAGAGGCTCGAAAGCAACCAACCACCCAGTAGTTAATCGATTAGGTCATGGCAAATTACCTAGCGGAGGTGTGCAGCCCGAGTTCAACAACACGGCGTTGATTTTTCGCGCCTTCGAAAAGGAGCCACAACTGAGAATGGCTTCTTGGTGCCTCTGAGCGTCGAAAAAAGTAGCATGCGTTGTCATGCATCAGCTCGGCACATTTTATCGGGTGACTCGCACTCGAGTGATCACGAAGGAGGACGAAGATCTTGGAAGACTGGCAGGCGAAAGCAAGATCACCTTGGGGAGCTCATGCAGAATTGTCAGAGTAATGACAGTCACCGAGCCCTCTACACATAGCCATACTCGTGACCGGTGCGCACAATGTGGACTATGTCGACAACATCCTGTATTATCAGGCGTTGTGGCCAAATCGGCAAAAGATACCAGCCCCATGTATGAAGAAACATTGAGAGCTTCATTCGATAGATGAGGGGGTGACAGACATGGTTAGCAAAATTTGGAGAAGTCTGCTCATTCGATGGTAGGCTGGGAGGCAATAGGACTTCCCTCATCACGATGTGCCTGCTGAGAATTGAGCAAGTGAGCTGTGAATGCCGTACAGATTATCCCGAAAAGGTTTGCTTATGGCCGTTGCCTGTTCTTGTTCCCTTTCACGTCAACGCGATTGCCTTACTTTGTGTTGAGACATCTGCCTGGCAAAGGAAGGAACTCATAGCGGTGCTCCCTGGAAGTTCACTCCGTATAGGTAGACCTTCCGGGTTGTTGATGATACCTTCAAGGTTGAGCATGGATGCTTGTCAGGTACCCACTTTACCCCAACCTCGGTAGCGTAGTCGTCGCAATGAGGAAGCCCTTAGCCGTCTCTCGTAAGCACCCGGACCCCGGCTTCCAGCTCCTCGGTGCTCTGGGCTCGCTATTGTCCGTCAGAAAACGGCGCTAAGGGGTGGAGCGACCTGGAGCGATCAGTGAGCTTCGCGGGCATGCGACAACATCCCTCCATCCCATCCGAGCTTCCGTCCTTATCCATCTCTACACCCCCACCGTCCTTGCCCTCTTGACGAGCCATCTTTGACCGACCTTGGGCCTCGATCATCCGCGAGATACCATCGACGACCGCCTGCCTAGTCGACGACCGCTCCTGACATTGGTTGTCCACAGCTACCTTGTTGGAGACCCTGTCAGCCGAACACCTCCTTCTGCCTGCTGTCCGCATAATGTTCTCCCGCATTCGACGTCACTGCCCATGATCCGAACCGCGACGCTCCCAGCCGCCCCGAGCGATAAGGCTGCTGCCGCTGCCTTTTTATAATCTGGTCTGAAAACCAACCTTTTCCTGGTGACCATGGACAATCTGCATCCACCTCCTACTCTGGAAAATACAGGGGTGTGGCAGAACCTCTCGCTGTGGACCGCCCACCAGGTTCAATACGCCGTAAACATCACCAAGCTCGCTCCTTCCTTCGAAGACCTGGTATGGGCTGGCCCGAGGATGGTGCGAAAGCTCACGGCCTATCTTCCCATTCCCGACTCCCTCGAGAGAGTCATTCCAGAAGCAACGGGACCCGGCATCCTACGTACTACCGACGCGGCCACGACCGCTGCCTTCGATATGAATATACCTCCTCCCATAGGCCGCCTTCCTGGAACTGGTTCTGCTATTCCGGCTGATCCAGATGCTGTCTTGGCGTCTCCAAAGTTCACCATGGAGGGCGCAAGAGGGCTAGGTAGTGTCTTCAGCTATGCAACGAGCAAGTGGGCGCTTTGCTGTATTGCCATGGCAATCGTCCTCAACCGCACGCACATCTTCGCAGCTACTCGCCGACGCTTGCGACTCACTCTGCCGATTCGACTGGCCTTGCGTGGCCTGCCCGTTCTTCTATTCTTGGTACAAGCGCGCGGCCTACTGCGGTCAATCCAGTGCCAAACATCTCCCGACTTTGCCGAAATGCGCTGGGGAAATACAAGCAAGAGCTCCGAGCTCATGTTCTCACAAGCCGGCGGTCTCCTCCATACCATGAGTTCAGCACTGTTGTTGGGGGCTTCGGACGAAGCGTCCTGCACAGCTGTGGGCATGATTCCAACAAATACCAATGACGCGACGCAGGACATGAGGGGATCTCTGTCTCTGTTGTGGCCGCTATTCGGAACGTTTTGCTTCAGTCAATTCCTGGAGACCGTATCGTGTGCTGTGCAGGGCCGACCCGTAGCAGCCGAGACGGGCATGACGCTTTTCGAGCACTCCCTTGCCTTTGCCGAAGCGGATGCTGCCATTAGCAACCAACTTGGCTGGGGCTTGTTTACCCAATCTCAAGTGGCAGATGCTGCTTCGACGAGCGCCAGCAGCATAGCCATCAGCCGCTCCATGATCCTCAGAAGGGTCAACACCTCACCTGAGGTTCTGCTCGTTGCCTTTCTTTCAACCATGAGCCACATTACCAGCCATTTGCTAGGCATCTTCAACCTGCAAGCCAGATTCCGACTCGTCAGCACCGGATTCTGGGGCCTATGCTTCATGGCAAGCATTCTTTGGAGTGCTTTCACGTTCTCCCTGGATGATCCTGCGAAGCAAGGCCTGCTGCGATTTCCGACAGTCTGCATCATCGGCTTCATCCCTCATGTTCTTGTGCTAGGTGGCATTCTGGTCTGTTTCTTCATCTACCTACTCGCCCTCGGTCTGGCGGCCCTCACGCCAACAGAGGGTCAATCAGGACAGAGGCTGAGCCTTCGCGAGCGGCTGGCGCAAGCCCACGCCAACATGCAAGCCAACCTCTCTTTATCCGACATTCGGATCACTATGGAAATGGACTTTTACACCGCTTTGCTTCGGACCGGCTTTGGGGCTATTACTATGGCAAGCGAAGCCGTCTACCTGAACGAAGACAGAGACGTCACAATGAGACCGCACACGTGGCTTGAGGAAGAGAGGTACCGCGAGCTTGAAGAATTACGAAACCAGTGGATCGGAGCCGGCGCTCCTGACTCTCACTATGATACTATTGGCACGATTGGTCTAGTGCCGGTCAAGGACGACCACATGTTGTCCAAGAATGGATACGCTCGCGAACGGGCGGCCCAAAAGGTGCCCAAATCACGGTCTGGGGAGCGAAGATTACGGGACGGCGTTGGCGCTGCGGAGCGGAGTGGCCGATGGTTGATGGCACTGGACTTCATCATGAACATCAACAGACTGATCTTCCGGACGTGGGCTACCACTATGCTGAAAATACTTTCCAAGATTGGCTTACGGCACCCGAGGCTCCTCCTTTGGATCGTTCGCCGACCCAAAGCTGCCACCGACTTGAGGAAGTCGAATCCCAAGGATAGTGCCGGCCGTTCTCAAGCACCTGCAGGTCTTACCGAGTCACCCATGAACATTCCACTGACCGACAGCGTTGATGTCGAATCCGAGTTCCGGCAGCAAGTATGGAGGGGAAACCAGAACTGGGCTCCCACGGACGACGCCGACCTCGATTCGAAGCTGTACGGCTGGTGGCTGAAGGGTGGATGGTGGGGCTCGGCAGACAACAGCGGAGAGTACCAACCGGCGGCGGCATATGATGATGACGATACGACGAGCGTCGTTTCTTTCAGCACGAACGGCGATAGCGATTGGGAATCGGAAGACGCTGGGCAGAGAACGCCCACGCAGTCTAGGACATGGGCTTCGCGCGAGCACACACCGGTCCCGGATGATTCATTACAGCTGTCAGATCTGGCACGCCTGCTACACCCTAGCAACCCCGAAGAGAGGGAAGAGGCGCATGCGTTGGCCGCGCATCTGAGTAGCGACAGAATCGTGACACGATCACAGTATCTCAGGTCACGGCAGCTCCAGCGAACTCAGATACTGCAGCCAAACGGGCAGTCAAATCGTGTCATGACGCGGCCGGTCAAGATGACACCAGACGAGGAGGTTCAACGCTTGGAGCAGTTGCTGCTGTCCCGGCGCTCCCAGTTCTCGACTTCCGTGGATCGCGGGACATCGACATGGGCAGAAGGGGCGGCTGGTCTAGGTCCGGACGGTCCGCAGTGTGTCGTCTGCCAGAGTTCCCCCCGGACCATCATAGTCTGGCCCTGCCGGTGCTTGAGTCTTTGCGACGACTGCCGAGTGTCACTTGCTATGAACAACTTTGACAAATGTGTGTGCTGTCGTCGGGAGGTCATCAGCTTCAGCAGGATCTACGTGCCCTAGGGTTAAGTTGATAATGGCAGGGCGTCTCTGAGGAAGCACGTTTGTGCTTGCTACAATGGGATATCAGAATATTGGGAGATTTTCGGCGTTTGGGGGCGGTTCGTAGCATAGTCATTTCATTGAGGTACACGAAATAGGGGTATCTTGTTGGTATTACATAGGTTATCTAGGCTAAGCGCTGAGCGTCACGTTCATTCAGGCGTGTGGCACAATTTCCAGCTCACATTCCTGCCCATTCAACGCAAAATGCGCGCACCTGCTTAGTGTCACCGTTCACGTCGGGAACCTCTCCGCCAAACAAGAAACCCTTCTTCACTGAAGTTCCCAGACGACCACTGCCAACGATATCAAGCATCGGTATCTTCTCATCCCAATCGTAGTTTGTAGCGAGGAAGTGGGCGTGATACCGCAATGGATCACCCGGGTATACACTGTAATCGGCGCCAAAACGTAGACCAGGAGTCATGAAGTATCCTCTAGACTGCAAGTGTTGGTGCAACGGCCCGGCGAGAGGTCGAGGCACTGTTTCCTCAACCTCGCCCAAAGGCACGAGGAGACCTTCGCTGGTTGTCGGCGTGACCGCCACGGACGGCTTGGCATCCACGCCATCACGGGGTTTGGAGCTCTTATCTGGAACGGCACCTCCAAACAGAGAATCATCCCCCTCGGGACCAGGTTTTGGCTGGGTCGCGGCCGACTTGGCGCCCTTGTTCCTCCGCGTCTGTTCCGTGGCTGCCTTCTTGGCCTGATCCTCTGCCAGCAGCTTCTGCGCCTTGCTCCGACGTTCTTTCAGTAGTGCAATGTAGGCCTGGCGGGTGGCCTTGTCCGGAGAGCGTAGGGACGACAAGTGATGCGAAGCCTCTTCGACGAGGCGGCCTACCTTGTTCTCGATGAGCACGCTGGCCTCCTCGGGTAGCAACTCCAGCGGCAGACTGAGAAACACGTTTTGTGTTGGGTTCTGCGGGGTCGTTCCCACCAGAACGGAGCAGATGTTGTGGCTGCGCCTGATTGTGGCCACATCTTCAGCATCGAAGACGAGGTAGCGATCTGCGATCTTGGAGATGCGCACGGGAGGGACCGAAGGGTCTTCCAACGCTGCTGCCATTGTTCTTGCCTCGGACCGTCTTGGGTCGACCTTGCTGTCCTTGTGTCTGAGAGAAGAGTGTTAGCGACTGCTTGAAAAGCTTGCATGCAAAAAGCTAGTAACAGTGCTGAAAGCCACAAAATCATATCTCGTTAAAATGATAGTTTCGTCACAGAGTGTCAGTGGATTGACAGATTGATTGAGATTGGGTTGTTTAATCATTGAGCTTTGGGAGGTGTTGAAACATGGTAGGAAATTCATAAGACTTACCCTGATGCGTGGTTGTCAGAGTCAAGAAAGAGGTATAGCTGGAAAAATTCGTAGAATTGAGGTTTATGGAGCTGGCAGTGGTGGAGACGGGCGGTGAGGCAGAACCCCTCTGACTCTTAAGGTGATGCTGGAGGTGTTTGTGTGCCCCGTAAGATAGCGTGGCGCTGTGGCTGTGCGTTTGTACCTACTCTTCAACGTCGAGTTGGCCAGGATTCATACCTGCCTTTCGACTTGTAAGTTGCCGTGTCGCGTTAATTCAAACAATTTGACTACTGATTAGGAATATCTGCCATATAATTCCACTGTTTCTATACTTTGATTCAGAGAGAAACTATGAGTTCGAGGACCAAAGCCCTCAAGATACGGCTAGGGCGAACCTATGCAGTACATCAGGGCCTTCACTGATAGTCTTGGGCATGCTGAATCATGGATAGGTTGAAATGGTCTCGTATTGTTATACGCTCAACTCAATCAATTATGTATTCCATCGAAGACTCAAAAGTCTAGCTTCTCCCCCTTCTTCCCCTCTGCCTTGGCCCCTTGGCCCCCATCCCCTTCATCCAACAAAGGCGGGAGAACGTAAGGCTTCACAATGAGCCCACTTGAGCTGCTCATTCTGAAGGAAAGGTCTTCCCGCGAAGACTGGCCCTCTATACCTCCTCCCCTCTCGTGGTAAACAGGGAGGCTATGCACTTTGAGCATACCTTGCACGACGTCTTCTGACTTGGTATTGGGCTCGATGTGCACTTTTCTCGGAAGGGGCAGCATTTCCAGCACTCCGTCGCACAAAAGCTCCATCCATCGTGTAAATCCCGTCGATCGCGGGAACAACGAGGTAGACAGCGAGATCATAGCCGTCAGACTCCCTTCGTGCTGGCGCAGCAGTGCTCTCAATTTGTGCAAGAACTGCAGGGCATCTGCCGGACGGCAGACTGAGGAGCCATAGAGGGCGGGCGACAGAAGGCTCGGCACTACAATACGATGGATAGCACCGGGCGGTGATGCCTTCAGCTTCGCTGACACGTTGCTGATAAATGTGTCCAAAGGGGAAGAGCTACCAGAACCCGATGGCTGGAGCCAGCTCATGGCAGCAGTTGATGGGGTCGCATGCAGTTCGCCCTTGATGTCACTAGGCTGCAGGCGTTTCCCGAGGTCAAAAGAGTGACAGAAAACTTCAGCAGTCCCTGCTGGACCACTGTTGTTCGTCCCTGGAAGATTGCTCATCTTGCGTCAGTGTCCGCGGCCATTCCATGTTCCATGTGGTTCGGGAGAGACGTACTTGGACCGGCATTGTTGCCAAGGCTCTCATATCTCCACGCTATTTTCATCTTCTCGTCTGATGCTGACGCCGATTTCTTCTTACTTGAGCCACTGGCTTTGCCAAGTCCTGGAAGCTCTCCTCTCCACGCGTCCGTTGGGCCAAGCACATGTACTTGTTGGCCCTGCACGAGGCCCTCAGCGGCATAGTATCTGAGAAGTACACCCGAGAAGTCTGTCGTTCCAGACTCCTCTACAAGAATACTGTAGCCAAGAGGTAGCCCTGCGTGTCCTGCCAGGAGTTGGTCTAGTGATGCCGTTCCGGTGGAGGTTGTTGGACGCCCGTCAAGGGGTGATGAACGAGTCCCCACCGGTGGTAGAGCTTCCTGCTTCGGAGGTATGGGCTCTCTTACAGGACCTCTGGTGGTTGGTCCCAGGACGACGTTCTTTTTCCTGAACGACATGATGCCAGGTGTGCTTAAGACACTGAGTTACGAGTTCGCGACTAGTTCTGCTCGAAAATCTGCAGCACTGGGCAGATTCTGACTTGGAAGTGGCTGGGTTGCTGCACCTACCGTCGTGTCAGAAAACCGTTGCCCAAATAAATTACATAAAATTCTCATGAAAGTGGAAGTGATTCCGATGTTGACTCACAGGCAGTATGTACAAGACAACAATCCAGATGTCGCTTCTGATACTGCACTACTGGTATAGATTGCTCACCAGTAATTTAGTGAAAAGAAACTTTATGCACTCAGATACCTGACCTGGGTATAGTTGAGAGCGCCGTGGAAGTGCTGCTACGTGAAGGAAGTAACGGGTAACTTAATTACATCAGATACAGGTTCAGTTCCCCTCCACTGAAGAGGGCAGGTGGGGTTGGTAGTTGCACTTCCTTAGGTACCTTACCTTACCTGACAAAAATTTAAGCCCCACTGATCGCAGTCAGGGACCTAGTTATGCTTCCTAGCCCGACGCGCCCCTCGTCTGATTGCACACTATACCGGTTAACTCAATCACTCTTCGATTTTTATTTTTTTATTTTTACCTTCCCGGCCGGAGCTTCACACGCCTCACCTCGAAAGTCACTTGCCGTCGCTCACGATCCTCAAGCCTTTGCGCCTCCGAACGAAAGACCTTGATATCTTTCTCGCACCACCCGACGACAATACCGCGAATTGCCTGTTCCATTCGCCTCGGAGAAGCACACCAAATTATACAGCAATCATGTCTGGCAGCGGCGATGTCACCCTCTTCGAGGAGTCCTTCACGGTCACCAACTACGACCAGTCCAAGTACGACAGAGTCGCCCGTATCTCGGCCACCTCGACCGACAACCAGACGCTCATGACCCTCGACATCAACATTGAGCTGTTCCCTGCCTCCGTTTCCGACAGCCTGCACGTGGTTCTGGCGACTTCTCTGGCCCACGATGGCAGCAAGGACGACGAGAAGGGATGGCGGGACGTGACCAAGGGCAACCAGGACCGTGAGCCGTCATTGGCCGATATGTTCGATTACGTCTGCTACGGCAAGATCTACAAGTTCGAGGATGCCGACGATGGTCAAACTATGTTCGTGTTCCCGCATTGAATCGAGTGCGCCGCGCAGAAGCTGACCGTGCTGCAATTATAGCAAGGCCTACGTCTCATTCGGAGGCCTGTTGATGTCCCTCGAAGGCCCCTACAAGAAGCTGACCCCGCTGAGAGTCGACTACGTCTACCTGCTTATCAAGAAATGATTGAAAAGATGCTGGAACTTTTCGCAATGGGATTTTCAACGCTTACTCGCTCTATTCTGGCGCGCATAAAAGTGAGGTACTACAAAAGGCTGTACAGAAGTCGTATGGCCCTATACAGCAAGAGCATGGGCACCGGAGTTAAAGGCGTCGGGAAAATCGTTGAAAGAGCGAGCCAGGTTGCTCGTGATATTCCCCGGATCTCGGAACTTTACCCCTGGCTCAAGCGTCCATAGCCCCTAGAGACGGGTCCTGGTTATGCGGCCCAGGAAACGGCATTCGTCGATGGATTCTTTGCGCAATCTGATCATACTCGGGCTCGTTCTCTTTAGTCAAGATACCCCGGCGGATAAAAAAGTCGAGAGCCACCAGCGCGCAATTGGGCTTCCATACGCCTTGTGCGAGTCCTTCGCGGACCTGCTCGACCGTGCACAGGCTGAACTCGGCGACTTCGCCGTCCTTTGGCTGCGGTACAACGTCTGCGGGTAGTTCGAGATCATAAATCCATTGAACTTCGGGATAAATCAGTCCTTCCTCGCCCGCCTCTGCCTCGGTGATGTAAATGTACGTGACCCCGCCAACAAACTTGGTCTGATGGCGAACAATCTCTTCCGGCAGGCTAGCTTCCTCGTCTGCCTCGCGGATGACACACTCAAAAGGGTCTTCCCCCGTCATAAGTCCACCGGCAACGGTGTTGTCCAGCATGCCGGGGAAGGTTGACTTGGTTGGGGAGCGACGCGGAACCCAGATCTTGATGCCGTGGCTCGCTGACGGGTCACGCACAAAGGCCGTCAAGTGAACGCCGTATCGCATGACACCGAATAACCCTGAGGCGGCCCTCTCAATGTCGAAGAGGAGTTCGCCATTGCGGCCGTACACGGGCCACAGCTCGTCGCGCCAACCCCGGAGGATGGGGAAGGTGTCGTTGGCTCTCCAGTACTCAGAGAGGTCCGCCGCCAGCTTGCTGCGGCTTTCTAATGTCGGCCCTTGGAAGGCTCTGAGAGTGCGCTTCTCCGAGTCGACTTGGACTTCCCCCTTGATGCTGTCGGGTACCTTGAGCAGCTCGTCGACTACCCTTGGCAGGACGTATCCAAGAGGTACATCGCCCTGCTCGTCTTTGAAAATGAGAGTGTACACTGAGCCAAACGTCTCAGCATTGGGGGTGTTGACTTGGGGCTGCTTGTACGGATATCTGCATCCTGGGTCAGCTGCGGGGGCTCAGCCTCGGGGTACAATATGCCCAGTGCCAGTGTTTCTCACGAGTCGACCTGGTCGATGAGATCAATGTTGGTGAAGGTCTTCATCTTGTCAGAGTATGTTCTCTTGGTCGTCTTGAGAAGCAACTGGGTGATTATCCGGCTGGGGATCAATAACGATCGTAGCATGTGTTGCTGTGTGTTCTGTAAGATGCGAGGTAGGCGTGGCCTAGAATAAGATGCAGCCGAACCTCGAAACGACGTCGAGATGCATATAAGTCTGACCCCGATGCCGGAAGTGACGTGTGTCCAGCAACAAGAACCGGCATCAAAACTTTGGACCCCTCGAGTCGGACTTCTCGACGGCAAGTACAGAGTAAGGGTATATCCGTCAACCGGGGAGCGGATCCGATACAAGCATATGATTGGCTAGTGTCATCGAGGCTTCTTCCATCGTCTCGAGGCTTCCTCCACAACCTAATGCAGCTGCCCCTCCCCCCACCTTGCAGTACGACAATAATTGTACTTGACCCGGTGCTTCTCACCTCATCGCCAGCCTCATTCTCTCGCAGAGTCCTCAAGCACTGAAGCCTTAGACTTGGTCTTCCTCTGAGAAGCTCCCCTTTTTGTATAATTACGCTGGTAATCCTTCGCTTTTGAAGCTCATGTCTTTGATACACAGCCAACAAGCTAAGTTACTTGCTTCAAAGCTTCAAAGCGATATCTCACCCTCTTCGACCAAATTTTCAGAGTCGCGCAAGGGACGCTATCAAACGGCCTTCCACACCATCCAAGTCATCATTGAAGGCACTCTACCTCTACGTCCACCACCATGTCCGGCCCACTCTTCGGCATCGTCCCGGCCGGCCAGCCCCTGCTGACGGATCCAACATCGGCGCCCTCGGAAACCTCCTTCCTCTATTCCATCTCCGCCGCCAGACCCTTCTCCCACATCACAGTCATGCTCCTCCCAGGCATCGTCCTGCCCCCCGACACCGCAGCCGCAATCTACTTTGCCACGGCCGCCGACGTCGCCGCCGCCACCGCAACGGGCCAGACGCCGAACTTCAAGTTCCTCGGCGGCATCGGCACCGGCAAAGAAAGCGCAACCTTTAAACTCAACGCCGGCAGCAATGCCAACAACGGCGGTGACCCCAGCGTCATGATTGGCGTCTCGGTCGAGCCCGCCGAGTCCGTCTTCTCCCGCATCCAAGAGATCTCCGCCAACAAGGCCTCCTCCTCCTCCTCCAACGCTTCCTCCCAGCCGTCCACGCAGCTTCTGGCGCAGAACATAATCAAAAACGCCTTCAACTTCCTCGCGAGCTTCAGCGGCACGGCCGGCCCGGGAGGTGTCGAGGTCGTCCCGCTCAAGGCATTCGAAGAGTGGTGGAAAAAGTTTGAAAGTCGCGTGCGGTCCGATCCGAGCTTCCTCGAAAGACCGCAAGACTGAGGATGCCCACCGCCATTTACTCACATGTTCCTCTTTTACCTAGTACATAGCACTCTTAATCTGATACCCGAATAGATGATTTCATTGTATTCATGTTCAAGACACGTAGACAAACCCAGTCTAGTCTTCATTGTCATCCGTTTGAAAAATTGGTCTGGAAAGGACTGGCGATTCGGCGTTGTACAACACCCAACGCAGAAGAGGAACAAACAAGTCTGCGACAGCTCAATGCCATGCAATGCCTCCCAAAAGAAAAAGCAATCTCTCGTCTAAAGCGGCCCGGTGACACTTCCCGTGTGACGAAACGCCGTTAACTGCCTCCATTCCGAAAAGCCCAGAGGGGCCTTGATGCTGGGCCAATCCATCTTGCCTGATAAACGCCGTCTCCAGAAGAATGAACAAGAAGAAGAAAAAAAACACCCAGGTGAAATCCCCATCCAGTCGCTAGCAGGCATGCATAATCTTACACTGCGTATAGCAGGCATCTCTGTTACTTAATCCTCATCCAAGGGCTTCATAAGCGGACTCTTCAGTCGTGTCGGACTACCAGCGCGACTGCGACGTCCAGCATTCACCAGACTTGGTACCAGCCTCTCTCTGCTCTCCGTTCTCACTGCCAAACCACCTCGGTCCATCGAAAAGGTTGGCCGAGCGTCGTCGAATCGCTCAATGTTGAGTTTCGGGGTGGCAAGGCCGGAAGAATGACCTGCCCTGGAGCCCTCGCTGCTGTCAGAGTGCTCGTTCTCATCAGAGTCGACGGAGCCTAGCTCGAACTGATCGGCATCGCCCTCTTCAAGAACTCGTTCGTAGGTTGCCGATGACCGTCCAAAAAGCTTGTTGGTGAATGAAAAGCCCCGCCCGAACTTGCGAGGACTGCCCGGACGTCTCGTTCCACGAACGGCAGACGCAACCTTGCCGAACCATCGTGCTCGGCGGTCTCGCTTGCGCAGGAAAAAGGCCAAGACAACCAGAACCAGGATGAAAGCCAGGAAACCAGATCCAGATTTCGTCTTCGCCTTGTCCAGGAGCTCATCAGCATCCCAATCGTCATCGTCGTCGTTATCTCCGATCGTTATAGGGGAGAACTTGGATCCCGCGGGCTCAAAGTCGGTCGCGCCGGCAACGTTGCTTCCAAAGCCAACAGGCTGGGCACTTCCTGAAGGGGGGACTTGACCGGCGGCATACAGCACCATCTTACCCAGAGTCCAGCTGACTTCGACGCCATCGATTTCGTTGACTGGCTGGAAGGGATCGACGAACCCTTTTTCCTTGGCTTCCTCCAGGGTACCCTTCGTAACGTTGAGACCGGGTTGCGGCGTATGTTCGAGTCCTGGTCGCGGAATGCCGATTCCTTCGTAAAGGACGTTGATGAGCCAGGACGCCTTGAAGCAGGCTTCCTGGGCATTCTTTGCTTTCTGGGCAGAAGACTTCTTTCGCGCATCAATTTTGGATTCGATATCCACCCAATTCTGTGTGCAAAAGTCCACAACGTTCTTCTGGTATGTTGCCAAGTCGTATGCCGTCTTGTGACCCTTTCCGAATACTCCGTGGGTCGTGTGCCAAAACTCCGAGACACCGACAAAGTGGTTCACGTCGAAATCAATGTTTGGTACGTGCTGGCCGTTGAGGAGGCAAGGCTCATCTGTACACGGAGTGTCTTTTCCAAGGAGAGGCTCGGTTTGGCGCAGGCATTCGTCGAATCGGCCGGTGCCGAGTAGGGAGAGTTCCTTGCCCACATACTCAGCCTCGACAGGGTCGCCTTTGACGTTTGTTCGCAAGCCCGCAGGGAGGCACGGATCCGGTAGCTCGAGGTCGTTGGGCTTGCCGTACTGTTCTTTGAGCTTGTCGATATAACGCTCGCGGGCCTGGTTCGCGCCGTAGCCAAGCCAGGTGGCAGTGAAGACCCTGTGCTCAATGGTGCTGCCGTCCAGGGTGCGCAAGCGAACAAGCTTCAGATCGTCGGCATGCCTCTCAGCTTCTGTGCTGTTTGGCGCGAACGCAATCTGCGCCGAGGCACCTCCCATGTCCAGAAAGCCGTATGTGTGGTGGCCTTTGCCGTGCGTGTGCTTGTCGGGGTGGTCGAAACCGCCAAGCAGATAGTTTGTAGCGAGCCAGCCATACAGACCCTCGGTCTCCCCAGAGATTACCTGGATGTTGGTATTGCAGTCGGGTAGCGAGAATCGCGTGTTTTGCTGTAGGTAGGAGCACATGTTGCGGAGGAGAGCCTTTTGTTGGTGGTCGGGAAGGAGACGCATGCCGGCCGTGGCCATGAGGTAGACGGGCGTGTCGGCAACCTTCTTGTCGGGAACCTCCTTTAGGGCCAAGTTGATGAGGGATTCCAGGTGTCCATGGCCGATCTCTTCTGGCTTCTCGGCGAAGGAGGACACGCCAGGGCGAATCTTTTCGCTCGTCTGCAGCTTGATCTTGGGCAGACTGTGAAGCTCTTCCACAGTGGCATGCTTTATGGCTTTGGCGTGGTCCTTCCATTTGTAAACGTACAGGCGTGTGCCCGAGGAACCAGCATCAAAGATGATTCCATATCGCCCTGTTCAGTGAGCACTTGAGTCAGCTAGTTGCACAGTATAATGCCAGACGCGATGTATTCTATGAGCGTACATTTTTTCCCCATGAGGAGCAGCTGGCGCAGTCAAGCTGCGGGTTTCTCGTGGCAGGTTTGGCGTAGGTCGGTTGCAGAAGGCAGAAGGCGTGGCGGGATTATAGCATGGGCGAAGGAAACCCGGCTGGTGATAGAGAAATCGTTATCGAGGTCGAGTAAGCGTGGTGGTGGTGGTACGGCGCCTTGGGACTCGTTCGTTTGATCGATTCGAGTCGGTTGTTTGTTCTTTCGAGATTTGCTCCCTTGGTGGTCACGGTGGAGGAATTTCGAAAACGCCTACAACAAGGCTAGTCGCAATGGAGGATCGTCGTGTTTCGCGGCGAGGTGGGCAGAGTTCGCGTGGAGGACGATAGGTGTTGGCAACGGAATGGGTTAGTTGAAAAACAATTGGGTAGTCGCAAAGGTAGGGCGCAGCGGCAGAGAATTGATTTCAAAAGAGTTTTGTCGTCTAAGATTGATTCAAGCGAGCGTCGGTCATCCTGGAGATTGGACAGGAGAGATTGGAGAACGAAGGTTGGCAATTGATTGCTCGATTGATTACCGGCGTCAGGGGAATACACGGCCAAGGCAAATGGAAGGGACGGGGAGAGAAAAGAAGTCTGGAGACGTGGTTCTAGGACTTGGGGGTGGGACTCTGGAGTGGAGAGAGCTGATGGAGACGCAGACGCACTCGCGGTAGGTGAGTGGGTGAACAGACATACGCAGTAGGCAAACGGAGACGACGACGGGAGACGGAGACAGGGGGTGTGGCTCGTGTTGGGGCCTGGGCTGGCACGCCTTGGTATAAGTTGGTCCCTCTGGGAATGGGATTACTGAGGTGACAGGGTGGCAGAATGACGGGACAGGGTTGCATTCAGCCAGAGATTACGCATCCACGCACACTGTAAAGGTAGGTGGTTTCTGTTATCTCATGTCTTATCGGCGAAAAAAAAAGATGGATAGCCAATGGCAGTTGGAGGCTAGAGCAAGTCTCCACACTGTGTTGGGCACTTGCTCAAGTACCTTACCTACCTTGGAGGATTAGCCAAGCACCCAAGGTGCCTCAGTGCCTGCAGGCAGCGTACAGACCGAGACTACAGAATAGTGGCTGGCTACCCTTTTCAACACTAGTCCTAAAGGTGAGGTGACGGGAGGTGAAAGATGGCAAACCGTCTGGCTGTGTGTCTGCGCCGGTCTTGACTTCAAACGAGGGAGTGCGTAACCGTCTGATTGTTGGTCATGATTGGTGCCCTCGGGGGAACGTGCCTTTTCCCCTCGACTGCCGGATACATACTTTAGGTGCAGTCGCCCAGGGCTACACAGTACCTGCCGTGACAGCACCCAATGGAAGGTTGGACGGAAATGCTCTCGGGGGTTTCTGCATCTCGATGTACGGATACTTGCGCTGGAATCACGGTGCCAATCGCCAAGGTACCTTATCTTGCGCGTTCTCCCTTGATCATCGCCCAGAGCTGTATGCAGCATTGCAGATAAGGTACACTAGACGTTTCCCACTGATAGGGACCATCAACCCGCGGGCCATCGACTTTATCCCTCACTTCCTCCTCCCTCGACTCAAGGACCGTGCCGGCGCGTGCATCAACTAATGGAAGGAAAAGAAGCCTCGGAAGAATTGGGGGACCACACCAGTACCAAGCACTAGGTAATCCAGCGCGGCGCGCCACTGTGCACGCTGCAGCAGCGCCCATTGGAGTGCAAGTGTCGCCGGTCGGGCGTGCCGTGGTCCCTTACTCGCCATCGTCGCCCCCCTCTGGCCCGTGCACCGTGAGAATTCTTCGGATTGCTCACTGGGCTAGTGGATTCACTAGTAGATACCCCTGCCGTCGGACTGCAGAACTTGGTTGGACCCCTGACTTGGCGTGTCAGATTGGCCAGCCGGGAATGCCACGGCGTGACTACGGAGCACACTGTGCTCGCCGCGTACGAAGTACACCTTGAGGCAGGCATGGCAGGCATGGCTACCGGTAGGCACGGAATTTGGGAAGCTCCTTCTGCAACCGTCGTTCCCACGGTTCCAAACTTGATGCTTACCTCATCACATGTCCACCAAGTGCAAGAGATATATTTATCCCCCCACCACAAGTCTCGCAACCTTACTGACTGCAGTTCTGTGAGAGAGCGGAGTTGTGCAGATGCAGGGCACAGTGCTTCAAGACAGTGCCAAGGGATGCATGCAGGCCATCACGCAACTAATAAACTAACCGGCCCACGGTTACGACGAGGATTGCCCCGTCTGCTATCGCAACTTTGGCCCAAGATAATTTCTTATTCTCTTCTCTGCTCTTTCTTTTCCCACCTTAGAATTGGTGCACAATCTAATGAACCACATGGTTGCGGGGTCCATCGTACATGTACATATGGCAACTTGTCTTCAAAACGCCACGCGTGTATCAAGCCGAGACTTTCTCCCTTTTGCTATTCGCTTTCTTTCAGCTTCCTCGTGACTGTCAAGGGGGATTGATTTATGGGCTCTCGAGTGTCCCCTGGTACAATATAGCTCCGTATCACACTCAACATATTGTAGACTCAAATACTTGGGTCGAATGAGGCTCTCCAAGTCCAACCCAATATTACTTCTGCTTGCAAGGTGCAGCTCGTCGACCCACCCCCGCCCCCAATGATATCACGCTGTGCTTAACTTCCCATTTTATAGCCTTCTTTCGTCTCAACATCCCGTCTGCTCAACCAGCATCACCAACTCTCCTTGGATTTGTGTCTTGTTCTCGCCCGCTTTGGTATCTGAAACCACCGAGCGCCGATGTTGAGCACCAACGTCATACGCCATCGTCCGGGGCTGCAGCGAATGGCATCCGCCCTCCCGCCGCGCATCATCCGTCGCTGACCCCTCACCCCACTGTCAACGCTCGTCCTGGCTTTCACCTGTCCTCCAGATGGGATGACTCCCCAACGCCTCCCATTGTAATCCCAGCTTGCGCCTATCCTGTCGCCCGGATCCCAGCTCCGGGAGAACAGGCAATGCGCTACAAACCAAGGCCGTTTGACTGTTGTCGACACGCATCGGTGACGAAACTAGTAGTCGAGGCTTCTGCTGTCTTCGTGCTTCCAGGCTGTGTCTCCTTCCTCCGCAATGTCGCCACCACTGCACCGATCGTTGCGCTGCTGCTTGTAGCCATCTGCCGCCTAACATATCGCCGTTGCCGCCGCTCTTGGCGCGAGGCCTGTTGAACTTCTGCAGTCTCTTCCGTTTCTTCGGCATAGTCTCGGGACTCTCTTGGCCAGTTTCGATGTAACGCTCTTCGTCCACACGCGACAACGACGACTTTAAGCTGTATCTCCTGATGGACCTTGTTCGGCCGAATCGTGGCATTACAGTGTATCGAGTTCTCGCTGGCAGGCTCAGCAACTCGAATCGACTAAAGACAAGACTGATGTGCGTACATCAACTACCAAGGGACTATCAAACGCATCCCGTTATCGTCCCTGATATAAGTCACATCTTCGTGCCCAAAGGCTGCTGCTTCTTCGGCTACAACTCGTGGCCCATCCTCGAACAACGTCTCGACCTCGTTTCAAACTCTTGAACAAGAGCCTTCACGTTGAAAACAAATGTGTGGGCCATCCGTCGTCCATATTCCTTTTGTAACTTCTCCATCCATTGTTCCCTCCAAACACGTGTCTAGCCAACAAAGGCATCTGTTCTCGAAGAGCACAATCATGGCCCATGTCACGGGTCCGCCAAGTGACTAAATGCTGCGGGAGCAAGGCCTGGACGTTTGACTGCTGTCCCAAATCATTAGTCGCGATGTTTCAGAGGCGAAGAATGGGAGAAATACTATAAAAATATGGCTCCGTTTCGTCGCGTCCCGTAGAGCCATGACTACTTTGACTGGTATGACCAGTCCGGATACCGGAAGAGAGGCCAACTCCAAGACCTCGTCCACGCGATATGGGCGGGTGTCTTACAAGTGGGAGGTTCCCCGAAGGACCGCGAGGCATTGGTGTTCCGGTTCCCGTACCCGGCCCGGACGCAGTCGATAGCCCGAACCTTTCATGGCTGCCACTGCCATGTCCTCGGGGTGTACCTCGTGGGGTGCTCATGATGCCGCCTTCGTATTTTGTCAGCGTGCAGTTTCGTCGCATGTCAACAGTATCCGGCTTACCCTGCGCAGGTCCTGGTTTTGACCAAGCTCTGTCGTCGCGAAGTGGCCCGGAACCGCTTCCGCCAGCAAGAGGTCTTCGATGTCCCCTTTCCGGCCCGACGTAGGAATGTGCATTGTTGTACGCAGACTGCGACTGCGGTTCGTAGATGTTTTGCCTCGCTGCGGCTTCAGGAAACTCAAAAGCCGGCAATTGTGAGCCATATTGAAGGTTGGAGTCAACTGCATCCGAGGCGGCAGCCTCCATCTGTCCCAGCTCGGCTTCCCGCTTGACCTTGTCGTAGAGTTCCTGAACTTGTGTGAGCTTGCGGCACTTGTCTTGGTAGGAACGCGCAAGTTCTTCGTGTTTCCGTCGCATGTCGTCGTAGTCATCTGAGAGAGCTACTAGACATTAGTAAACTTGTCTGTGACCTCAAAAAGCGGCCACGCCGTTGTCCCGTACCTCGCATCTTTTCCTGGAGACTCGAAATGTCGGCATTCGCATCACCCACCGTCTTTTCGAATTTGACGTTTAGGGTTTTCAGCTTCTCCGTCAGCGTCTTTTCGAGATAGCGCTGGTATATACTATGCTAGGTAAGTGACCGTTGCCCAAGGAATTGGAACAGGGATCAGCTCACACTTCTTGGGTTGTCTGGTAGGCCCAAAAGCTCAAAGCCCTTCCTGCACATTCCATGATTATGTTGGGGCTCAGCCCACTGAGAACGCTGGTTTTGTAGTCCTCGGTCAGGTTCAAGTTGGTCACCACCGCGTCGTCTGGATTGTTGAGCTGGCATTCACAAGCCGGGCACGACTTGCGGCGAACCTGAACTTGGCCCGTCAAGCCATGACGCTCAGAGCAGTCCACACAAAAGATGTGGCTGCGCAGATTCAGTCAGCTAGGCGCTGCTTGATTTGCTTAAGGATATCTAACTCACCTGCACGTGGTGACCAATGCCTGGTCACTGAGCTCTTTTCGACACTTGAGAACGTTGCATTTAAGAGTATGTTCCATGGCGAACGCTGATGCTGGCCGTTGAATTAGGGGGGGGCTGTAGGATTTACTACGTTTGGGGAACCTAGCTCGATGCTGGTCTGGCTCTTCAACGCCGCAATGTATCGAGTAGTTGTTTCGAAGGCAGAGTATGGATATTCGTGATTCGCTCGCAATGTGCCAGTACCAGAGGCCTATGATCGATTTTATCTCGGATCCTTCTCAAAAGAACTTCCCATGGGTGAAAGGTATCGGTAGTTCAAGAGCGTTCGAGAGAAGAACGGGTGGCATTGTTACGGGTAAAAAGCTTCATTGATGTTGGACTTAGCCTTCCCGGTGTGCTTTACTCATCTGAGCTACTCGTAGGGCAGTGCGCTGGCCGACATTTCTCCGCGTGGGCAAAATGGCAAGTGAGGTCCGCCCTCATGATAGGTACCTTGAGGTAAGGAAGGTGGTGAGGAGCTACCACAATTGCCCGCCTTCATTTGGTGCAGGCACGTGCCCATTACTTACAGTATGGACTTATGAAGATGCTCCTGCCTCGTCGTTCCTTGAGGAAATACTAGTAGCTGTCCGCCTACTATGGCCGTGACTCTTCCGCGAGAGAAGAGGGATGGGTCACATACTCTTGAAATGAGATGCCTGGCCATCAACGTCACTTGAACCCACTTTACAATACTGACGCGCTTGCACTTGGCGAGATGCAAACACTGGCGCCTTTGTCTTGGTTCTCAACGAGTAATGTTGCGATAAAGAGGCCGATCGTCCGGCTTTTGAAGCTGAGGAAAGCGTCTAGAAAGTCGGCTGCCGGAGCCGGTGGGAGACCCAGCCCGACTGCGCCGGAGTGGGGCGCATCCCAACGGCCCCCAATCCCCGCAGTACGGTTCGTCTCGGTCTATCGGCCGGGTTTGGGTGACCCACAGTTAACCGGATCAGCGGGGCCGGCACTTTTCGTCGCTGTGGCCGTGTCGACGATGAGACATGCATGAAGCAGTGTCACCAGAATTCTGCTTCGCTTTCTACTTCGTCCAACTACCGGCAGCTCAATGTTCCCCAATGAGCTTCAACAAGACTTCGAGGAGTCCGAGGGGACAACATTGAGCCTCGGTGTTTTTCGCAAATTCTACTCAGAGCATGACCCAGTGGTCGCATCGCCCGCTGGAGGCATGACTCGTATGCTTCGTCGCATCCTGTCGACCGAGGCTATTGGCACGCCGGTGCCATCGGGAACTTAGGCCCGGTGTCAAGAGATGAGCAAAGCCTTATTCGTGGTGGGACGGCCGAGTCACATCGTGTCCTGGCGCCCTAGCATTCAGTCTCTCGGCTCAATTGGCGAAGAACACTAGTCACTGGGAGTCTAGAATCTAGAAGAAGGCTACATCCTGGCCTACAATGTAACACCGCAACCCTCGTGTATGGTCTTCAATTGATGGCACACAAACGTCGCAGAAGCGAGAGTCGCGGCAGCTAGACACAGAGTGTAATGTCAAGTTTCATTGTGTACAACCTCAAGTTATATCTTATTGAATTGCCGTGGAGTAAAGAATGACTGGGTTCGGCATCTGTTATGACGGGCGTCGGGCGTCTTTCTCGACGCCACACTCCTGCAGAAGCCCCTTGTCAAGTACGTCAACCTTTAATGAGACTCATTTGAGTAAGAAAGGGCCTGGCAGCGGCATACGAGCATCATTGAGCCCGACGGCCATCTCCCTAGTGAACTGTGTCTGGCATTCTATAGCAAGCAAGACTTGTGATTCGCTCATCGTACAGGTACAGATACGCGTTTTTATGTCTCTGCTATTGCCCAATGGTGAGGCAAAGCTGGTCCTCAAAACAAGGGTAGAGACAATGCTCGTCGCGCTTTGTAAGGCTCTTCGCGCTGGAAAGGCTCCGGTAGCGTGGCATCTCGTTAGGTATTCAACACCATCTTATCTTCCCCGGACAGTCGAAAAACACCACGGCGGCAAGGGTCTCTGCCGATCGCCTACATTGTCAAATCACCGTAGAATCATCATGTGGCGTAGCAGGCAAGGTACAATGAGAAGTAAAAAGAAGAGAGAGACATGTGAGGCGCCAAAGGGTTGGGGGAGACAGGGACTGCAGAGAAGTCAGAAGAACCTGGACTAGAACAAGGATCATGGGATGATTCTGGATGTGTGGGGTGCGTGGCGTCTATGAGGGGGAGTACAGAACAGGGGTAACTCTGGTCTCTGCGGGCCGACATCCCAGAGAGGCCATCCTTGACACCTCCACCAACCCATTTACCCGCCCAATCGCAATTCGGGTCCTCTCGGATATCTGCGCGTTCATCCTAGCTTGGTTTACCTTACCTCGGATCATGGAAACCTCACTCAACCTCAACCTCTCCAGCTCTAACCTCTACATGAACCCCAAGCTTCTCTTTGGGGAATGGAGAGCATGACGCTAAGAGAAACGGCCACCATTGACGAACCTTTGACGAACCATCCTGCTCCGATCCGACCACTCACCTCCCAGCCAGCCTCGTCCCGGCCGACGCCATGGCATGATCGTCCGCTCTCCCGATCGCGACGTTATGCTTGAAATGAACAACAAAAGGTCCCCTCCTTTGTGCCCTGTCATAGTTGTGCAACCCGAGGTAAGGTACACTTGCGCTATGTGTTGTTCAGGGGTAGGTGAAGCTCCTGCTATCCGTCAGCAGACTTGTAATTCGCTGATGCTCTTGAACACACCTTGATATGGAACAACCTCCCGCTTCTCAAGGACGGGGAAGTTGAATAACGTTCCATGACTTCGCGGTACGTAGGACCCTGCACACCACTCGCATCAAAGGCCTCTCTACAGTCATGTGCCTGCCATGGCCGCAGCAGGACGTAAAGTTATGCGCCCACGCAGGGACTCATTAGGATCATAGGACCGACAGACGAGGCCCAGTCTCGCCTTGCCGGCACTCCAGAGTAACTCCTCGCATGGCAGAAACACACGTGGCCGATGTCATTGTTGCCAACGGCGGGCGGGCGGGCGAGCGGGCGAGCCCGGGATTAAAGTGAGCTCTAGGCTGTCTCTCGTCACAGTTTGTATTCTTCATGGGGTCTTGTTTAATTGCAGGTCATACGTAAAATCGTCATCGTCATTTCGGGGCGTTTCCAGTAATCTTCGCCGCCATCATGTCCCGTTTTCCATGCTTTCAGGCGCGCCCGCCACCCTCCCCCTTTTCCTCTTTTTGGCCCCGTCAATGTGACTGGCGTACGTTCCAAGAAACTCCGAGCACTATTTGGCTCACCTTTTTGGACATGTGAGCTTATGTACAGCATCTTTGGCTTCGGCCTACAATGCCCTCCGCCAAGTGTCCCAATCCCAGCATCAAGATCCAAGTATGTACCAGAGAAGAGAGAAGATATGTACCAGAGAAACCAAGCCAGAGCAAAATCCCCAATGTGACACATCAGTGGACGAAGAAGCCGCCCTCCATGCCGGCTACCTGGCTGCCCATCATACCGTAGTCCATATGCATCATATGCTCGTTCACGTTGTACGGGGAAAAGTCGACGGCCTGGTCAGGACCCTGGCCCCAATACATGCCGTCCATATCCCATAGTCCATGCTGATCGAGCATGCCCATCATGCCCATCCCTTCCGGCTCCAGGCCGATGGGTGACATGTGCAGCTCCGCCTCCGCCATCAGCATCCCTTGCTCGCCCGCCAACCCTTGCAGAGGGCTTTCTGACCGCATCGACGGCTGTCGAGAGGCTTCGTACATTCGCCACACGACCTCTCGGCTACGCTTCGCCGCCAATGACCAGTCCTCCATGGCCTCCAGCAAGTCGAGGATCGTCTCGATCTGCTGGTGCCAGTCGGCCACGCGCGGGCTATTCCATTCCCAGAACGTGCTGACCAGCGGGATCATAGCCGCTTGGTAGAGGAACCACACAGCGTTCCATCCAGACATTTGGTTGCGGGTCCATTCCCGGGCAATGTCCTCAATGGTCTGCTTCGCGAGCGAGCGGCACGTCTCAATGGCCGTGACATCCTGCTCGGCCACGTGAGACAGCGAGCCGTTGCTAGCCAGGCTCAGCAGAACGGGTCGGTGGAGGAGCATCCGCAGGTTCTGGTATCGCCACTTCATGATGCACCGGGCAATGTACAACGGCTCCGCGCAGGGGTCCGTCGTTCTTAGGAGCCACGGTAGGCTGCTGTACCAGTTGACCAGCTGCCCGTCGAGGTTGCAGCGATCTTCTGCGCGGAGGAGGGGCGAAATGGCCAACAGGTCTTGGATCTGCGTGGCAATCTTGCAGAACTTGATGTTCTCGATGAGGGGCAAGATGCCGGCGTGCTGCGCAGAGTCCCGGCCCTGGTTGATTCCAAACTCTGGCGGCCGGATGTTGATGGCAGGGCCCCATCGGCCGAACGAGGGTCGTCCCATTGTCGTTGTTGCCCATGTATCGAGGCAGAAGAGGCTCCACCACGTACGGCGTCTGGTCTCGGCGGCGGCAATGTCGCTCGACCCTTGCGCCAGGCTCTCTCTGTGAAGGCCGAGGGCGCTTGCCATTCTAATGGCCGCGCCAAGGACGGCGTTGGCCATGTTGGGTCTGTTAATGTAGTGCAGATAGTAGCCTCCGATCAGCGCGAGGGCTTGCACCATCTCGATATGGCTGCTGCCAAAGGCATCCATGGGCAGATGCTCCATGGCCCTGTTATAGTAATTGATGTGGTTGTAGTCATCCGATTTCATAGCGACGATGCTGCCCATAGCAAAGACCATGTTCAGCAATGCTAGCCAGGGGGCATCAAAGCGCTGGCCTTCCAGATAATCGGCTCGGAAAGCGGCCTCGTCCAGCATGGGAACGAAGACGTGGATGCGTTTGAAGTAAGCGTCAATGAGCGTCTGGCCCTTCCATGACCACGGGATGCGCTGAGTATCCTTGGGCACGGCGCTCCTCTGTCGCATGGATGGGAAGCTGTGTGTGACTTCGGCGCTCTGGAGCGGCGTGGTAAGCGCGTTGCGAAGTGCCGGCTGAACCTTCATGAGACACATGAGCGCTGCTTTGATTGAAGAGGCGCCGAGATATGACGATTGACGGTCCACGGACAGCGAGAGGGCGTTCACATCGTCGGCCTCGATGGGGATAGGATCGCGTACGCGGCGTTCTTCGTCCCACTCGGTATCCCGGCCAGGCATGAGCTCGAGGCTTGAGAAGCCCCGCTCGGAGCCGGAGCAAACCGGGGAGTCTAGTTCTTGTGAGAGGGGGGAGGTATTGAGAGGCGGTGAGGGGAGCGCGGTTGGCGTATCCAGGACCGGGTGTTCAAGGAGACCAAGGAGGTCGTGGCGAGATAGTGGGAGTAACGACTGTACGTCTTGATGGGGAAAGAGGCGCTTGAGCACAGAGCGGCATTCTTCGAGAGACTGTGAGAGTGCCTCGAGCGTCTTGCGGGACGGAATGACGCGCTGTCTGTGCTTGTCATAAAAGCAGCGCTTGGGAGCCCGGCTTGAGAGACATTGGCCGCATGGCTGTTGGCCATCACAGCGGCTGTCAAAGAGGTTAGATGATATCGGGTCAAGAGAGGCCGAGCGGAACATACATCTTTCGTCTCTTGCACTCGGCACAAGCATGTGGGGTAGTGATTCTCTTGGAGCCTGACGAGCTCGTCGATTTGCCGCTTTCCTGCGACTCTGACGTCTGCTTCCGTGGCGTTACGCCTTGGACTGGATGGTGTGAGTTGGAGAAGACAATCACGGCTCAGAGAGACTCACAGGTGTGAAACATTCCACCCTGAGCGGGTACTGAGATGGACGGAGCCATGTTCGCGGTTGCCGAGAAGATGGAGTTGCTCTAGCCAACAAGGAGCTGAGATAATTCGCAAGAGCCTCGAGTGATTCTGTCAAGAGGCGTTGAGATGATCAAATGATCTATCTTTGTCTTTGCGGGAAATCCAGACGCACAGATCAGTTCGTCAACAAGGTTGGCGCAGACGCAGACATTATATACAAACTGGAAGAGAGAGTTATTGAGTAGAGTCAAAATGAAGTACCCTCCTGAGTACGGCAACCATTCGAGGGACCCGGCGCGGCAACACTGGGTGTGGGGAAAGGCAGCATGGGTCTCGAGGTGCACTGAATGAGAGGGAAAAGAGGCGATGGAACCTCAATGCCGTGTCGGCTACGTGAAGCAAGATGGACAGGCAATTGAGCTTAGGGTTGGCCGGCCGGAACCAAACCAGGCTAGACGGCCAAGCAAGTGACTGGGGCTCACAGTGGAGGGGGCTTGATCCAGATTCAAAGTGTCTCTGGTCCATAGCGAGGTGACATCTGTAGAATAGGTATCGATTGCATATGTTCACGGTATGTGAAAGAGACAGCTGGTGGGCTGTTTCTTTTGAGAGAGAGAGAGAGAGAGAGAGAGAGAGGCAGAGGGCAGAAGGAGCTAGGACGAGGGGAACCGAGAGAAGTGGATTGAGTGTACAAACATGGGCGTGTTGGAGCCTTGGAGGCGACGAGCCGAAGAGGTGGTCAAAGTCAAACCTGCGAGGTTCAGCGTGGAGCCGTAGACTCGCACCTAGTGCCAGGAACGCTGACCGGGGGTTCCTCTCCCAGAATCCCAGGAGGAGGGGCGTGGACGGATCATGAGAGTGAACGGGACCGTAACAGGGCCAAATTCCGGAGGGACGGGAACGATACCTAGGCACGCTAGACACTATATCATCAGACCAAAAGATGAGGTACGATAACTCGCTGGTCTGAGTGAAGCATAACGCTGAGTGGTGGACCTGGCCTCACAAAAATTCGAGTGGGACAGCATGATGGGAAGACCTCGTGGCGGTGTCTTGGACTCCAGGGGCTTGAGGATCGTGGCCAAGGCCACTACCGAGCGGCCGACACAGGCACACAGGCACCGTGATACAGAGAGTTCAGATGGTGGGAGAGGTGTAAAAGCAGTGCAGATCAGTGTTGGTAGAGTGCTATATCTGTGGTTTGTAGCAGTAAAAGTCATTGGTAGGCAAAGCAGGATGAAGCGGAGGATGAAGCGAAAGACACACCCCCTTTGGATATCAAAGCGATCTGTGATTGGGGCAGAAAATCTGGAGAGTGTGGAGGAGGATGAGGATGAGGAGGGATGACAGGTTTGTGTCACTGTGGCTGGTGAAAGATGGGATGGGTGGGAAAATGCAGGTTTGCTAGATACAGCAAGTCAGCAGTTAGCAAGGCTAACAACACAGCTCAGGTGACACGGCACGATGGGCTAATGTACGGACGAAAATATGGGGATTGGGGTAAGGTTGCAGTGCGCAAATGGCTCTAAACCTCGTTGTGAGGAGATTTGCGAGAATGGGAGCGAAAAAGTCGCAGGAGGGATGGGTGGACACTGTTGGTGTTGTCGTCCGGACCGATGGGCAAATTGTTAAATTAATCAACAGGCAAAGTTTGGCGGTTGGGGGAGGGCAAGCAATGTGAATGAGTGAGTGAGTGAGTGAGAGAGTGAGTGAGTGAGGTGAAGGGGTGGTGCAAACTTGAAAGTGAGTGGTCTGGGGGCGGGGAAACCGGCGATGGGAGGGCGGGGGGACGTCGGGTCAAAGTGGGGTAGCGTACCGGGCCACGGGCTTGACAGACCACTCAGAGGACAGAACGGAAGACGGGACAGGTTGGAGATGGGAACGTACCGCTCGCAACCGTGATTACCTACTGCGGGTGTCCACCACCCGATGTGATCAATTTACCCTCGGTACCTCTTTCCTTTCTGCGCCTTGGGCCTCTATCCATAAAGTAAGGTAAGGTAAGGTAAGGTAAGGTAAGGTACCTTACTGCCAAACTGAGGTGTGTAATAAGAGACACCTACCTTGTAGGCAACATCGCATCGCATCGCATCACATCACATCTGGCATCCGAACGGTTACTGGGATCCTGATGCGTTCTCAGACATAGTTCCTGGTACCTCGATCCACGGTCAGGTGCGTATTGCAAGTGGCAATGGCTTCCACGTTGGACGGCAAGCGGGTGAAGTAGTGTTTAGGTTAAAGTGCCCAGTGACAGCCGTCAGCCACTGAGTGGTGGGGAATCTCAATCGGGCGGGGCCGAACCCCTGGCGTCTGAAGCTAAAGTTATTGCTTTTCTTGCGGTCCGCGAATGCCCACGATGCCTTCCATTACCGGTACCTTAGCAGTGCTTAAGTAAGGAACATATACGTATACTAGTAGACACGGACCATTATCTCCAACTTTCTTTTTCCTTCTCGAATTCTGGACGTGTGCGACCGTGCGACCGTCGACGTGAGGGAGGCAGGAAAGCAGTTCCCCTTTCGCATCAAAAGAGGCAGGTTCTCCATGCTTACCTAAGGTGGCAGCACCAGCCACACCGGTAATATGTAGTCCCGCCTCAGCCATGGCATTTACACCTCATTTCAACGACGACAATAACCACGGTCTGGAATTCCCTACCAGCGCGCTATTATCCGTACCGCTCTACCCGAACGCGAAGCTCTTGACTCTCGCCCGACCCTCTATTCTCTTTCTTTTTGAGCCTTGATGAGCCTTTCAGGCCTTCCGTCTCCGTCTCCGCGCATGTCCGCAGCCGTCCTGAACATGTGGAGTAAGATCCATACGCGCATCGCACACCAAGTCTTTTAGCGTGTGTCTCTAGGCTCCATCGTCTGCTCTTTTTTATCTTTTTTTTATCCATCCTCTCCGTCTTGACAGCCGGTCACCATGGGCTTCCTCTCATAGACTGGCCAGGCTGATTCGCCTACTGTGGTAGAGGCGTGTGGAGAAGGGAGGAGGTGTGGAAGAAATAAACAGGGTGGTACCACCGTCGATCCAGGGTATCCGTACACCTTCTTTCCAAAGCCCCTCCACCTCCTCTCCCCTGTTTCTCCAAGCTGTCCCCGCATCCTTGTTAAAGAAGACGGACTCCAATTTGTGAGAGGACACAAATTTCTTTGACATCTGACTCTTTTCTCCATGTACAGATGAGACGACACCTTCTCGGCCTCGTGCGGCAGCCCGCCAGCAGTTCGATATGGTTGATCAATTCATGTCTTACACCTCTGCTCTGTCCTGATCCGGTCTGCTCTCACTGGCGGACCGGCTCATTGCATCTCACCTCGGCCGGCTTGCTTACCATCCCTCCCTCATCTTACCATCAGGGGATGACATCTTCTTGACCGAACGAAAAGCAGGAAATTGATCAACGGCTTGCCGGACTGTGAAAGGCTCTCTCATTGTTTCATCGTGAACCTCGTCATGGGAAGCCGCATTGTAGGACCCCAAGGCGAGCAAACTCGCGGCAAGCGTCGTGAAGCTATCTAGAAGTCATAGCAGCGTCCAAGTATAGGTGCATTTTCCAAGTCTCAGTAGACTTGCTTCCATTACACACCAACAGAGAGACCTTATTTCTGCCCGGCTTCGATCCCGAAAGCTTTCGGCTGTTTCAAAGCACTTCCCGCCGGCATGTGCCGCCCATCGTGGGTCTCAATTTTGGCTTCATCGATCCAGGACGACCGGCCCTACCGACGGGTACCTCTTACAGGAGCGCCAGACGGACGAGGCGGCTCAGTCACACATCCATCACAGCCCATGTCACACCAGCATGCGCTTATTCTTCTTTTCTACTTCTTCCCTCTACTTCTTGGAGTACTTGAATCTGCCGCCCGTCCCATATAGCTCCATAACCACTCCTACCCTCCCCACACCCCTTTGCATTACAAGTTTGGTTCCTCCAACCACGCTGCCTCCTCTACCGTCTCGACCTTTCCTCCCTTGGTCTCTATTCCGGCCGGCCTTCATCATGACTGGGTATGTGTTCAGAGTCTCGCGTGCGCGACCTGGACGGGACGACTGTACCTGGAGAGCCTGCACTAATCAACAACGGCGAGACACATCAGGTGGACAGCCTTCCACGCAATAACACGCCTTGCTGAGGAGCTGTGCCTGGCACCTCTCCCGACGAACCGTTCCCATGTCCCCTGCGTATTGTCTGCCGCCCGTCATCCGTTAAAGGAGCAGATTTGCCTAAAGTAAGGAACGCCCATTCAACTGCTAAAAGCCACACTAATGCATCTAGGTCTTTGCGGACCCAAAGAACTACACACGGCTCACTGAGGGACTCCCTGATCTTATCACCATCACGTCTGTCTCTGGGTCGTTGTGTCTCAATCTCCCGCTGATGCACAGCACTGAAGACCGGGTACTGTGGCGATGACCGCTCATGTGCTCGACAAGAGTTAACCTTTACTTCGCGGTTGACCTCGTGCAATGCATCCGCACTTATTGGGTATTCGATACCCCACAACATTGCCTCCCTCCTCCATCGACCAGGCCTGACTAGAAGTCTAAAACACATAGACTAAGGTGTGGTATGCTCGATCCGGTCAGCCGACAGCATCTCACTTTTAGGCGCCCTTCCTCGCTGGCCTGGAGCGGGTGCCTGCTCCTGCATCCCGTTGGATTTTGAAGAGAAGAATACTATCTCTCTCCTTTATGCCGCCTACACGCGCCACTGCAGGGAACAATGGCCTCCCCGACAGCTTGAGATGAAACATTGTCTTTCGCTAATCTGCGTGGCCACGGCATATGCTGGCTTGTGGGATATATTCCTCTTCGAGTTGCCATATGCCTCACGCGGTACTCTCGGCCAGTGGTAACACTACAGGATGAGATACGTTTTGGCATCACAGAACACCGCAAAAGATGGACTTTGGTCACGTCGATCAATGAGGCGGCATCGTTTTCGCAGTCGCAAACCACCAGGCACTCCTGCAGTAGCTTGTCCATGGTCTGCAGAGGATGATCTCCAAGGTTCCTGGAGGTATGGTTCCCCAGATTCAGGATTGTGCAATAGCAGAGGGTATCGGACCCGGCGAACCGTCTAGACTTGTCGTCTCCTGTCTAGCCGCGCTTCTCCTGCGGGGATCTTTGAGTCACGGGTTGTGGAGGTAGGGGTGCGTATGTTTGCATGAAGCATGGTTGGCCTTTCAGTAGCGGCTTGTGTCCGACGCTGACTGGAGCCTGCAACTTCTCGAACCGACAGTCGACCGGGGCAGTATAACCGTGATTTACTCAGCCAGATTCTTCCGCGAGGCCGGTCCCAGAGTATGGTCAATTTGCGAGTCATCACAATGACAAGGGCTTCTCCGACGACTATCCGTAAGACCCCCTGCGGGATATACGCGGGAATGATCGCGAAGACTGCGAAATGCCGCATGGGCGCTCTCGAGTGTGCATTTTCGAGGCTCGTACATGTCGTTCAAACTGGCTTCCGAAAGAGGCCTGCCCAGCTTACTATGTTCGCCGGCACAGCAATTCGGCCCGCCACCTTTATCGACACGTGTTTAATCTTATTGACGCATCTGGCTCGGCTGCGCGACGGCTGCGCCCGAGAGACAGGGAAAGTCGTCGAGTGACGGCTCTATTTGACGGGCAACGAACCCGTTTATGGACCAGCCCGCACAGAGACAGCTGCGCCTTTTTCTGCCCGTCATTCTCGGGTCAATACAGGACCCGTTTGTCCATCTGATGAGCGGCGAAGAAGTCTGGGTTATTCTGCTTCGGAGCAAACGTCATACATTTTGACAAGTCTTGTCATTCCTTTTGCCAGCCTTTGTCCTCTCCGAAGATTGAGTCTAATTCCACACCTCGATCTTGGACCCGTCAACCGCACTGCGGGATCGTAGCAACAGCACAAGTAGCACTACATCGCAGAAGAAGTCGGCGCTATTGCTCCATCACTTGGTTTAGACGATATAGCCGCCGTTCAAAGTCTTCCTGTCGGTTACATTCTGCGCAGTCCATGCACCCCGACCCATCTTGGATGCGCATCCTGAGAATAGTCTCTCCTTGACCGCCATGACAGCCGCTCGACGGAGGCATGCGGCTTGCAAACCGTCTCGAGATGCATCGCCCAGCCCAGGAGGCACGCGCTCCATCGTACGGCAGCCCACTTTGATACTGGCTCGGGCAACTCGCCGCACGTATCCGACCTTGCCGCCCGCCGCCGGTTCAGACTGCTAGGCCAGCCGGACGAACCTGCAAAGGATCGTGAAGTTGATGGGTGTCTGCTGACACGGCTCAGACGCACACACACACGCCCATCTGCATCCATCTACACCCTCCTATTCCCGTCGGTGGCTTGCGTATTGCTTATGGATCGTGCCAGACATTGAAGAACTGTCAGATAGACATTTCGCTAGTTTCGTGCCTTTCCAATGTCCTGGAGGCAGTCCTTTCGGAAAGCCAGCCGAAAACCTTGGTACTATGCTGACCACATGTCCAAATACTGTACCAATACCAAGAAGTCGCTTTCTAAGCTGTCGCTAATCGGATTCCTGTCCCGTCCGGAGCCGCCCTCGTTCATGTTCCAATTCTGGACATCCGGCTTCAAATTCGAATTGTTCCTGATACCCTTTGCGGTTTTCTGTTTTTGAACTTCCGAATCGTTTTTGTTGTTGTTAACTTGTTTGACGTTGTTTTATTCCCTCAGTCGCGCAGTATGTTACATTGTTTCTGTATGAATAAGACCACAATAAACGGGCGGCTCCGCTGTTATATGCCGTCGTTTGAGTCAGGGGACAATATTCTACCCAGCACTTCTCACTTATCAGTTTCTTTTGAAGAAGGAAATTTCAAACGTTTGGGGGCCATTGAAGAATTATATCCCCTATCCCACCGGAATGATCTGAGAAGCAAAGGATCCTTATCTCTCCGAGATCGTCCGAGTTCTTGGCATGCATTTTCAGTGTTTTCAAGGTCGTACTCTCCGTACAGATCAGACGATCGATGCCTTTTCACTGGGGACGCTTTTGCCCACAATCCGGAAGTTTCATTGTCGGGACCTGATATCACGGCAAGACTGACAGATCACTCATCGTTTGCATATGTCCGGTCAAAGACTGAACAATTGGCGGTGAATAGGGTCCTTGAAGAGTATGAAGCCGACAAGAATCATATCATGAGGCATAGCAGGTGGACTACTCCAGGTTGCCATCATCAGCCTCCGCCATGTCCATCTGCTCCAGAGCGGTTCCGCATACCCCTGACCGCATCGCAATTCATCCACATCCCAGGGAAGGTAGCTGTAAGGGACTGCGGTCCGACGTGATCTCCGCCCAGACAACCACACACCCGTCCGACAGGGTCCAGTGAGGGTTAAAGTGGTGTCCTTGCCCGACCCCGGCATTGCAAATCAGTTTGCTGCGGCGCTAGAGTTGCAACCACACACCCCTCCCCCAAACAAATTGCCATCCCGGAAACCATCTCCACGTCTCCCAGCTTTAGGTACCACTGCCACCACTACTCCCGTTTGACCTTTCTCCAAGATTGGAAGAGCAATCTATTCTTCCGGGATCTGCGACTTCAATGCCGGACGGTTCCCCCTTGGGGTTCTCCCAGGGTCACGGTGCGTACCATCGTCTTCCCCTCATCTCTCCGCCCAGGGGGGAGTTGCTCCCAACTTTTCACCAACCACGCTGGCTGGACATAGCATCGTCAGCTTCCCCGCACGCCTTGCTCTAGTGGGGTCCACGGTCCATGGTCCATGGACGGCCGTTCTCATGAAAGCCAGGGGTTACCACGAGCGGCCGGATTGGAAAGTATTTCCGACCCCCTAGAGACGAAGAATTTGGCATCGGCTTGCAATGCCGTCGAATATGCAGGTGTTCTCGATGGGTACGTATTGGTTCGTGATGATTTTGATCGTCTCCTGAGCCACCATACCGCCTGTCACGGCGGAAACGTTGTGCAGCTCTCCACCGCCAGACCTGGCTACCTCTTGCGCCGCCTGCGCGAGCCGCTCGTTGTCGCTCCAATCTGGAAGCAGTGTCTTGATCTTGTCTAGAATCTCGTCCGAAGATGCCGTGGGTGTGTGTGACGTGGACTGGAGGGCGAGATAGATTGGGAACAGCGACAGTGGCACCACGCCCTCCTTGGCCATTTCGTCGTTGGCAAACTCCTGCGCTGTAAATGCAATGTGTGAGCACCGGCTGTGGCAATCCTCGTGGAGATGTTCCTCACCTGCTACGCTGCGCAGTTGTTCGGGCCCGCCACTTGCAGGGACGACCAGCTTGATAAAGGCCGCATTCTTACAGAACAAGTCGACCTCGGCTGCGTCGACGCCCTCGCCACCGGCTTTCTGACGGACCGATTCGAGCACCTCGGCTGCATCTTTGCGGGCCTTGGCCTTGTAGATGTTCTGAAGCTCAATATACACGCTAGATTGGGCCTTCATGTCTGGGAGGCCGCCGGGCACTGGTAAACAGCCGTGCTTCTCATAAAAGTCACGCACCGCTCCTGCGATGATCCAGAAGCTAGAAGTGGCTTCGCTCTGCAGAGTTATTAGGTGGGCTGGCCCTTTTAGGTAATGCGGCGGTCACTCACCTCGTCGGTATGCTTGTACTCAAAGACCTCCTTGACAGCAGAAGGGAGTGACGGTGGCGAAATAGTCTTCAACACGGCAGCCACAGCCTCCTCAAAGTTTTCCTCGCCTCCTTCAGGGTTGTCCGTTCTCGTAGCAGCGGCCACCATCTTGCGGAATTCGACCTTGTCCTTATAGTTGCTCGGGGGCTTAGAGTCGTGAGATGACTTCCATTCCTTCAGGTAGTGTAGGAGAATAACAACGAATGGCAGGTGGCCGTGTTCATGACTATCGAGATTGTCAATACCTTTCGTCAGGCTGTCGGCAAAGGCCTCCAGCTCCTCCCACGGGGTGAGGAGCCGCAAGTCCGTGATGGCGGTAACGTCAGGATGAGTGTCGACGATGGGGTAGATGCCTGGAAGACGAGTGCTGAAATAGGAGTAGAAACCCGCAGAGTGTATCGCGATCAATGGCGTCTTGTGCTCCCGGCTGTATGACTCGAGTACGGTGAGGTCTTCTTGTTTCATGGGAAGTGTGTACAAGATGATGGTGAAGGGGGCTGAGGTTTTGAGAAGCTCCTGGAGGCCCGTATTTTCCTGCTACTGTGTTAGTCTTATGACATAGGATCCATGATTCATTTGCCTCACCGAAGTTTTAGGATACCAATCACCCTGAACCTCAGGGTTGAGCTCTAGCAGCAGCTCAGTGCAGCTCTGGGCCCTGGACTTGCCGAGATGGGACTCGTCCAGGAAGAAGTTGACGCCAAGATCAGCCTCATTCACGACGGCATCATCAGCAATCGTGAAATTTCCAATTCCTAAGAAGGTTAGTTTTGAACAATGAGTATGGGAATTGCAATGCTCATTCAGAGCCAGCATGTAAGCTCTTGGTTTCATACCTGGAAGTACGAGATTCTTTAGTGTCTCAACACCTACGGTGCCCGTGCCGGAATTCACGAGCAGGATATTGGCAGACTCCAGAGCAGCTTGCCCGCTCGCAGCCCAAAGTCTGAGTTGGCGGTCATATTTCTTTTCCTTTTCCGAAGGCACGGCGAGGGCTGGCGGTGCCTGGTCGGCTATGATGTCTGTCATGGTTGAAGCGGCCGAAGAGAAATCGGACGGGGATGTGTCAAGTATTGAATACTATGGTTCGATGAGATCCAGGGGCAGTCCAAGTCTCGATACAGTGAGGTTCGATAAGTCAATGCGATAGGAAGTCGGCCTTGACTAACGATAGCGACAGGACGTGTGCACTGTGATGGGTTGGATGGGGGACGGTCGTTGTCGGCGCCTTTTTGGTCGTTTGAAGGTGCCTGGGCTGAGTGTCGTCAACGACGAAGTGGCACCAAAGCATAGTGCTGGGGTTCTTCGCACGGTGAGGTGTGAGACTATGAATGAGGTAAGCAGCTGTCGACTTATTAATATACTGCTGGTTCCATTACCTAAGGAGGCACATGGGAGGGCGGGCCTCCGTCCGGCCCGGGAAAGGCCCGCATTGGGACCCGTACGGCCGTGGGGTCTTGCCTTCCGGACAACGCCCCACAATTGCGATCCATTTCCGCTTTCTTTTTCTCTCAGACATTATGAATTGACTGGAAGTCTGCTTGTCAGGTATGAATAAAACCTCCTGCCTTCGCCCTCCCCATCTGCGATCGCCAGACACCAGCAGTGCCGGGAACGGTCAGTCGTGTGTGCACTCAAAGCCAAACATGAAAAACCAACAAGCCGAGGAAGAAGCAACGGAGATCCCAGTCAACCCAGACAGTATTCCTTGCCATCTCAATTCTCTCAACTCAGCACCTGTCTTTGCCAGTGCGCGCGTGTGTACATATCTTTGTGCACTCTGAGCAAACACGCCACGAAATGAAGTTTGCGTCTCCCTCGTCTGGTCTGCTCTCTAATCTCCTTGCCTTGTTGTTTGCTTAGGGGTTCCTGTTGCTATCTTTACAGTTCCCAAATGATACTAGGGAGAGTGGGAGATAGCCCGGATTTACACATCCTAACAGCACATTGTGTTCGGTGCGTGGCGCAGCTATCCACCACGGAGAGTCAACGATCACCGAAGCCAGGACTTTGAGTGCCTGATTACGGTTTACTCCCTACTTACGAGCGCCGTCCGAGTGGGCATTGCGAATAGGCGGTGTCGAACCCGCATTCCTCAGCAACGGATTCGCCTCTCTTCTTCATTCCCGTCGCTGGGTTTAAGCACTGGAGTCTGCGGCCTGGCTGCGCACACGGCATCTGGATCCAGTGGATCATAAGTGTTCGGTCGGTAGTCACGAATACCCTTCGGCGTTGGCAAACGTTGCTGAGCAAGCTACGATGCTGGCCATCCTCGGACTTGGAAGATTGAGGTCATCTATCCTGGATCCAGTGATCCATGGAGCTGAAAGTTAGAGCCTTCGCCGATGAGATACCATTGATCAGATCGGGACTGGATTGGATGATGGATCTAGACCACGTTGCAGCTGATTCTTTAACGGCCGTGGTGCGTCGGGGAGGCGGGTTCTAGCATTCCTCATCGGACGAGCTGCTGCCACCGAAAGGCTATACAAAACCCCCAAGGGGACTCCGACCGAAAGAAATGCGGCGGCCTAGGCTATCGCACTATCGTGCCCTCCCTTCTTCGCTCGCCTCACTGGTATTGGTCTGTCTCACTACCGACTTGTCTGACCATCTGGTGGTTTTTTTTGGTGTGGCGCGCCGGGTCCACGCCGCATTCGCCTACGGGATCAGCTTACGGCCGGCAGCAGCGGCGGGCCAAAGACAAACAACTGGGACCGTGAGCTCAGGAGGTCGTTTCCGAGCTAGCGAATGCGAATGCGTTGCTGAACGCCGAACGTTCGTTTTTTCCCTAATTCGTCTCACCCCGAACGCCGATTCAACCTCTCCAGTTCTCTCTTATGTTCGGCCATGGCACCCGTCTCTCTTTTAATCGCGTTCCCTTCGTGGGTTTCGCCCCGTTCTGCTTACTTGGACCTCGCATTCTCTTCCCAAGCGTCTTTTGATCCTCCTGTCAGATGCGCTTCCCGGGCCTCTCGTGACATCCTTCACTATGAGTTGCCCCGGCTCTGCTTCTCAACCCCGTATCTGTACATCGTGAGCGGTCGTCAACATAGCGTTGCTCCGACACCGACGACCTTCGAGTCAGACTTTCATCCTTCCGACGGACAGGATTGAGCCGAGTGGACATCCCTTCAGAACCATCAGTCACATCTCCAACTACTTAATCGTTGTACAAGGCCTGGATCCACCGACAGCCTCGAGTTGATATTGACGACCACAACATTCTATCGACGACACTCTCACAGCGACTGCTACTTGTTGGCATAACTCTGCATCGTTTAGAAAGTCATCGTCATGGGTAACATCAAGGAGGACATCGAGTCCACCAAGGCCGAGGGTCTGGTAGAGAACCATCATTACAGAGATGCCACCCTGCCGCCATGGAGGTTCTGGCTGCTCAGTATTGGGTAATTACCCCACGATGTGCTGAGGGCTGCTTAAGATCTCAATGCTGACCTGTGTGAAAGCCTCTGTCTTGGACTGTTCCTTTCAATGTTGGATGCTTCCATTGTGGCAACAAGTCTGTACACCATTGGCACAGAGTTCGACTCGGTCGACTTGATCAACTGGGTTGCACTCGCATACACGCTCACATACCTGAGTTGTGCCGTCTTGGTGGCTCGGGCATCCGACATTGTTGGCCGCCGCAATGCCTTTTTGGCAAGCTTCATCATCTTCTTCGCCTTTTCCCTGGGCTGCGGGTTTGCCCAAAACTTGGAACAGCTGGTTGCATGCCGGGCTCTGCAAGGCTTGGGTGGTTCTGGTGAGTAGAACATGCTCATTATCGTCAAGTCGTTTGCTAAGTTTTCGCCAGGCCTTTATTCCATCACCATGATTATCTTTCCCGAGGTTGCCCCCAAGCACTTGCTCCAGTACATGTCCAGCCTCGTCGGCATGGTCATTGCGAGCGCCGGTGTGCTTGGACCAGTCCTGGGAGGTATTCTCACCCATTACGCCTCTTGGCGGTGGATTTTCTGGATCAAGTGAGTGACCCAGCCCCTGGAGAAGAACGTTCGTGTTCTAACATCAACACAGTGGTCCCGTTGGCTTCGTCTCAATGCTCATCTTTTACCTTACATGGCCCGATGCCAAACACCTCCCAACGCTGCAATGTAGACGCTGGAAGGAGCTGGATGTCGTGGGCTCCTTTCTTCTCGTTGCAGCATCGGTTCTCGTTGTCTTCTCCTTTCAAAATGTCGGCTCGGACGGCAATAAGTGGCGCCAAGCCGTCTTCATCGCCCCCGTTACCGTCGGTGGCGTGTGCTTCGTTCTGTTGTTGGGATGGGAGGCTCTCGTCGCCAAGTTCTGGAGCAACCGCATCATGGCCGCTATTCCGATGCGACTTCTGCGCAACCGTGTCTACGTCGCCACAATCCTCAACACGATGTTTCTAGGGTTTCCGTACCTCCTGGTCATCTACGCCTTCCCTGTCCACTTGCAGATCGTCAACGGAAAGAGCTCGTTGCTTGCGGGTATCCTACTTCTCCCCATGCTAGGCTCTGTCGCGCTAGGAACCACTCTCGGCGGAATCATCAATAAGAAGAAGAACCGACTTTTTGAGACAATGACGACGGCAAGCTGCTTCGTGTGTATCGGCTGCGGCTTGATGACGACACTGTCGTCGTCTGTGGAACTGGAACCCAAAGCACTTGGTTTCCTTACGTTTATCGGCTTTGGTTTTGGTTTGTCAGCCACTTCATCAACCGTCCTAGGAGCGACGGAGTCCGAGATTCCAGATCATGGTGAGTAATTTGACCCTGCAAGATGTAGGCAATTGCTAATGAAGCAAAGCTCCCGCACAAGGAATCATCGCACAGGTGCGGATTCTCGGTGGCAGTCTGGGAATCGCCGCGTCAACGGCCATCTTGGGCAACTTCATGCGAGACGAGTTGACTGGTGTGCTCAGCCCGGGACAGTTGTCGTCGCTCCACGGAGCAGGGGCAAACTTGACGGAGGCGCAAGCCGCAGCCGTGCGTCAAGTCTATACCGACTCCTTCTGCAAAGACATGCAAGTGGGAGCTATTCTATCTGGCATCGCGATACTACTAAGTTTTGGTGTCTATCGTCGAAATCGGGTCACCATCGAGGAGCAGCGACAAATGCACATTAGAACCGAGGTAGAGAGGAGACGGAGGGCATCGGCTGCCACGACGTTGGTTTCTTCAACGACAACGGACTGAGCCTGTGTATAGCGGGTGCTGTATCTTTATTGTTGGGTTTGGTTGAATGATTTCTGAAGCATAGCACCTGGCCAGCGTTACGGGGTTCTCACTGTCAATATTCTGGCATCAACGGTTATATATGATGAGAATGGGTCTATGAGCAATACCTCATGTCAGTATTAATTATCAATGTCGAAATATCTTGGAACCACTCCGCGGCCAACGACCGGAAAACCACGGTGACTGTTGATTGAACCAAGGGCGTAGTAAGCCGCAACCCTGGCCTATGTAACCCTGGGCTGCCTGTCGGAATCTCAGCCGGGCAGAGCTCATCGGCGTTGGTGCCGCATGGTGCGGGGATAGAAAAGGCCGCCAAGTACAAATAAGTCGGACTTGTCAATCACCTCATCGGCGCCATAGCCTGTCATGGCCAAGAAGGCTATAAATGAACCCCATTAGACCCTCTTGTCGACTCCTCCGTATCAAAGATTAGCCCTGCTACTTATACTTGAATAAGTGATGGGGCCAGAACAAGTTGTCTCGAGTGAAGAAGCTTCAAGCAAAAATGATGCAATCGCCTGTCCCCGCCGGTTATCGGTCGGTTGAAACCCCGCAGTGTGGGGCCCATCCATTCCGTTCGCCGTGCCGTCCACTTGTGCTCTCCCCTCGTCTTATCCGTCCCTCCTTTGCCTCTGTAGTCGGAAACGTGTCGACACTGATTTTCTGTACCGGAACAGCTTCCCCTACTAATACTCCCCTTTCATTGGATAATAGCAACTGTACAAGCAAAAGCAACCTTCTCCTGACTTCTGCAGAATCCCAGATAGAGTCAGGTATATAAGCAACTAATTCATCCCCGAACCGACCCTCGTCCTTCCCGGTTCCCTCTCACTTCACACATGCGCCCTTATACCCGTATAGCTCGCTCCGTCTGCTCTTCACTTTTGTCATCTCAACGCCAACAGCCTCAGCTGCATTCTTCACTGCGCAAAGTCCTCCACCAGAGCCATCACAGAACCATAATGTCCGCCGCAGCAAAGCGCCTCGAAGGCAAGACGGTGCTCATCACCGGCGCCTCAAGCGGTATCGGCAAGAGCACGGCCTTTGAATACGCCCGTACGGCGCCCAATAACCTCAAGCTCATTCTGACGGCCCGCCGCATCGACACCCTCAAGGAGGTCGCCGCCGAGATCCAAAAGGAGGTCGGCAGCGGCGTCAAGGTCCACCCCGTCAAGCTGGACGTTAGCAACCCCGAGGAGGTCCGCCAGCTGGTGCCTAACCTGCCCGAGGAATTCAAGGATATTCACATCCTCGTGAACAATGCGTAAGTTTGCTACTCATTCTCAATCTGGCTGTTAACTAACACTGGCTCAAAAGCGGCCTCGTCAAGGGAGTTGCCAAGGCTCCCGAGATCGCCGAGGAGGACATCAACGTCATGTTTGCTACCAATGTCACCGGCCTCATCAACGTGACGCAAGCCATTCTCCCCATCTTCAAGGCGCGCCCTGATGGCGGCTCAGGAGACATTATCAATATCGGCTCCATTGCTGGTGAGTTGGCGCCTCTCAGTCTTGTATTTGCGAAAGACCATGTTGGACTGACAGTCGTCATCACAGGCCGTGAGCCGTACCCAGGTGGCTCAATCTACTGCGCTACAAAGGCCGCCGTGCGCAGTTTCACCGACAGCTTGAGAAAGGAGCTGATTGCGACTCGCATCCGCGTCATTGGTATTGACCCCGGCCAGGTCGAGACTGTGAGTCATCTTTTGGGAGCCTAGTGTTAGTAACGAGATCTAACATGCTATAGGAATTCTCCGTCGTTCGCTTTTACGGTGACAAGTCCAAGGCCGACGCCGTTTACGCGTAAGTTGATGCTTCACTCTTTTGGATGCTTCTGTCTTGGACCTTGCGAGAAGCTTCAAGTATGGGCAGGATGCTAACTATGCCACAGCGGATGTGAGCCTCTCACCCCTGAAGATATCGCAGAGGTTGTCGTCTTCACGACCACCAGGAGAGAGAACGTTGTCGTTGCAGACACGCTCATCTTCCCTCAACACCAGGTGAGTTTGACTTTTGAATCGTTTACATTGAGTTATGTCTGACTCATCACACAGGGTGCCGCCGGCCTTCTCCACCGCAAGTCTTAAGGGGAGGCCCTGAGTTATCGGCTAAGATTGGAGTGGAGGTGGGATGTATAGAGTCGAGGACGTATATCAAACGGACTCGAGCGGCCGACATGGCGGCCAGGGAGGTAAACCTGTAGATCAACCAGCGTTTTGTTTTGGAAGCATGAGAGCTTCGACTACGCGAGACCACGTTTTTCTTGCGAGAGATCTAGGCTGTAGAGCAAGTGGAAGAATACCACATCCAAACGATTCACCCTGTGACACGATCTTACTACTTTGTCAAACTCGGTAGGCTGATGTGAGTCAAGACAAAGTAATGTCACAATAGCATACCGCAGATGATGCTGTATACAGAATCAAGTGCTCGCGTTTGCGACTTCTTGAACAGAATCAGTGTGCTGTGAAACGACTTTATCGAGGGGAGTACCGAAATACATGGCATTACCGCTTGTCTGTGTCTCACTCGAGGTATTTTCCCACTCCCTTATTTGCATTTGGGAAAGGTTCGGATTGAGTGCGTGGTGAGTCTTCAGTACTCCGTGGCCATACAAGAATACTAGAATGAAGTTCATATTCGTTTCCCATCAGCGTGGGCCACCGTGTGACGGCAGCCCGGTACACCCAGTGGCCGAGGCACTTGCAACTGTTGGGACGTCCTTCCCTGCTCGAGCTGGTTATGATCAGAGACTGTTAGTGTTTGCATGAAGATGGAGCGCTACAGCTAACGCGCAGAGATGATTGGTCTTGGCACCGCCTTAGTAAAGGTCGGGGGCTTCCACTATGGGCATCGCTAACCAACGCCTCGCCAGCTGGTGGTCATTCCCCTAAACTCCCCCGCATGGTCTTCTCAGACACAGCCACTAGAGGTACCAGGCCGCCTGTGCACGCCCAAAAGGTACATCGGCATCGTCCTTACATGAGCATCACTCGACAGAGTCGACACTAAGGAACCTGGTCACATTCATTTCAACAACGATAACAGTCCCCGATCTGTGCTTCCCTGTCCGCCATTTCCCAACGACCAGGGACCTGGCGACATCCTTGACAACTTCACACCACGCACCCTCGCGCCCACTCGTCAGCAAACACTGCGAAACCCTTTTTTCCTGCGAACGTCGTCATGCAGCTCGACTGTACCTATATGTCGCGGTAGCCGCCTTGCCTCCCGCTGTGCCCGTCGACCGTCACCGCCGGTTCCACGCCATGCGAGGCCTACACCAGCCATGAACTGACAAGATGGGCCTCACAACTTTTCTCGGATCCTCTACCGACAAACTCGTCTCCAGCCGCTCCAAGACCTCGTCGTCCAGCTCTCTTCAAAAGGCCTCTGAGAACGCCTCCTCTCAGACGGCAGACGCTGGCTCTACCTCTACCGCCACCTCCCACTATGGATACATCTACGACGAAGAGCAGCTCCCTGCGCTGTCTCCCGACTGTCCCGACCTTCGCGAGCTTAACAACAGCCTCGAGGCCCTTGCGGCCATCTTCCCCGATATACAAATTCAGGTCTTCCGCGAGATGTTGATCAACTTTGACGAGGAATCGAGGCTGGCTGTTGTGATTGATGCCCTGTTGAAGAATCGCGTAGCCTGGGTCAAGGGTCGCTGGAGGACTGTCGATAACCAATCTGCTAGACCCCTGGTTGCGAACGAAGAAGCAGGAGAGCAGAACGAGGCTTCGATCCCTCGCGTCGAAGCTTTCCGAAGTCCCGAGTACAAACACGCCGTGCAAGCGCTGGCTTGGCACGAATTCAAGGGCCTCTCGCGCTCCACCATCAACGCCGTCCTCGCCGAGTCCAACTACTCCTATCTCGAAGCCCGCAACACTCTCGTCTCGTTGTCGTCAAAGTCGTGGCGTTTCACCATATCGTCCCTCTTCCTCCGCCGGAAACCGGTCGCCACGGGCGAAGCCGAAAACCATCCGCTGATAATATGGAAGTCAACTGGCCAAGGCGCCATCGTGCCGTCTCTAAAGGCCACGGGGAACGCAGAGCTCGACTCTGAGCTGTACCGTGATTTGGTTCGACCGCTGAAAGACCGGGCACGGCAGACGCAAGAGGACAAGGATCGAGGTCTGGCCTTCTTGATGAATAATGAAGAAGCCGAGGAAGCCGGCGCCATGCATGAGTGCGCATGCTGTTTCACCGAGTCCACCTTTGAGGAGTTTACAACCTGCAACACGGACGGGCATATGCTCTGTTTCCGCTGTGTTCAACACTCTATTACGGAAGCTGTGTTTGGCCAGGGATGGCATAGCAGCATCGACACAAATCACGGCACGCTGAAATGTCTCGCTGTCGAAGGGAACGGGTGCCCTGGTCATATCCCCTACGAGCACATACACCGCGCCATGCTAGAGGAGAAGAAGGGCGCCGAGATTCTCCGTAAACTCGACCAGCGTTTGGCAGAAAACAGTCTCCTGACATCCAACATGCCCCTTATTCGTTGCCCCTTTTGCGACTATGCAGAAGTGGATGACATCTACCTCCCAGCACAAGAAACGCAACTACGGATCAGACTTAACAGTTTACTCAGTCTTGCCCTACTACTCGTATGCATCGCAACGGTTCCCTTTCTCCTCCCTGTGGTCTTGTTGTCCTCCTTTCTCTGTCTTCTCGTCAGCACGAAGCAGACGGTTGGCGATCGCCTGATCGCACAGTGGCACCTGGCTCTTGGCCGCCATCGCCGACGACGTCGTGGTCTCAAATTTGCATGTCAAAACCCCGATTGCGGGAAAAGCTCGTGTCTATCCTGCGCCAAGGCCTGGAAGGACATTCACGTATGCAACGAGTCGTCTCTGGTGGCGTTGCGCACGCAGGTTGAGCAAGCGATGAGCATGGCCATCAAACGCGTCTGCCCGCGATGCCATACGTCATTCGTCAAGAACTCGGGCTGCAACAAGCTCACCTGTCCTTGTGGCTACAAGATGTGTTACGTCTGCCGCAAGGACATTGGCGGTACCAACGGCGACGGCGAAGGGTACAGGCACTTTTGCGACCATTTTAGGCCGGACGGTGATCCGCGGCCCTGCACCGAGTGCTCGAGGTGCAACCTCTGGGAGAGCGAGGACACCGACTCGGTGCTGAGGCAGGCCAAGGAAGAGGCCGAGACCAAGTGGCGCGAGACGGAGAAGCGCGAGCTGAATGGGGCCGAAAAGGCCTTTCTGGAGACGGGCTTCGCCAGGAACGGGGTCTCGCCGGTCGAAAATCGCCTCAAGAACGGTCAATTGCCGACCTTGCCGGAGTTCTGCGACTTTGTGGTTGAGACTATTTTTGTGTGAAGCCCGCTCCGAGTAGATGTGTGCTTTGTAGAGCGGCATGATGCGGCATGCTAGGAAATACGATAGCAAGAAAGACGAGAGGCTCGGAGTTTGACAAGGTCATGATTATACTGGGATATGGGCATTTCTGGGGCGTTCAGGGTTTGCGGGATGGTCGAGAAACGGGAACAACCTCACAGTATGAGGGTAGAGTGAATGAGGACTGTCGTCTCTCGGCGCTCATCTACAACAAAGTAACCTCTTGTAATTGGTAAATACATTCAACTTTAACGTTCATAACCTGCCTTATTCCTAAACTTGATTTGAAAAATTCTCATGAATCATACAGAGAGAGCCATGTACTCATTTGTTTTGTATTTCTACCTTTGCTGGCTGCTCGGGCGGTTCTCGATATCGGTTACACGGTATTAATACACAGTATCAGTGGATACTCCCACTGTCTCGTGAGCCATGTACTCATACAAACTAGAAAAGCCGCGTGCCAGTCCTCGCGCAACGGCTTAGAGCTTGCTCTTGTCGTCAACCAGCTCCGCCGCAGCGCCGCCAATGGCCAGCTTGCCCGTCTCCTTGACCTTTGTCTGGAAAATGACCTTGCCGCCGTCCTTCCACATCTCCGTCACGAGCGTCTGCCCGGGGATGACGGTGCCGGCGAAGCGCACCTTGATGTTCTTGACGGGGCCGAAGCGCTCGTACACGGCCTTGCCGGCGACGCCGAAGAAGCAGAGGCCGTGGAGAATGGGGGCCTTGAAGCCGCCCATCTTGGCAAAGGCAGGGTCGACGTGGAGGGGGCTGTCAAAGGTTAGTCGAATATCTTGGGATTCAATAGGCAACAACTCACTTGTAATCACCGCTCAGACGGTACAGCGCCGCCTGCTCCTCGGTCGTCTTCTCCTCGACAACGACATCGGGGTGGCGGGAAGGGGGCTTGTTGGCCGCCGTGCTGGCGCCACGGTCCGCGGGCTTCTTCTGGCCGCCGAATCCACCGCAGCCTCGGAGGAACACAGTCATCTCGTTGTAGAAGACGGGCTCCTTGGTCTCGGCGTGGACCGTGGTGATGCCGCTCTTGACAATGGCGGCGTTGCCCTTGTCGACGACCTCGAGGAGCTTGCCGGTGGACACGAGCTTGGCGGCGGTGGGGATGGGGTACTTCTTGATCTCGAGGTACTGCTCGCCGTGCAAGAGCATCATGGGGGAGAAGTTGGGGACAATGTCATCAAAGTTGTAAGGCAGCTCCGTGTTGAAGGGCGGGATGACGCCGAAGGTCGGCACGACCTGGAAGTCGTCGGCGCCCTCAAACACGTACTTGAGCTGGTCGCGCTTGGCGCCGATGCCCAGGTTGTAGAGCATCACGTCGCGCTCCTCGTACTGGAACTCGGTTCCCTTGCTCTCGGCGTTCTGCGCGGCCTTGATGGCGTCGAGGTACTTGCTGTCACCTCCGGAGCTTGCCTCTGACTGTAAGGACACATGATCAATATTGTTCTTATTTTTTTGATACTATTGCTACTTTACAGGATTGCGCTGCCGAAGAAGTCTTCATACCTTGGACTTGTTGCTCTTGTTCTCCATGTTTGCCATGATGCTCTGAAGGCCATCCTGGGTCTTCTCGGGGTGGTCGGCGCGACCGTCCTCGAAGTTCCTGATGGCGTCCCAGTGCTTGAGGACCTCCTCGGGAGTCAGGGGGACGTCGACGGGGAAGCCGTGGCCGCCGGTTCTCTGCCAGCGGGTCTGGCCGATCCAACCGCTGCCAACCTCGTACAGGCCGCCGGTAGGGTTCTTGGGGACCTTGTCGCTGGAGAGGGCGAGAACGACGGGCGCAATGTAGTCGGGCTTGAAGGCCTGAACCATCTCCTCGGGCATGATGGTTCTTGTCATGGCAGTGCCAGCGTTGGGGGCAATGGTGTTGACGTAGATGTTGTACTTGTAGCCCTCAAGCGCGAGCGCACGGGAGAAGCCAAGGATGCCGCATTTCTATACGTCTGTTAGTGATCATGTCCCGAGCTTCAGCACGATGACGCTTACCGCCGCGGCGTAGTTGGCCTGGCCAAAGTTGCCGTAAATACCGGAGGTGGAGGTGGTGTTGATGACGCGTCCGTACTTCTGCTTGAGGAAGTACGGCCAGGCGGCCTTGGTGACCTTGTAGGTACCACGAAGGTGGACGTTCAGGACGGGGTCCCAGAGGCTGTCGTCCATGTTGTTGAAGGCCTTGTCGCGGAGGATGCCAGCGTTGTTGACAATGATGTCAATGCGTCCGAAAGCATCAATCGCGGCCTTGACAACAGCATCGCCGTCCTCTGCTGAGGCCTTGACACCAACAGCCTTGCCGCCAAGCTTCTTGATTTCGTTGACAACATCGTCGGGGTTGGCCAAGTCGTTGACAACGACCGTGGCGCCGTGCTTGGCGAATGCCAAACTGTAGGCACGACCGATACTAAAGACTATTAGCTGCGAACGAGCACATGCAATGTTCCATAAGCTTACCCGGCACCGCCGCCCGTGACGAGAGCCACACGGCCGGTGAAGTCGACCTTTTCACCCTGCTCGTTGGGGCCCATCTTCATGGAGTCCTCCAAGAGGGTCAAGAAGTCATTAGGACCAGAGGGGTACTGAGGCTTGGAGAAGTCGATGGCCTGATCCCACTTCTTAATAACGGCGCTGGGTGTGTAGCTGTCGTCGGCCTTGAGGAGGAGACCGCTGGACCGCTCCCAACGCAGCTTGGCAATGTGACCACCGCCAACCTCGAAGATGGACCCGTTCTCGTCCTTGTTGTCCTTATGTACGAGGACGGAGACGAGGGGAACGACCCATTCGGGCTTCAAGATCTCCAGCACATCGGGCGGCATCACAGTCTGGGTCATTCTGCTGGCGGCTGTTTGTACCAGTTAGCGCTCATGATTGATTTCCCCTGCCCGCGGCTCCGCTAGCCCACACGTTGCACGTACCGATTGGTGCAATGACATTGCACAGGATGTTGTACTTGGCGCCCTCCTTTGCCAGAGTCTCGGTGAAGCCGACCATGGCCAACTTGGCAGCTGCATGAACCGAATTAGCATCACGAGGCGATTGATATCAATTGGGCACCGGGTGCGACACGTACCAGAGTAGTTGCACTGGCCGAAGCTGCCAAAGAGACCGGCAGCCGAGGCCGTGTTGATGACACGGCCGTACTTTTGTTTCCTGAAATGGGGCCACGCCGCGCGAGCGCACTTGTACGATCCCTTGACGTGCACCTTCATAATCAGGTCCCAGTCCTCGTCCTTCATGTTCTTGAAGCTGATATCGCGCAGGATGCCAGCATTGTTGATCAGCACGTCGATGCGGCCAAAGTTCTGGATCGCCGTCTCGATGATCTTGTCACCGTTCTCGACCGAATCGTAGTTGGCCACGGCCTTGCCGCCGGCGGCCTTGATCTCGTTGACGACAACGTCGGCCGCCTGGGTAGTCAGACGTCAGCGGTGCGCACTCGGACACTTTTTTCTATCAGATGCCATACCTTGGTTGAGTTGCCCTCGCCCTTGAAGGAGCCTCCGAGGTCGTTGACGACGACGCTGGCGCCGCGGGAGCCAAAGAAGGTGGCATAAGCCTTGCCGAGGCCACCGCCAGCGCCTGTGACGACGACGACCTGGCCGTCGAAGCGTAGCTGACCAGCCATTGTGTGTATGTGATGGATTGAAGAGAGAGAGAGGGAGAGAACAGTCGCTAAATGGAAATACAGATGGCACAGAGAAATCCAGAAGAAGTTTGGAGATAGGATATGGTTAAGAGGTCGCAACGATGATCAATCCAACGAATCTTTTGTTCTTGTGAAAGGACGGACGTGGTGGTTTTCTAACTTCTGCGCTTCCGGCAACTGTCTTCTGTGCAGCGTGACGGCAGCCGCTCAGAGAGCCGAGGCAGCTTGCTGTGTCCGAAGCCGACGAAATACGCTAGTCTGAAAGCGGCTAAGGCCAAACTTCACATGCTCCTTTTGCCGTGGGTTACAAAGTCTCCAATGGACTCGAGCGCGACGAGGTACCCACGTACCCCATCGTGCACATGAGGTCATGTGGGGAAGCAAGTCAACCCCGCCACCCCATGTCACATGCCCCTGCTCGACCCCGAGTCTGACCACTCACAGCGCTGTATCCGGTCGGCAGCAGGTACGTACTTCCCCAGCGTCCCCCAGTGTCTGGCGCCGTGGAACACTGGGGAACGGCCACCAAGGCCCAAGGTCCAAAGGTGAGAGAGCGGGATGCCGTGCCCACTCGATGCCGACGGATGCTGACTTGATGGTCCCAGGGAGCATAGACGGCGCCGAAAGAGATGGGGACCAGCCCCTTCTTCCTACTGGTCACCCCAGCTGCCGACCAAAGTCTGTCCTAGACTCTTGGGAGGTCCAGAGTCCCCTGTGAATCTTGCAACTTAAATTCCATGGTTCCCTACGAGGAAATTTAGCCTTGGTAAGATCTCGGGTATGCTCGCCTACCGCACGTGTTGAGATGCCGTGGGGTTCTGCCGATTCATTCTGGCTCCTAGCTAGCTGATTATTGATACATCAAAGATGCAGTCTTTCTGCTGAAGGCCTTGCAGTGAACCACCAGCTTATCCCAACCATGTAACACATTGCAAACTGCCGGGGCCGGTAGATTGAATCATCACCATGGTGCACCCGCGGTAAACAGAAGCGGAAATGAGTACGTACACAATCCCGGGGACCAGACACGCGCTTCGGCGTCAACCCGCCACGAGGATGCATGCCGCCCCGCATCCCGCTGAACCCCGCCGGGCACCTCTCGGCATCGGCGTCCAAACGGTCATGAAGTCCCTCACCTGTCTCGCCGGACCACCTCCGCATCCACAGGCATCCTGATCACCCGATCACCGGCAACCCTCAAACACCGCCGCCATGGCCTCCGCCGCACCGCCCATCATCGACGACAAAAGCCCCCTCTGCATCCCCTTCATCACCTCCCTCCTCAAAACCCGTTCAACCTCCCAAGATGAAGCATCAACACGCCCCTTCATAATCGGCCTCAACGGCGTCCAAGGCGTCGGCAAAACAACCCTCGTCCGCGCCCTAGCCGACACTCTCACCAAACTAGGCCACCCCACCCTCGTCTTCAGTATCGACGACCTCTACCTCACGCACGCAGACCAACTCGCCCTCGCGCGCTCTCACCCAGAGAACCTCCTCGTCCAGCAGCGCGGCGAGCCGGGAACCCACGACACACAGCTCGCGCGCGCATTCTTTGACGGCATCACCAAGGGTCTGCCCACCAAAGTCCCCTCCTACGACAAGGCAGCCTTCTCCGGCCAGGGCGACCGCGTACCCCAGAGCCAGTGGACAGAGGTCAACAAGCCCGGCCAGCCAAAAGTTCAGGTCGTCATCTTTGAGGGCTGGTGCGTCGGCTTCCGCGCCCTGCCCGAGGCCGAGGTGGAAGCCAAATGGAAGGCCCCCAGCAGGACGCTCCAGAAGCACAAGCTCGAGCACCTGCTGCTGGTGAACGAGAGGCTCAGAGAGTACGACGCCATGACTGATCTACTCGACGTCTTTATCCATATTGATGCCGAGGACACCCAGTACGTCTACGACTGGCGCCTGCAGCAAGAGGCTGCGCTCCGTCGCGAGAGGGGTGCGGGCATGACTGATGAGCAGGTCGTCAAGTTCGTCGACGGCTACTACCCTGCCTATGAGCTGTTTTCGGATAACGTCAGAAAGGGCATCTTGCCAAACAGCCCGGGCCATCAGATGAGACTGGTCGTCCGTAAAGACAGATCGGTCAAGGAATCGTTTGTTTTATGAGGACAGTCTATCTGTGACATAGAGACTACCTGTGCCAACGCCGGGAATATGATACAAACAAACCACCCCAAAACGCCAGTCATGATAGCCATGAATCATTAGCCATAAAGTGTCATCAAAATTCGCTACACATCCGAACGCCCTTTTGCCTGCACCGGCACCCGATAAAATGATCCATGGCGCCTTGTGATGATACTCTGCAGGATGCAGTCAAACCTCCTTGTCTGCCAACATGTCTTCGCCCTTGTGGCGGATCTTGCTCAGCTTCTTTGTAATGTTCTCAGTCCGGACGCGGACTGCCTCCTCCCTTTTGGCAATCTCCGTCTCGAAACGATCAACCATGTCTCGCTTCTCCTTGCGCGCCTCTTTCAACTTCTTCGCAACACTGCCAAACTGGTCCAGGAACCAATCGCCGGACCGCTCCCAGTCGCCAACACTCATCTGACTAAAGAAGGCTTTCTGGTCGGATTCGCGCTGGTCCTTGAAATGTTCGAGCTTGACTGAAAGGCTGTCGCCGTTCAGAGGCGTAGCCGTTGGGAGGGATGTCTTGGCAGGATCTTCGTCAAAGGGTTGCTCGCGTAGTTGGGAGTATGTCATCCTCTGGAGCTCTTCATCTCCGTAGTCACACTTCTCACGACGTCGCTTCCGTGATTTGTCTCGCTGGCCGCGGGCCGCAATCGGAAGCGGGCCTTCAAGGGGAGGCACATCCGTTGGCATACTCTTCTTACGACTAGCGCGGGGAGTGCCGTGGTCGTCCTCCGTAGCAGGATAGTCGCTAGCCAGGCTGCCGTCGACTTCTTCTTCCTCTGGAAAGAGTTCGACTCGCCGGGACTCCGGAGGCCTGTCTCTTCTAATGACACGCCTTAGGTTTTGCTGATGATGTGGGACTTTACGAGTTGGAGCGTCGGAGAAGACTTCCTCGTCATCCTCAAAGGCGGGGGGCCCGTACGGTCGCTTCACGGTAGTGGGGTGGATCGCAATCCTTGTCTGGCGCAGCGGAGACTGGTGGTTGTTGTAGAGAGGTTCGCTCGAGTATTCCTCATGCTCAAGCTGCTGCTCTCGCGAGTGTACCATGCCGCCGTGGTGTGTAATTGGCAGAGCATGTTGGTTCTTTGGCATAACTCTCATTGAGCCGTCCTTGCCAATGATGAAGCTCGGCATCCCGTTGTTTCCCATTGGCTGATGGGTGTCCTCAAACTTGGGCATCGCAGGCACTTCAGCAGCGGGTTGCAGTAAGTGCGGCAGCGCACCGAGGCGGTCGTCGATGCCGGTGTCGTATCGCTCGGTGCGTTGGGTGGTAGGCGAGCCAAACTGACTATCTATGTGAGACTCGGGCCAGAAACCAGGCCCATCGCTGCTCTGCGAATTGGATCGTTTTCGTTGCGGTGGAGGCGGGGAGCTATCGGGCAAAGGCTGGCGAGGATGCATGGGCGGTGCGGATTGAGGTTGGGCAAGGCCTGGCTCAGGCTGGCGGATGTGGGACGCCAAGGGTATGGCAGACGCGAGAGGCTTGGGGGCAGGTAGCCTCGCAGACTCGGTGATGGTCTGTCGAGTAGGGAAGCCAGTTGCCCCGGGTCGCAGTTGATCTGTCTGGTTGTTGCTTCCGTTTGGGAGGCCCGAGTCCATGGACGCATTCCTGGCGTACTGGGCCATTCGGTTTGCGCCACTGCTCGGAGGCATGTTTGCGGCGGGGAGTGGTGCCTTTGATCTTTGAGCTTTCGTCTGAATGCTTTGATTTCGTATCAAAGCTTCGCGAGAGGGCGATCGGACGCAGGCAGTTGGTGGGAGAGGCAATGAGAAGTCGCAGTGTACCGTCGTGACTCGGGATAGGGTGTCGGATAAAGAAGGCAGTTGCCTCGAGTTAGGTGAAGGCTGTTCAACTCGTATCGCTACTTGGCATTGAGCCAGTGCTCATTCGACTGCTTAAAAGCAAACGGAAAGTGCGGCGTGACAACAAAGGTGGTTCGGGGAGGGAGAAGTCGGGAAGCAATTATGACGAGACATCTCTTGCTCTTACTTTTTTTGGCCGTTGTCGCGTCGAGCAGGTCCAAGTCGCGGTGCTTGCGTTGGGTCTTTAAGCTGTGTCCAATGGCGTTTAGTGCATGCGGAGCCCGGGCCACCTACAGGGTTTCCGCTCCCTGCCAGGGTGTGTCTCTAAGAGCATCGACTTACATGACGGTTCTCCCCCTCTGTATGGCTTCATTTACTGAAGTGTAGTCCAAGCAGTCTCGAGGAGAATATCTCAATGAGCCTTACTTGGTGGTTTCAATGAGTGAGCCATCAACTAGGTCCAGACACAAATTTGCCTCTCGAATCTCCTAGTAGCCGGCCCTAGGATGATCTTGGGACTGAGCCTATCTTGAAGCCAACTCATGGTTCAATATTCTTTGTTGCTCACTCAAGCCAAAGAGCCAGAAGGAAACAAAAGCCAGCAACGCCATATGTTGCAGGGACACCATGAGCATTAAAAAACTGCATTTGAAACTTTTGAATTTCTAACCAGGCAATGCGCCCCTATCAATCGGTCTGTGAAAGGCCATCGCTCTTTGCCGCCCCAAACATGTTTAGCCATGTATGCTCACAAAACTCGGTCTATCATCTTTGTCTCTACTCTGCAGAGAACGAGGTGCGTCCCCAACAACCGCACCGTACTCGTGACCCGAATCCCTCCGCTCCCTCACTCATTGCCTCTGACTAGGCTTCGAAATGCCCCTTTGCCTGCCTTCCTCTACCTGCCTCGGCCGCAGGACACGAGTGGGCAATCCTGGAGCCTAGGTGTCATTCACCCTAATACTATCCGCATCCAGTCAGACCTAGCGGAAGCTCTCCATCCTCAACCTCGCCATTTCCCATCCTCCACGATCATAATCTCCAGGCCTCCTTCGATGCGCAACACATTGCCCCAACCCAGTCCCCTAAAGCTGCTTTCAACAGCACTCGGGGCAGTCGTGATCTTTTGTAAAATCCTCCTCCATCGGAATTCAATCCTTAACCGGTGAAGTGGAAGCGAGCTGCCTCCAGCTGACCGAGACCCTCACGCGGAGCCACGTAGCGCCGACGATATGTGTTGGTGAAGTCTTGCAACAGCGCCCTCACCTGTCTGATGGCGGTGGGGTCGTTGCCGCTGAGACGCTCTCTGATCTTGGCCATGAGTCGGTTGGCCTCGGCGGGTGTGATGGTGCCCGGAGGCAGGAGCTGGATAGTGTTCTCAACCCAAGTCGTCGTCTGGGCGGGGAAGAGCTCGAACATGGCCAGCAAGACACCACTACCGTCAGCGAAGCAATCCCGAGGGAACGTAATCATCATTCCGGCCATGACCTGCTTGACCAGCTTCTCGCCGTGCGCGGCAAGAAGTTTGCTCACCACCTCACGGATCTGAGCAGCCACGTCCGGCGGCAGGACATCAGACGTCGCAGGGTTATCACCTCCGTACGTGAGAAGGTCACGGAGGAAGTGAAGCGTCGCCGAGAGCGGATCGCGCTGCTCCAAAGTCAGCGCGTAAATGGCAGCCTCAAAGATGGGCCCCAGGAGCTCCGACGGAACGATTCTGCCAGGGTAGTAGAGAAGCGCGTCAATCAGGAGTCTGAAGAAGTCCTCAATGACGTCGGGCAGCTCGCTCGGCTGTAGCTCGCTCATGACGCGCAGAAATGTCGTGGTCTGCGCCTCGAAGAAGGCATAGATACTCTGCGTAATCTCTTGGTTGACGTGCTCCCGGTCTTCAGAGAACTCGCGCAGGATGGCAGCCGTGACCCAGAGGAACGCGCCTTGTCTCGACGCAGCGAAGCCGCCGGCCAGCTTGTTGGCCATCTCCGGCAGCAGGGGCGTCATGGCAGTGCGGTAGGAGATGATCATGTTTCGCCAGCAGCGGCAGATCCTCTCGCAAATCGGAACGAAGCCCATGAAGTTGTCCAGAATTGTTGCCAACACGGGGAAGACCTCCTGCCAGTACTTGACCGCCGGGTTCTCCTCGCCAGGTCCGACATACGGCACAACGATCTGAATGAAGATGGTAATGAGCTGGAGGTGGTCTAAAGGCTGGTTAGTCATATGTCCCCGAAGATGCACTTATATGAAACCTACCTGCGAGCGCCAGCTTGCCCTTGTCATCGGTCGCAAGGTTGGCCTTGTTCATCAGCCGCTGCACCAACGGGTCGCAGTAAAGCTTGAGCAGCTTGTAGATCTCGGTGGGCGGCTGCACGGCAACAACGCTGGCAACGCCCTCCGTGATCTCCTCTTGACTCTGATCGGGCAGCTTGTCGAGGATCTGGTCGTAGAACTCTTGCATCTGGATCACCTGGCCGCTCAAAAGCTGCTTGCAATCGGTGCAGAAGTACTTGATGGCCATGGCCGCAGCTCTGACAACTTCCTTCGAATCCGTCTGGAAAGACGTCACAATGTAGTTGAACTGCGGCTCCAGGTACTCGGGGTGGGCCGAAGTCCACTCGGTGTAGCGACCCAGTACCATGATAGTGGCAAAGCGCAGCTTCTCGTGGCTGGGAATCTGGACGAGAAGAGGCATGAGTTGAGGCAGGACAATGCTCTCTTCCTTGTCAACCATCTGTCCCATGGCACGCATGGCGAACAGGGGTGCCTCAAGCTCTTGCCAGTGAGGGACTGAAGTTGCCGTTGCCTGACCGGCGTAGCTGTGCATCCAAACCTTGATGGCCTCGAGCACCTTTGTGAGGCAGTCCGTCACTCCCATGACCTCGCAAGAGTCCTTGAGAGTGTCGCCCATCTGGTGTCTGAATTCGCGGAATTTCTCCTCGGCCTCGCGGTCACCGTCGAAAAGATCTGTCTCGCTCGCAGACTCGGACTGCGGGTATCGCAGGTGTGTGAGCAAGATGTCGACCAACTTCGAGTAAATGTCCACCAGCTCCAGTCTGGCCTGAATGTAGCGCTCCAGAACAATGTACTGCTTTAGCTCGTACCAGAACTGGAACGTGTGCTCAATGACATCACGGTCCTTGTCTCTGGCGGCGCATTCGAGAACAGCGTCCACGAGAGGCCTGAAATGGCCGGGCTCACGGGCAATCGCCACGACCCAGGCCTCGGCTGCCAAGGCGAAGATTTTGGTCAGAGACTTGTAGACCTCGGTGTCCTCCTCTTCGACAACCACGGCGATTCTTTGACGCAAAGCAATAACGCGGGGGAGCAGAATCTGGATTGTCTCCAAGTTATCATCCACATCCCGTGTTTCTCTAAAGACTGTGCACAAGCATTCCGCTGCCTCCTGGGAAGCCGAATCGTTGCCCACACCGTTGAAGATGACGTCGAGGAGGGGGGAGTTGACGACGGTGCTGACGGGAACCTCGCGCAGCCATGACGTGATGCACTCCATCAGCTGCGGGTTTTGAGCGGCGGATGCTACAGGAAAGAGTCAGTCTCGACCGCAAATGGGCTCGTAGGGAGACGGGTATTACCAGAAGATTGTGAGTAGTTGATGAGCAGCTGCACGACCTGATCCGTGTTGTCACCCAGCAATTCCTTGGTCCGCTCGGAAAGCTCTTCTTCCTATCATTGCCAATTAGACTCTGATCCTTGTTGAAATCGGCCCGGTAAAACCACGTCGCGGGAAGTGAGAGGCCGTTCGATGTTTCCGTGATCCACATACAGTTAAGGTGATTTTGCGGCCTTCGGTCACCTCCTCGGGCAGTACGCGCAGGAAGTCGAGGATGGCTGCGTGGCTCTCGACGCTGTCACCGAGCGACGAGACCACCGTGGGAAGGACGTCCTTCCATGCCGTCATCTGCACCGCTAGTGTTGCCAGACAGACGCAAAGCTGGACTCGTATCGGCTTGGGGCCGGCGGCGAAGCCTTTGAGGAGGAGAAGGATTTGATCCCGCAACGCAGGGAGTTCGGCTTCTGGGACTTGCGTCGAAAGGTCGTAGGTGATCTGGAAAACGCCATGGTGAGCTCGCTGTCGCATCAAGTACCGCCGCACCTATCTACCTTTCCGCGCAACGTGATGGCCGCAAAGAGCTGGGCCTCGGGCTCTGCGCTGTCCTTGAGAATACCAAAGATGGTGCTCCAGGCAGAGTTCTGCAGACATTCGTTAGCAAGAGTGTTGGTCATTCGCTCCGTGTCCGGGTGTCCTGACAGATTTCTGGAACCGTTCCAAGTAGGCGTGCGCCTTCTTCTTGTTCTCTTGCTCGCCACCACGCATCGTAACCATAGCCGATAGGACATCCTGGGGCGCAAAGGCCTCCGAAGCACCGTTCGTGGCCATGATTTCGGGCCGGTGAATGTCGCGGGGGATGGATGGCGCGGGCAACCAAGAGCGATTTCGGTGTGAGGTGGCAGTTTAGGAAGGTGGCGGTTGTGGTGCTATTTGACGTCGCGCTAGGGAACCGCAAGGGCGTGTGGTATAAGGAAAGTCGAAAGTCTCGCGCAGCAGAGGGAGGAGATGAGCTCTTTGCGGGCTGTAAGGAGCGTCGAGCTGCTGGGGTGGCAGATTGAAGGGCTATCAAAGCAGTGCGCCGACAATGGTCCAAAAGTGGCGGATGGAGGGGGTGGTGGAGGGAGGTTCGCGAAAGGAAAATAAAACGTCAGTCAGGCTGGCGGGACAGCGGGCGGATCAGAGCACAAGGAACCTAAGGTAACCTAACTAAACCCGGCTAAGACAGTTTTACCGCATAGCACTCTCGTAGGGCATCTCAAAGACAGACGACAGGGTACCTTAACCTGGGGACTGTGGCTGCCAGAAAGGTACTTTAGGCTTCCGCCTGAAATGGCGTGGAGGGGTAAGTATCTTTAATAACGACGGCTGTTTTCCAAGGTTATCCATACGTAGTAGGCAAGCAGAGTGTTGCAGGGGGAGGCCTGTCACTGAGAACGACGTACACATGATTGGGCCCATAATTATATGCCATGCACCAGATTCTATTCGTCTATCTGATATCGGGGGTCTGCCAGTAGGTGGAACATCGTTTCGCCCGCTCCGCCCAATTTCTCCCAGCGACTGACCGAACCTTGCGCATCGGACCTGGGCCAGGCAGAGCACCAAGCCAGCCTCTCTGCGATCTCGTTCAGCCTGCGACCAATTGCCCCACGACATTTCATCGACACGAGCCAAACGCGACCGACGAGGACCAAACGTCTGCCATCCGAGCCCGACCATCTACCCGCTTCAATTCCCGACTCACACACGCGAAAATGACTGGACGCGGAGGCGGTGGCGGTCGCAGAGTCCTGCTTCCTCCCATCAACTTCATCTTCAAGCTCCTCCAGTCAGTTCTGGTTCCCTATCCTTGGACTATGTTGTACTGACTCCTTGCAGGCAACACACCACGGTGCAAATCTGGCTTTACGAGCAGCTGTCGATCCGGATTGAGGGCAAGATTAGGGTGCGCGCGTGATCTCTCCCACCTATACGGCTCAACGCGATGGCTAACACAGGGACAGGGTTTCGACGAGTTCATGAACCTCGTCATTGACGACGCAGTCGAGGTGAAGCAGGTGACCAAGACGAACCCCGAAGAGAAGAGGAGGCCGCTCGGTATGCCGCTCCAACGCCAGAGATGTCAAGCGCGGGTTTGCTAACCTGCACGCAGGACAAATATTGTTGAAGGGCGACAACGTGTCGCTGATCCAAAGTTTGTCGAGCTAGAGAACGACTCGAGTTGAGAGGATGACGCCACGACGGCGAAGCACGCTCTGGGGCGATTGCACAAAAAGTTGATACCACGGATCTGTCACCCCGAAAGGCTAGGCGGCATGAAGAGAAGAAAAGCTATTTGTTGTGGGAACTATCTGCCGGCCTCTTGACCTCTCCGTTTCCCAAAACGAGACCATGGAGTGGTTGGTCATGCTGAGCCACGGGAATAGGTCCGTCGGAGGGTCGAGAGATGAACTGCTCCGCGAGAGCCAGGCCGTAGAGCAATACAGGACGCTTGGGAGACGACAGCTCCCCGTCATATTTTGCCGTGTACCTGCGGATGAAAAGATCATAAAAGCCCTTTCCGTGTCCAAGGCGCCGTAGTGAGCCCGAGTTATCGTCGACATCGAATGCGACACCGGGGAGTAGCATCAGGTCCAAGAAGGAGGAATCAGGGGACTCGGCACCAGGCTCGCCCAGGACCCGGTCTCTCTGGTGTACCGTCTCGGGGTCAATGCTGGGGATGCCCCATTTGTCGGGTTGCAGTGATTCGTAGTCGTGGATGTCACGCAGACGGACCATGTCCATGACCCTGGGCGGCGTCTCCCCAGGCGGGAAAGGCGACTTGTGTAAGTACGGAACGTAGACGTGCTTCCCTGCTGACAGAGCGTGGCGCACGATTTGGTCCGTCTGGATTTCGCCAAAGGGCATAGAGAGGAAGACGCTGACCCTCTGTGCTTCCACGTATGGTCTAAAGGTCTTGAGCGTCTCAAACACTGTCCGGCCTAGGAGGAGAAGGTAAGACGGCGTCGGGACGCAGCTCTGGAAGCAATGTCTTACTCTGGGTGTTGATGGATTCGTGGGCGATGAGAGCGAGCCTGTCCTTCATGACAGAACGCAGCTGGTTCTTTGCAGCTACTAGAGAAGCCATGTTCGCTTTTGAGACGACTGTGAGTCTTGAAAGCCAGCGACTGACGTGTGGTCGGTGGATCGAAGTCCAAAGATCGGTGTAAGTGAAACTCTGTAGTACTTTGGAGATGCAGGGGAGCTCCAAGTGAGGTAAGGTACCTTTGGTAGGTCGCTGAAGGGCTTTAGTTCCGATCACCGGTATACCTTGATATGCATATACCTTTTATGGAGATGATCCGGTGAGCTTATGCATCAAAGGGGTCTTTTCGGCCACTCGTGCATGCCGGCGCCTCACTGTGGCTCAGCGCGATTGACCTCCATGTAAGAATGACGTCTAGACACTGTGAGCTCTTCGGGCTCATCTTCAGCAAGCCGATGGGATACCGAGGTGTTGTCGATACTGTCTGTAAAGAGCCATGCTGCTACGCATAAACTGCAAACCTTGGCCGTGTTGGTGCTCCCCAACAGGAGTACCAAAGCCAGCCGAGCCCATAATCACAAAGCAACACGCAGTCAGTGGGCTAGGAACCGACCGGTTGGGTAGCCGCCACTGAGTAAGTCATGACGGGAGAGGCATAAGTAATCCAGCTAGGGTCGATTTGCTTTCGATAGCGAACCCGACAGCACAAAGACTCCTGCAACGGTGGCTGTGTTGGCCATTGGACGGTTAAGGGAGCTGAAGGGGGCTTGCTTGGCTGCGACTTGTATTCAAGTTCTCACCTCCACCGCGTGCTCGATATCCTGGGGAATATTGTTGACGGCTATGCACGGGCGTGTGGTCTTGGATTGGATGGCAACGAAGGGGTGCGAAACACAACCGGCTGACCTTGGGGGCGCTGGCGGACGGTCCCAGTGGTCCAGTGCCCAGTAGTAGTCCAGTGGGATGAAATAGAGGCAAGGCGCCAACCAATTTGCCAAGAGCGGCGAGAACTCACCACCCTGCTCCGTGACTCTTGTGACGGCTTCATCGGGTTTGGTGTCGTGCTTGGTATTTGGCGAGAATGCCTAGTTGGTGCAGCCTGTGTTCGTACAGGTGTATCCCGTGGTGCGGCATGAGCAAAGGGGGGGGCTTGGGTGACCTGGAGAGGTTCAATATAGGCGTCTGGTGTCTTTTCCCCGTTTGACTTTCCCCGGAAATGCAGCTGGGCATCTTGGGGCCGTCTTGGGATGGGATGGCCATGTAAGTCTGGGCTGGGCGCCTCGGCCAAGATAGGGGTGAAGGAACACGCCCTGTTGCATGGCCGTCCTCAGTCGAGCTGGTACGGCTAAGGTACGTGGACCTTCGGCTCATACTTGATCACAAGCCACAGTGGTATGGAGGGTCGGAGGGAATGTTGAAGACGGGAAGATTGAAACATTCAACGGAACAAGAGACAGACACGAGGCGAGTGTGGTCAACGGCTACCTAGGCATGGTGAAGGCAACCCCAACTGGAGAGGCGGGGAAAGAACAGACGATGGGCGAGTTGAGTGGGAGTCTGGGTACTTGTCCTGCGGCCGTTCGCCAATGCTGCTAGATGGGGCGAGTGGGTGACGGTCCTCTAAGGTGCAGCTGTCGTTGCGCCTCGAATCTCAAACGTCTGTAAGGTCGGCCGAAGGATACGGGCAGTGGAGAGCATGACGCTGAACCCAACCCCAAAGGTACTTCCATTACTTCCATTGCCCACCTGTACTGAGGCAGAGACACAGGGGAGGTAAGGTACCGCGCCGTTCCAATTGACCCCAACGACGCATCTCCCGCCAAGGTACCTCACCTTTAGGGACGTCCAACGTGCAGTCGGTACCAATGGAAACCTGGAAGGCGTCCCTTCTTACTGGACGAGGGCGGCCGCGGATGCTGGAGCTTGAGCCATCTGCAGGACTTCAGTGAGTAAGTACGTACCTCGGGCATCATGGAGCATTGGAGATCCACTCGCCCTGCAGAGGCAACCTTAGGAACCTTGCAGTGGCAGCCAAGATTTCCCCCAAGCTCCCCGTCTCTGCAGTCCGCCTCTGCCTCTCTGCCACTCTCGCCGCTGCGTGCCGTGGTACATACGTCCTTCACCCGTCAGGTCCTTCCTTGCCCTCTCCTCAAATTCAAATACCTTGGGTTGCCCTGCCCCTACATTGCCGACTTGCTTTCCTCAACTATCTTCTCAACACTCCTCCAACCTGACCGTGTTTCCCACCCTCTGCCAACCAAACTCATCTAGACGGGCAGAATCTCTTCCACTGTCGCAAAGGTAAAAACCGCCCTCGCGACCCGTCGCTTCCGCGCTTCGATACCCGTCTTTTCTAGAGCTTCTCCGATCCTCACACAAACAAAGTAGCCGAATCGTTACTCGCCAACGTTGCCCACCATGGCTCAGGTCCCGCCTCCCAAGTCGAAGCTCGACATCCTGCCCAGGATGCAGGCAAAGGGGCCCTTCTCCGTCCCCTCTCCCGGCGCCGAGGCCAAGGACGGCGAGACTCTGCCCCGCCGACTTCCCCAGGCCGTCCCCGACCTCATCACCGTCCCCGGCAGCGGCAAGATCACAACCACCTTCGAGCTCGTCAAGCAGAGCGCCGAGAAGTATGGCAATGCCAGGTGCTTGGGCTCGCGCAAGCTGGTCAACACCCACCGAGAGACCAAGAAGGTGAAGAAGATGGTTGACGGCGAGGAGCGCGAGGTCGACAAGCAATGGACCTACTTTGAGCTGAGCCCCTACGAATACATCACCTTCCACGAGTACGAGCGCCTTACCCTCCAGCTCGGCTCCGGTCTGCGCAAGATTGGCCTGACCAAGGCCGATCGTCTGCACCTCTACGCCGCCACGAGCCAACACTGGCTGGCAATGTCTCACGGCGCTGCCTCCCAGTCCATGCCCGTGGTCACCGCCTACGATACCCTCGGCGAAGAGGGACTCAAGTACTCCATGGTGGCTACCTCCGCCAAGGCCATCTTCCTCGACCCCCACCTGCTGCCTACGCTGGGCAACGTTCTCCAGGAGGCAAAGGATATCCGCTACGTCATCTGGAACAACCAGCACCAGATCCAGCAGACACACCTCGAGCAGCTCAAGTCTGCCCACCCCGAGATCCAGGTCATGAGCTTCGAGGAGTTGCGAAAGCTCGGCGAGGAGAACATGGTCGACCCGGTCCCTCCCGCCACCGAGGACCTGTGCTGCATCATGTACACATCTGGCTCAACCGGAACCCCCAAGGGTGTCCCCCTCAAGCACAAGGCCGTTGTGGCCGCTGGTATGTCTTTCCCCGGAATTGTGAACAGGCCCCCACTAACGAAGCAAAGTTGCCGGTGTGAGTGCCGTTGTTCAGCCCTTCATTGGCCCCGGCGACGGCCTCCTGACCTACCTCCCGCTCGCCCACATCCTCGAGTTCGTCTTTGAGAACGCCTGCATCTACTGGGGCACAACCATGGGCTACGGCAACCCCAAGACCCTGTCCGACAACTCTGTCCGCAACTGCGCCGGTGACATCAGGGAGTTTAAGCCCTCCGTCATGGTTGGTGTCCCCGCAGTGTGGGAGACTGTCAAGAAGGGCATTATCGCCAAGGTCAACGCTGGCAGCGCCCTCGTCAAGACTTTGTTCTGGAACGCTCTGTCTGCCAAGCAGCACATGATGAGCCTTGGTGTTCCCGGCACCGGCGTGCTCGATTCCGTGGTCTTCAAGAAGCTCAAGGAGGCCACCGGTGGTCGTCTCAAGCTTTGCATGAACGGAGGTGGTCCCATTGCGAAGGAAACCCAGCAGTTCATTTCCATGGCCATCGCCCCGATGATTATCGGCTACGGTCTCACAGAGACCACGGCCATGGGCTGCCTGACGAACCCGTTGGAGTTCAGCGTCAACAACATGGGCGCGATGCCCGCGTCCATTGAGATCAAGCTGGTCGACTTTGCCGAGGCCGGCTACTACGCCACCAACAAGCCCAACCCTCAGGGTGAGGTTTGGATCCGTGGACCCTCCGTTCTGGAGGAGTACTACCAAAACCCCAAGGAGACCAAGGAGGCCATCACCGAGGATGGCTGGTTCAAGACCGGCGACATTGGCGAGTTTGACAGCCAAGGTCACCTGAAGCTGATTGACCGCAAGAAGAATCTGGTCAAGACTCTCAACGGCGAGTACATTGCGCTCGAGAAGCTCGAGTCCATCTACCGCGCTGCTGCTGTGGTTGCCAACATTTGCATCTACGCCGACGCCAACAAGGCCAAGCCCATTGCCATCATCGTGCCTGCTGAGCCGGCTCTGGTCAAGCTCGCGGAGAGCATTGGCGTCCAGGGCAGCAACCTCGAGGGGCTGGTGCACGACAAGAAGCTACAGAGCGCCGTCCTCAAGGAGTTGCAGAATGCCGGCCGCTCAGGTGGACTCTCAGGCATTGAGATTATCGAGGGCGTTGTCATGTCCGACGAGGAGTGGACACCACAAAATGTGAGCATCCTCATTTTATATTCCCAAGAAACTGCTAACCATTCACAGGACCTGGTCACGGCCGCACAGAAACTACAGCGCAAGAAGATCCTCGAAAAGTACAAGTCCGAGGTGAACAAGGCCTACGGTTCGTCTTAAGGGCGGGTCGTTTCCGTCACGTTTGATCATGTGGTTTGATCTTGTAATTCTCCCCTAATTTTGCGGCAAACGGATTGGGTTGGCTACGGGACGCTTGATATCCAGGAGTATAGTGTTGTGTGTGTGTGTGTGCGCGCGTCCAGCCTTGTAACAACGATTACCTACCTTTATCCATCAGTATCTCGGCGAGTCTTATGGGTCGAGTCAAGGATGTTTCTTTTTTTTAATCTAGCTCAGTTTCATTCCAAGTGTTCGTCTACAGGTGTAACGCGGTGCTCAATTTCATCATGCCATGTGTGATTCGTTTGCTTTACGGATTGACGTGGCGGAGACTGGGTGGTGCCGATGCGTTGTCATCCACCTGAAGCCGGCCGGGCCGAATCGGGGTCCCGGTCTCTGGGCCCAATCGGGGTCCCGGTCTCTGGGCCCGAGGATGCCGTGCCGGCGGGAGTTTCGGAGGTTGTTTAATTGTCATCATGACCCGACCGCAGGCTGTTCCCTTCCATCCGACGACTCACTCAACCTGGCCGACATTCACCGTCCACGATACGATGGGTGCGCGAGTAAAAAAAAAACATAGGTCGCAGTAAATCATTGGAATACCATTCCTGCTAGCCCTGGATAATAAAAGTCGCACCTTGATCACTGCGCGCAGCTCGCCTTGCCCAAAAACACATATAATCATGAAAACAGACCCGAGGGCGTGTGGCGGTGGTATGAGAGTCTCCCCCTGCTCCGCGCCACACTACACCAGGCCGTCGTAGAGAGACAGTGCCGACACAATGGTCTCGTCACGTTTGCTTCCCTCCTTGAACTCCTCCATGTCCAGGCTGCCGTTCTCGTCCTTGTCCATCATGCGGAAGATTTTCCGTACGCGCTTCTCGGGAGTGTCTTCGTCTTCAGGGAGCTTAACCATGGAGCCGACCTGCGCGTCGTCTTTGTCAGCATTTTGTTGGGAGGGCGGGGTGCCGTAGATTGTGAACGCAACATAAGCACCATACGTCCACTGAGAAAAGACTCACCATCTTGTAGATTGCCTCGACGATCTTGAGCATCTCATCGTAGCTAATCTTTCCGTCCCCATCAATGTCGTACAGCTGGAAGGCCCAGTCGAGTTTGTCCTCCATCTTGCCTCGGCTGGTAACACTGAGGGCGCAGATAAACTCCTTGAAGTCGATACTACCCGACTTGTCGCTGTCGAAGACGTTGAAGACATAATCTGCAAATGAACTTGGATCACCGAAGGGGAAGAATTGCCTATATATCTTCTGGAACTCTTCTTTGGTGAGCATGCCCGAGGGACAATCCTTGAGGAAGCCTGCCACGGATTGTCAGTCTCGAATTCAGTGATGGGAAAATAGACCTCGCGCGGAAACAGACGATCAAGCATGGGATCGTTGCTGACATACCCTTGTACCATTGCTGCAACTCCTTCTTGTCGAAATGGGTGGACTTCTGCAGTTCAGCTAGCTGCTCCTGGGAGAGCTTGGACTGACTAGAAAGGGAACTTGTTAGCTTGCGTCTGACGATTGAGCGCGGGTGTTCCATGTTTCCGGAGAGGCGGATCGCTTCGACATGACGTCTCCTCAGTCCATGTCTGCCACACGAGGGGACCGAAGGAAAGGCACGTTTGGTGGGCGGGCAGACTCACGATTTGCCCATGGCTAACTACGAGCCTCGACGACTACGTCAAATACGAGATCCTGAGGGGCAGTTTGGGCTGAGAATCGGCGGAAGAGCGGAATTGCGTGGTGGTGGGCGGCCTGCGTTTGTCGCGATGTGAGTCGTGGGACGGCGTCGGCGGCAAGAACACAGTGTCGTCGCTCGGAACGGGTGGGCCGATGCCGGCGCAGGCGAAAAGGCACTACTGGTCGCCGAGGAAAAGAAAAGGCGTTGAGTCGAACGGATCGTGGATTTTAGGCGACGGCGGAAGGGAGCGGCGCGTGGTCGACGACTTCAAAGGAGGAACAAGGCTGGCGACAGATGCAGAGTTGCGCTCCAAGGGCGGGGGAGGGGAAAGAAATAAAGGGCCCAGGATGCTGTCGCCTGTCGGTGGTGGTGGCCAGGCACTTTGGTGCAAGGTGCTTGCTTCTGACGCTGGCGGGGACAGGACCCGATGATTGCTCGGAAAGTTGGCGGCGGGGGGATGGGCGGCTACCTGTACGAAAGTAAAGGCGACGGTACCGAGCGTCCACAGAGTACGAGGTGGCCAAGACGTGAATAAACGGGGACGGAGTGTTGACTATTGACCTAGTTGTCGGGCTGAGCCGGGATATGGATACCTTTACGTGCGCTTTTTGGGCTGTCAGTCATAGGGAGACGGGTTTGTGAGTCTCTGTTACTTGAAATCATAAGAGGATAAATAATGAAGAGGAAGATGCTTGGTACGTCAGGTTGTAGAGTTGGATGAAGAATACGCGGGAGGTGTACACAGGAAGGGAAAAGTCGTCGGTGGAACCTGTCGTAGCCAGGTGCGAATCTGTCTCGGAAGATAAGGTAAGCAAATGTTTGAAGCTATGAGCAGGCGCCACGCACACAGGTCCAGGCACACGTAGCAGGCACGGCACGGCAGGTAACAGCGGCGGAGGCGAAGGACTCGGAAGGAGACGCAGCAATGATCAACGCGGCCGTCTGCAAAGCATCCAGGCATTGTGCCATGTGTGAACACGCCGCAGACAATCAAATGGCAGTATCTAGGTCTAAAGGCAAGGAATGGCAGTGACGGACATTGCATCCGTCCAGTGGCAGAGTGGTTACAACTTACAGGAGCTCTGCGTAGGTGCGCTATCCAGTCATGTCGCAGCGAATCCAATACTTTGGTACAGAAATGACCGGGATGCCTGTAGCGCAAGGTAGCGCTTCATTAACACCCGCCACCTGCCACATCTGTAAGGTGACGAAGGACTGGGATAATTGACTTTGCGTCGTTGAGTCCCTCAACTATGCCATCCGTCCTCGAATTCAGACCTCTCTGACTGAGCCCGTATCTTTGTGAGCAACATTTAAGATGAAGTTTATTCTTTGAATTCGAGACTTGGCTTGATTTGCCGAGGTCAATCTCAGTGTCCAAGTGCCTTAGAGCACGGTTCATTCAGGGTGTCAGAAACATGAAGAAACACCCGACACCAACGAGGAATACGCCGCGAAGCGTTGAATAGTATGTTGCGTGGCCAGGTACCATGTATCCCCTACAAACAGCCCTCGGACGATGAGTGGTCGTCAACGTCGACCTTGAGAAGCAGGGGCTTGGCGCTTCGCCCACTAAGACGTCGGCTCATGGACTCAGCCCCCAAGCCAGAACCCCAATCAGCGAGATGTCACGATTGCCACAGGGCTCACCGTCTCTCTCGCCTCGGGCTATTCGTACATGGTGTGGATGTCGACTGGGATATGTGCCCGCATGACGTTACCAAGTGTCAATCCTTGGGATTAGAAGGCACCTTCCTACGTGCCTACCTCACGCCTTGGACTGGCGTCTAAGTACCGGTACGTATCTCACACTCATCGCTCTCTCTAAGTCTCTGAGGGCTCCCTCATAGCCTTTGCCCACATCACGATCTCAGTGTCAACCACACCTTCAAGACGGCCTCCGACTAACCTCGCTTTGAGACCCTCAGCCACACTTTGTCAACTAGACTGCCACGCATCTTCAGACTCGAGCAAACTCTGCAGAGCCAGCCTCACCCTGGAAACACCACGGGGGCCCTCCTCGTCCGATCATCGAGGCTCGGCCACTCAACCACCGAAAAACTCCACCGACCGCCGGGACCCAATACTTCGTCCACTTCGGAGCCCATCACGCAAAAGGAAGCTCCCTTGGCGCGCCCCGGTCGTCGCACGAAGAAAACCGCCACCAATTCTTGTGGGCAGGAATGTAGAGCCAACGCATCATCAGGAACGCGATCCACGGTACCGGAGGCCACCACGCATGAACACCTTCCTCGAACGTCGTGTCTCGGTTTGTCAAAAGAAGTGGAATCGTTGTCGTCTTTCCAGAATACGTCAGTCATCTCAAAGTCAGAGACCCATGGTGAAGTCATGTACTCACCTTGAGCTTGGCATCACCCATTCTGCCGAGCAGCTTCTTCATGAGCTTCTCATACCACTCATCCCAGTTGCGGTCGTACTCGTTCAGCCTAAGCAGCGAGTCAATCTCATCGCTGAGATGCTCCCGCAGGACGGGCATGAACGAGTCGATGATGCCCTTGAGCTTCTCTCCGCTGTACGCCTCTTCGCCCTTTTGGACCTTGTCCAAGTAGCCCATGTACGCGTGCAGGCCGTCGTGGAAAGCTTCGTGCTGCGCGACGTTGGCCCGCATCAGCCCCGGCACGCCGGCCAGCTGTTCAATCTCGGGGAAAACATCCGTCTCTTCGGTTTCGTGGTGCTCCTCCACCATCTTGCTCCATTCTATCGCGTACGACACAAAGTCCTGGACGTCGTTGGGCGACTTCTCCACGTTGATGCACTGCAAGTAGACAGTGTTGATGATCCGGAGGATAAGATTGTGAATGATGGTCATTTCCTCAGCCATGCGGTTCACTCCTGCCGTCTTGACCCCTTTCTGTGTGCAGATGATGAGTTTCCGTCGAGCCTCGATGGCTACAAAGGGACTTACCTTGGTTCCTGCACGGGTGCTACTAATGAGCTTAAACGGCCCATCGGCCCAAGGCTTCTTGCTAGACATGGTTTGATATCGAATGTGAGCTTGTGGGACAGATGAGCGTCGCCCAAGTGAGAATTGACGCTGAGAACCTCATTTTATATCAATACCGAGCGACCTCATGTCCGCACAGCACCGCTCTTGCTATCCAGATCCACGGCGGAAGCGCTTACACGTAGCGCCAGCCAAGTAATCCTCTGGCGTAGAACCCTCTCGCAAAAAGGTGAGATGAAGGATTCAGAGTGCTGACGAGAGCACCCAACGCGGCAACACGTCGTCTTGTCAATCCAAAAAAGAGGCTTCAACCCCAGTGCTTACACTTCAGCTCGCTCTTTCATCCTATCAGCGCGCCTTCATTATCACGTCGCCCCGTCTGGTTGGCTCGTCTTAGTCCTGATGCCTTGATGGAGGTGAATCTAAGGAACGAGGACCCCCAGACGACCCCCATCACTACTTTCATCCTGATTGGCATCGAGCAAAAGGACAAGGCGTTCAATAGTGTGTATGTAAGTGTATATGCGTCACGCTCCAAAAAGCGAAGACGTGATGGTTCGTAAAGTGTCTGCCCATATAAACGCCGCAGCCGAAAACAAAGTAGAGCTTGCTTCCCGCCCAAGCCCCTGACTGCCACAAAGCGAGAGGAATTGGTGATTAACGCGCAAGGAAATGATTCAAATGCCCATGTCTCATGAAGCTTGTTTATCCTCCCAAACCAGTTCCCTTCGATGCCGTGCCCTCCATCATCGCCGTATGATAAGAAACAGAATGAACCCCCCGCCATGCGAAAAAAACCCCAAGCACGACACCCAACCCAACCCAACAATTGCTTTTTGTATCCCTCTCGCGCTCCACACATTACCCGACAACGGCCTTCATGCTGAGACTCTCCAGGAACCCTCCCAGATCCTCCTTCTTGACCTCCACCACGCAGTGCTCGAAGCTGTCTATTCGCACCCGGGCATTCGTCTCCGCCACCACCTCCTGGAACGCCGACCCGAAGCGGTTGAGGCCGTAACCCTTCTCCTTGGCGTCCTCCTCCTCTTCCTCGTCCTCCGAGTCCGAGCCGTCAGACGCCTCCGACTCGGTATCGAGCTCGTCAAAGTCGGCATCGTCATCTCCCGCCGCCCGACGCGCCGCGCGCTTCTCCTCGCGGATCTTTTGCTTGTTCCGCCGTGACTCTTCCCGCCGCTTGGCCTTCTCGTCCTTGGCCGCCTGTCGCTTCTTGGCGGCCTCGCGGTCGAGGAACGTGGTATCCGGGCCGCCGCCGCCGCCGGTGCCAACAACAAGATAGACACCGCGCTTGTCGTTGAGGCTGGCGACGACGAGGGGCGTGCCGCGTCCGCCGTGGGAGAGACGACCCGTGGTATCTTTTTCCTGCTCGACGAGGGCCTCGCCCACCCAGAGAGCGAGCTTGGTGAGCGCGGCTGGGTGGCCAAAGACGGGCACATCGGGGCCTTCCTTGACGACGCACATGCGGAACGCCCTGAGGTGCTTGATCTGTTTCTTGTTGATGAGTGACGTGCCGGTGCGGTAGATTGCGCGGTGGAGAAACTGGGCGGTTGGCAATCCTGCCTTGAGAGCATCGATGCTTCACGATGTTAGTATGTGCTCATGTAAAGTGCGCGAATCACTTACTCTTCCAAAGCGTCGTATGCTTCCCAGAAACGCGCAACCCACTCCTCTCCTTGCGCAGCGACAACCTCCTCGTCGTCCACATCCTCGAACTGGTCTTTTGGCGCTTGCGTGAGCTCGGCGACGTCGTTGTGCTTGCCCACTTCCAAAAGAGCACCAATAACGACGCCCACGTCTTGTGCGCTCAGAGTCGCCCGCCAGCCCCAGCTGCGGACAAAGCCCCAGCCGTCCTTTGCACCGGCGCGGTCTCTCCCGTCCGTGTCGACCGACGGGACCATGTCGTCCAAGTTGTAGAGAGAAGCATACTTGAGCAGCTTTGTCCGGAGCTCTCTCTTCAGCATCATGTCCATGTGCGTGTAGCTCTGCTTGCACTGAACCAGACTGACGCCCATCTTGGCCAGGAGCTTGTGGAGCCTCTTCAGACCCGTGTCGCTCCACGTCTTGAGCCGGGCAAAGAGGTACGGTGAGTGCAGCATGCTGTCGTACAGACTCCAGTGCCTGATGAGGAGGAACTTGGGCTCTGGCGACAGCCTGATGCTGGTGTCTTCGGGGCTGCGAGCCGTAGTGGGGATGATGCCCGAGTTCTCGGCAGCAGACGGACGGCCGCGGACGACTTCGGGCGGATTCAGACGTCGAACCTCGTCTCTCAGCAGCTGGCGGATACGTGCGCCGCGGACACCCATCCAGCCGTTCCCTTGTCCCCGGTCCGAGTTGCGGACGGGCACCGCGATACCTGCAGATGACCTTCCGTACAGCTCCATGGACGTGACACCAACAATAGCGAGCCACAAGAGGTCGTTGTCGTCCCGGCCGAGCTCCGACGCGAGGGAGTACATCATGGACGATATCGGCTCAGAGAAGGAAGCACCAATCTTGTAGTATTTGCGGAGGACGGTCTCCTTTTCTCTCCGCAGACGCAACAGACGTCGTCGCAGGACCCTGGCAGATGGCGCGGGCGGTGGTTGAGCAGCCGATGGGGGTTCCAGGGGATCGCTCGAGAGAACCATGCCTGCATCACGTAGAGATACGAGCCCCCTGTGGGCTGGCCGTCGTGGAGATGAGGGGATCGAGGAAGACTGCTACGTGTCAGTGGGCGTGGAAACAGAACGACGCGTTACAACTCACAGAATTGCTTCGTCTCCGCTGGTGCGGCCTATCGTCTGTGTCACTGGACTCGTCCTCCTCGTCTCGGTCCGACCAACTTTTCCGCTTCTGGCCAGCGTGTGCTGGTTCTTCAAAAAGATCCTCGTCCTCGGCATCGTCGTCCAAGTCGTCCAAGTCGTCCAGTTCCTCGCCATCGTCGTCGATTTCGGGCATGTCAAGCAATGCCAGGTAGGCTTCTTTTTCCGCGGCAAGGTCATCCTCAATGTCGCCGTCGTCAAACACAACGATACCTCCCTTGCCTGGCTTGTAGGCGCGATCAATCCGACCAGCCACTACGCCTGGCGGACACCTGGACTGGAGCGAGGCACCTTCTTCGACGGCCGGTTCCAGTGGGAAGCCACCAAATACGTTGCCCAAGTTCCACGGACGGTGCGAGTCCATGACCCAGACCTCGACACCGCCAAAGGTCACCTCCTCTCCCTCGGGTTCCAGTCCAAGCAGGCTTCCGAGATCAACCATGCCGCCCAGGCCGAGGCACACAACAACGCCTCCACTACCTCCTTGCGTCTCCATCATGGGTTGGACCAAGTCCCGGCCGGCGCGTTCGAGGTCGGCATATCCGGAGACGGGCTGGATCTTGTGGGGGATATAGTCGTGCTTCAACAGGCGGGTCAGGATTCGACATGCGCAGAGGGAATCGGGTTCGAGGGCGACGAGGACGAGAACGGGAGGGGACAGCGGGTGTCGCGTGTTCTGGAGGTGGGTGTATAGTTTGGATATCAGAGACCGTGGAAGATACATGGCTAAGAGGATTTTGACGCGTTTCCACGGTGTGTATCGAGCGGCTTCATGGGTTGCAAAATGGTTGTTTTCTCTCTTGTGTAGACGCGGTTGGGAGGGGCTCTGTGGCGGGTGCAATGGGACCGACGGCGGGTGAACGGTCGCGGGGAGTACTCGAGAGCAAGCAAAAAGGTGAAAGACTGCAAGCCGTGAGATGCGTAGGTTTGAGGCTCAGAGGATGAATGGGACGGCTCTCTAGCGTGGGGTATATCAAAGTGCAGAAGAATCGACGGTGGGTAACAAACAGTAAGTATTCTGCCTCATGGGAGCGTAAGGTGAGGTAGGGTGAGGTAAAGTGGTAAAGATTTGGTGTGGTGGTGGTGGTGGTGGTGGTGGTGGTGGCCCAGGCCCGAGTCAGAATCGAGTGATTGAGTGCAAAAGTGAGAGTGACGCGCTGGACGCGGTCTGCCAGACTTTAGCGACGCGTTTAGGTACGCTACCAGCTGTTTGCGACGTGCTGGCCTGGGAACCTGTTAAAACCACGGGAAGAAGTGGACCGTGCCGTCGGCCGAGTGCACGGATCAACCGATTGCGGGACGCCGGGACAACCCCGCCCCACTTTCAGTCGTCCGTCCTAACGCCGACGAGGACATGAAGGTTCTCACCTCCATTTCCACCTCTAGGTACCTTGCCTACCTTATCAAGTATCATTTGAAAGTGTCACTCTGTTCTCAAATCTCAAAGCTTCATGGCTTGTTGTTCTTGACCTTTCGATCAAGGTCTCCAATAAAGCGAGCACACACGAGTCCAACGGGGCGCCCCATACCTTACCTTCTCCACTTGGTCGGCTAGTCTACCCATTTTCCAGCCGACATTGGTTGATCAGCGTCCCTTCCATTGCTCTTCAAAGTACCTCACTACGGACAGGTACTCCGCATTACATATCCGTGAACCTTGGCTGGCCGTCTACGAATTGGACCACGGCGGTAACGGAGTTGTCGTCCGAAGTAGCTTTCAATGGCGCCCTCCAGTGCTACACGTTAGCATCGTGGGCTATCGGTATCCTACCCTTGGGAACCGCTTTATCTGCTTGAGATGTTCATCAGTAGATAACCCCAGCTCGTCACTGTCCGAATACACGCCACATCCCACCTGAGCACCCCGCATCACATCACTGCTCGCACCGACGCGCGCTGTGCACTACTGTGTATGTGGTGACCGCCATCGCTGAGAGACCGAAACACACTCTGCAGGCTGCTCATGCGCGACCTCCTCGAAACGGCAAAGCTTCGATCCCCTGCTTCTGCTGCTGCTCGCCCATCACAGTGGACTTGAAAGAATCGCTTCCACAGAGCTCATCGCCCCCGGGCCCTTAATGACGCCGCTCGGCCGATGATGGTATAGACACCGCTCAACATCATACATAGCCGCTACCTTGCCTCACTCGCGCCCTTGCCTGCCCACACAAACGTCTATAAGCTCGCCGTTGGATCGGCCCAGTCTCCAACGGCCTTCTATCGTGTACCTCCGCACCGCTGCCGGCACCGCATGCGGCGCTGTTTCTAGCTCGCCGTGGCCTTGGAACCAAACGGACGTTCACACCGCTCCAGCCTGTTGGCACCGGTTCAACCGCTGTGCCACCCTTCTGGGCACATTTGGTACACCAACAGCTGCAGAGAGGGGGAGCCGTTGCTTGGTGATTGGCTTACCATCCAGTTGGTACGAATTCCGATTCCTAGTACCAGGTACTGTTCGTCTCTCAAGTTCCTCAACTCTAGTTTTCTCCCAACCCTTTTCCGCCCGCCCATTACTCTCTTCTCTAAATCCCACGTACGCGTTGTTCGTCTGGTGCGTGCAGCCAGCTGGGCTTGCCGAACGAGTCATCTGCAAGACTGACAATGCTGTGACCGTTCTCAGGCTTGTCTTGCTCGACCATTGTACGTTGGTTCGGTAGCTTCGCTCAGAAATGCGCCACCACAGAATCCAGCAGGCTTCCTCAGACCGTGGTGTTGTTGGCTCATACCGGATACTCACCGATACTTTAGAAATCACACTTACCCCATCTCACCACCAAAGGGCCACCTCAGACGCGGTGAACCGTCTCACGCGAGCGGTGTTGCCATAACCACACCCCTAGTCTGACGGCCCTCGAAAACCGTCTCCAACCCGGCCATCATGAACATGTCCAGCAGCGAGCCCATAGAGCCTGCTCCGCCAAACACGTTGGACGAAGACGAAGACTTTGAGGGGTCAGACTACGGAGGATCAGACTATGGAGAATCCCTCGCCTCTTCGGGCTTCACCTCGCTCGCTTCCCGTGTGATGAAGCACTCACACGAGGGTGGAAGGTGCGTAGATGATGTCTTCTTGGCACATCCTCTTGGGAGAACGCCGAGGCTAAGTTGACATACTGTTAGACGCTATCAGTCCTTTCTGCAAGGCATCTACCCTCTTCCGAATGATGAGACGGAACAGTTTCGCGAAGAGATGAAGCATCAGCTTGTAAAACGCCTCCTTGATGAGAACGACTACCTGGCACCAATCGGTGACCACCCGCAAAAGATCATGGACATCGGCACCGGCACCGGTCTCTGGGCCGTTGACAGTAAGCCATTGTTAATCACGCCGCTTGGAACTCTATAAATCTGATTCATAAAGTCGCGGACAAGTTCCCTAGTGCACACGTCATCGGCGTCGACATATCGCCTATCCAGAACTGCTATGCGCCGCAGAACGTCGACTGGAGAATCGACGACATTGAAGAGACCTGGTCGCCGCTGTACGCCAACTTGGACTTTGTCCACATGCGCTCCGTCTGTGTGACGCTTCGACAGCCAGTCAAGGTCATCCACTCGGCGTACCAGTAAGACCCCTTGTCTCTAACCGCTGAATCCAACATCTCCGCCCCTTAATCAAGTTTCTGAAATAAGTCTCTGACGTCCGTAGAAACCTCAGACCAGGCGGCTGGATCGAGTTCGAAGATGCCGGCGTCAAAATCGGGTGCGACGACAACACTCTGCCCCCAGACTACGCGCCCGCCAAGTTCATGGACAGGTTCATCAGCACCTTCAAGACGCACTACGGCTGGGACCTCGAGTTCCCCAACGTCCTGCCCGACATCCTGCGCGAGGCCGGCTTCGTCAACATCCGCTATCGCTTCTTCAAGCTGCCCATCGGGCCCTGGGCCAAGGACCGCCAGCAGCGCGAGATCGGCCTGTTCCTCAGCAAGGACGTGCTGTGGCAGCTCGTCCGCGCCGTGCTCGTCAAGTGGGCGCAGCTCGGGCTGACCAAGCAGGAAGCCGACACCATGGAACAGGACATCCGAAAGGCGTTCCACGACACACGCATACATGGATATCTTCCGTGGATCTCCGTCTGGGCCCAGAAGCCGCCCACCTGAGGCAGGACGCTGCAGCCTTTGCACTCTTGGATGAGATGTGTTTGACGGTATCCAGCCAGCCATACAATATCCCCCGGCCCGCCCGCGCAGGTCACGCAGCCGCGACAGGCGACGGCGAGGCTGCGGCGTTTCGGTACGCTTGCTAATGTCCTTTGGCTGGTGGGTTGACGTTGGTGACACGGCATGCATCGTACGGCGTGATTCGACTTGCTGGGAGTGCGGGCACGCGCACGTCTGACAGCATTCGTGTCGGCACGCTTCCTGGTCAAGCCACCATTCGCCTGGCGACAGGAATGCCCATCGTCAGTCGGCAGTCGACAGAGAGAGCAAGCAGTTCGTTCGCAGTCGTTTGCAATCGTTCGCAAGGCTGGCTTGGCGCCAATCGACGGCAAACAACGTTGTAACGTGGCCCACGCCCGTCTTTCATTCAAGCGAGAAACACTCCGGCCTCAGATCCATTTACGTGTTTGCCCCCCGGGTCGTTTACGGTTTTCTTCCATAAGTTACATACACGTCAAAATACCCATGCCTACGTACATCACGCCACTCCGCAATGACATTCGCGCTAAAGTCCCAGACCTCTTCTTTCCTCCAACCCATGAAGCGGGTGAAGAGGGCCAATGTCATGGACTCGAGCCCGACACTAAAGTTGGCTTCTGTCCAGACGCCCAGGGTCTTGTGCTTGACGTCGCGCGGCCACTGGTTGATTGGCCACTTGAACTGGATCCGCACAATATCGACGAATCCGACGCTCGCCATCATCTCGGCCGCCCTGCCGCAGGTATCCAGGAGGAAGCCCGACCTTTGGCCGGCCTCCATCATGAGCTCGTTCCATCTGCCGAGGTCGCAGTCTGGCGGGATTGTTCCATCGTCACACCTCATGGGGAAGTCGATATCCTGGATCTCAAACCAGCCCCCGGGGTTTAAGTTGCTCGAGACTATGTTAGCTGATGGGCGCCTACGGGGGGAGATGACCTACTCAAAGGCTTGTTGGTGGAAGTTTTGCCAATCCCTAAACGCGCCCGTCATCATCATACAGTGAACATAGTCAAACTTTCTAGAAAAGCTCCACTCCTCCTCGAGGTCGTCGATTTCGTAGTGCACGTTTGGCGGTGTACTGGGAGGGTCAGATCTGATCAGGCGTATTTTCTTCTTCAAACTCACAAGCCAGGCTGGACGGGCGAGAGATCTACGCCGACAACTTCGGCTTCTGGGTGTGCCTCGCCTGAGTAGAGTCAGCGAATGTGTCATATTAAAGAGAGGCCACTCGCCAAAGTCTATGGCCCACAGCCCTATGCCGCAGCCGACGTCTAGGACTCTGTGAGGATGGTGGACCGGGGCAAAGTTGAGCCTGTTTTCAAAGGTCAACTGGCAGAGCTGATATTGAAAAGCTGCGAACAGTTAGAAGTTTGTCAAGCCATGTCGGAGGAGAAGTGTACCTTGTCGATCGAGTTCTTCCTAGACACGGGAACGCGTTAGATGCAGCTCATCTGACATGTACTTACATACCTGGTCAGTGGGCAAGACATATTTCCCGTCCTTGTATCCGTGATAGATTCTTCCGTTCTCCTCGCGTGCCCGTACAATGCTTGATCGGAGTGATGCTGTCGAGGATGGCCATGCCTCGGGCTACCGTCTGTTTAAGCGTTGTTTTTGTCTGTACGCTCCCCAAATTACCTACTTCTCCCAGTGCGGAGTCTACATCACTGCCTCCAAGGCTTTGCATCTCGGCGTCGTCAATGTCCTGGGATAGACCTTAGTAAGATGCCCTCGAGATCCCAACACTCACAGACCCCTTTCCCGAGTGCTGACCTCATCTGGTTCCAGGTCAACGTTTGTCCCGTGCGGGAAAGCGATGTCTATCTGATGCATCGCATCAGGCACTCTTTCGGTCATGTCGATGGTTTGTTGTCGAGATCTGTTTCGCAGTTCTAGTAAACAAAGGGAAAACTCCAGAATTAGGAATCATCCCATCAGAGACGGAAGACTATCAAGGCGTATCAGCTTGATATTCCCTTGCCGCTGCCAAACGCCCGTTGAAAAGGGTAACGGACGACACCCGTGCCAGCGAGGGGAATCGTTCGGATGGTGTAATTCTGACGAGGCGACACAAACAAGCGGCTTCCTTGTCATTCGAGCCTTCGGCTCCGTGTCACCAAAGGCGTCGTGCTGTCAACAAATTCTAGTTGGCCCAACTAAGCACGCAGCGCATCATGGTCAGCAGTAAACGATGCGTGAGATTAGTTGAATTCCCTCTCGGGAGCCTCGCCAGACCGGAGAGCAAGCTGCTGCTGCACCTTGTTCCAACAGCAAAGCCTGATCCAACACCTTTTCAGGTGCTTGGCGCTATCCGCAGGTGGCTTCGGCCATCATGGGCACAAACATACAGTAGCGGCAGTAACAACACTGTGTGTGTTGGCGTGAACGGTGCCTTACACAAACCGTATGCACGCGTCAGCCACAGCCGGAGTTTGTCTGCTTGGAGCGTCCACCGAGCGAGCTGTCAGTGCCCAGTCAAGACACGATACCTTCCACAGGAGGAAGCAGACTTGGTTGTGGCCGACGTTGCGGCGTTTTGAAAGTCGGGAAGCGTGGCATCGTGTCATCGGCCGTCTCGCCGAGGGCCGGATGCCTGCATACAATCATGCAGAACATCGGGTGGACAGGCAAATACGGCCGGGTTTGTGGCCGCCATCAACTGTCCAAGTTGCTAGCTTGATGCTGGTGATGTGCGGCGTGGAGAACTAGGGAAATGGAAGAAAAGTCGATCACCACCACGACGAGGGTGTTCCCGGGACTGAGTGCTGTCTTTGAGCATCGGTGTAACCAAACTAGAGTGACTGCAATCCGGCTCGGGAGGGGCACCACGGGTAGCAAACAGGATAACGGCCCATGGGGAATCTCACATCGACTGTGACCACCCGTATACATGGTTGTCGGACAAGAGCTGCAGGATGGGGTTTAGCTTCAGTATTGCTGCTCATCTACCTGAGTCTTGAGTGGCATAGTACTTATCACAATTTGATGTCAAGTCATATAGACGAGTCGGGTTGAAGACATGGGACTATGGTGAATAGCCTTTTTCGCGTGCTTGGGCGAGGTTGTCGAGATACCATCTGTCTGCTTCACCGAGATGCCTGTCATATAGTAGCCTCTAGCCGGAGCCCGATGTCATGCGGGTGGAACGGGACGCTGCATATGACGGCTCACATTTCTATTTCTTTGCCAGAATGATTGAAGAAGAGCAGGATGCCCGACGGACGGAGCGGGTGGGAAAAGAGGTAAAGAGACTAGGGTGGAGGATTGGGCTACGAGACGTGGTGATATTGGTGAATGAGAAAAGCCATGATCCATTTTGCCCGATGCAGGTGCTTGGGGGACACCTTCCATTAGCCACCCTCTTCATATTCAATGGGTGATGAAGTCGGAGAATGGACGGAGGTGCGGTGTCTTTCTTCACCCCGGCTGCCAAATTCGCAGCTTCCCTTTACGAGTTGCTTGCTGCTTGCTGCGTTCTGCTTGCTCTTTCATCCCATTGCTGCGAGAAGCTCCTTCCCTGTGGTCTGTGGGTGGTGTACACTGAATCAGACAAAGGAAGAAGGCGCTCTCGTCGCCCGCCGCCTGCCGTCTACGCATACTTCTACGCTATTGCCCTCCGTAGAGGTCGCCGAGTGTCAACTGCCCAGCCAAACCTTCCTTCCCTCCTCAAGTTTACTCCATAGACTCACTCTCATCAGCATTCTCTCACTTTTCTCATCTTACAAACTCACTCACCAACTCAACCCTCGAAACTACCCCATCACCTTCAACAACCCGAGACACCATGGCGGCCATCGAGGAGCTCTCGGGCCACATCTGGAACCCGCTTCTGATGTTCCTTACGGCCCTTTTCATATATCTGGGATCCTTGAGCTACCGTTCATGGAACCGTCTCAGACACATCCCCGGACCACCAGGTGCCGCCTTGAGCAAGTGGTGGATGCTACGTAACACACTGGGTGGGCAGATGCATCTCGCTCTCAAGCGAGCCTGTGATGACTATGGTGAGTTCAAAACTCTCATCCCAGAAACACCATCAGCTCGCCCGGCTGGGTGGTTTGTTCCGGGGGCCAAAAAGGGTCTCAGACACACATGCTGCCCAGCCAGGCAACATCAACGACAAACGGCCTGTTTGTTTCGACAGGCTGCTGACAGGGAACTTTGCTTTAGGCCCGGTCGTCCGCATCGGACCCAACGACTTGGTAACCAATGACTCGGAAATCCTTCGTCGCATGTGGGCGGTTCGCTCGCCATACCGCAAGGGCGCCTTCTACGAGGCTGTTCGCTTCGACCCCACGAGGGACAACCTCATCTCCATGAGAGATGACCACGAGCACAACGAGCTGCGCGCCAAGATGGCCATTGGCGTAAGTCCGCACTGACGTCTGTGTCTTCCCAAACTCACACTGGTCCCAGTATTCGGGTAAGGAGAATGAAGGTTTCGAAACCACCATCGACGGTCAGATACAGGCCTTTATCAGACTCATCGAGGAGCGATACGTGTCTACCACTGGTGCCTTTCGCCCGATGGACCTTTGCCAAAAGGTTCAATACCTCACGCTGGATATCATCACCTCCCTTGCATTTGGCTACCACTTCGGATATATCGAGCAAGATGCCGACGTTCATCAGTACATCCACATGACCGAGCAGAGCATGCCCGTCATGATGACGCTCTCAGTATTCCCGCACCTGGCCAAACTGCTGCAGTCGCCCCTGTTCCGTCAAGCCATGCCGTCGGAGCATGACCGCGTGGGGTTCGGCAAGTTCATCGCGTGGGTAGCCCTTTTCTTTCTGGCTGTAAGAAACTAACATTATCAGTGTTGCCAAAAAGGTCGTGGCGGAGAGGCTCATGTCGGACAAGACGGCCAAGCGGCGAGACATGCTTGGATCGTTCCTCGCACACGGACTAACTCGAGAGGAGGCCGAAGGCGAGACATTAGTCCAGATCATGGCCGGTTCCGACACCACAGCGACCGCCATTCGAACGACCATGCTCTATCTGATGACATCCCCCTCATGCTACTCCAAGCTTGCCAAGGAGGTGCGAGAGGCGGCCAACGCGGGCACAATTTCATCTCCTGTGACCAACCGCGAGGCGGGCGGCCTTCAGTACCTGCAGGCGGTCATCAAAGAAGGTTTGCGGGTGTTCCCTCCCGTTACCGGTCTCATGTCAACGACGGTGCCCGCGGGCGGCGACTTCATGCACGGCATGAGCATCCCCGAAGGCACCGACATTGGCTGGACGGCGTTTGGCGTGCTACGCTCCAAGGCAGTGTACGGCCCGGACGCCGACGTGTTCCGGCCGGAACGGTGGCTCGAGGCCGGCGAGGACGAGCTAAAGGCGATGACGGCGCAGTGGGAACTCGTCTTCAAGTACGGAAAGTGGCAGTGTCTCGGCAAGACGGTTGCTCTCATGGAGTTGAACAAGGTTTTTGTGGAGGTAAGTTGCGGCGAGAACTTCCTAATTTCAAAGCAAGAGTCTAATGCCGCGTATAGCTTCTTCGCCGGTTTGACTTTGCCCTGGTCGACCCCGCCAAGTCGTGGAGTTCATTCTCGGCCGGCATATTCATCCAGTCCGACCTCTGGGTGAGAGTTCAGAAGCTTGGCTAGTCAGCTCAAAACTCGGACTTAGAAGCGCGTCGGCCGTCGACAGACGAAGGGTTTGCAGGGAACGGAAACTCTGCGTACAGTGGTGAGCCAACTAATTGGCTTATAGATTGGCATATATGGCAGAGGCAGGTTGACAATACAGACTTTCTTCGTTGAATTACGTGTGCGGACATGGCCGAGTTAACCAGGCCAAGACGCACAGGAGATGAAGACGCCCTAGTGATCGGAGGGCGTTGATCGTCTATGAAGGGAAATCCCGAAAGCGAGTGTCCGCGAACTCCGGCCATCCGAGTCATGCAGGGCGAGTTCAGGAGGGCTGAGATATTCCCGTGTGTGGTCCTCCATCATTCACGCACACAATGCGTTCAGTCAAACGAGTCACCTGGAAGCCGTCTCAAAAAGTCTGGTGATGAGGTTGTGAATGTGATCAAGTTACAGAGACACCAATGGTTAGAAGAGGTTGTTGAGGTTGGTCGCTCCCCGCACTATTGCCATCCTGTGGCTTCCCAACGCAGCTAGACCTGGGGAGCGGACTTATTTCCCCATGGTCGACCAGTCTAAGCGAGCCCGATAGTCCGCGTGCTGCACGACAATCGGCCCGCGACGTTGTTCTTCTCTTCGTACTTGACACTTTACAGAATCATAACTCACTTCACAGCAATAAGGCAGTAAGAATGTCCGAAAGCTGATTAATTACTCCCGTCGAAGAAAGCGAATTGGCTTTCGCTCGCACTTGCTTGAGAAACTCTGCCAAAGCAACTCAGGGCATTAGACTTCTAGAACGAAATGACGGATCCACGACGATCCCCTATCCCCAATGCTACCCAAGAGACGCCATCCCTGTCCGCGTTCGATTTGGGATGAACACGCAGGGGTCTGCAGCACGATGATGCCAGTAATAAGCTTCGAGAGCTACTATTGTTGTTCTGTGCCCACTGCCCAGCTAGGCCCGCACTTTGCTATACGACTATGTCTCGGGGGCTATGTTTGGGATATAAGAGTTTCCCATCCCATCGTCGACCCGAAATGCTCTAGTCTCGCACTTCACCGAACACTTCAGAGACTGAGGAAGTAACGGCACGATCACCATGAGTCTAACAAAGACACTACTCTGTGCCGTTGGCCTCACTGCCAACGTTGCACGCGTTGCCGCTGCCGATCTCGACGACTTCATTTCAAGTCAAAGAACCATTGCGCTCAATGGTGTTCTGAGCAACATCGGACCCGACGGCGCTTCGGTTGCAGGCGCAAGCGCCGGCATCGTCGTTGCCAGCCCGTCCAAGGCCGACCCCGACTGTAAGTGTGTTCACTACACCATGTGATTCTCTTCCTGACTTTGCCAGACTTTTTCACGTGGACTCGCGATGCCGCTTTGACCATGAAGATGATTGTCGACGAGTTCATCCTCGGACACGACGAGCTCCAGGTCCATATTGAGGACTACTACAAGTCCCAGGCCGTTCTGCAGACCGTCGGCAACCCTTCCGGATCATTTCTCCCGTCTGGTCGTGGCCTCGGCGAGGCAAAGTACCTGGTTGACGGCTCGCGCTTCAACGGCGAATGGGGTCGCCCGCAGAGAGACGGCCCGGCGTTGAGAGCCATCACGCTCATCACCTACTCCCGCTGGCTCGTCGACAACGGGCAGCAAGCCAAGGCCAAGGATATCATCTGGCCCATCATCTCCAACGATCTGTCGTATACCGCCCAGTACTGGTAAGCAAGCTGGTTTCTCATGGATTTGCAGGCAGCTCACAATGATAGGAACTCAACTGGCTTCGATCTGTGGGAGGAGGTCAACGGCTCCAGCTTCTTCACCACCCAGAACCAGTACCGCGCCCTCGTCGAGGGAGCTGCGCTGGCCGAGTCGCTCGCCGTAAAGTGCACGGGATGTGAGCTGGCCCCGGACGTCCTCTGCTTTCTCCAGACGTACTGGAATGCCGCGGACGGCTACTACGTCGCCAACGTCAACACGCAGACGAAGCGCTCCGGCAAGGACGCCAACGTCATGCTCGGCTCGATTGCCGTCTTTGACGTGGCCGCGAGCTGCGAGGACCCATCCATCCAGCCGTGCCACAGCAAGGCTCTGAGCAACTTCAAGGTCTGGGTCGACTCCTTCCGCAACGGCACGCTGTACCCCGTCAACGAGGGCATCCCGCAGGGTCAAGGTGTTGCTCTCGGTCGGTACATCGAGGACACGTACTACAACGGCAACCCTTGGTGAGTTTTGCGATGATAGACCATCAAAACATTGAAGCTAACTTACTAGGTACCTCATCACTCTCGGCGCCGCCGAGTTCCTCTACGACGCAGTGGCGCAGTGGAACGCCCACGGCCAGATCAAGGTCGACACGACCTCCTTCCCCTTCTTCAAGGAACTCTACCCGACCGCCAGGGAGACGACCTACCAGAAGAACAGCAACACCACCCTCGACTACGCCGGCATCGTCAAGGCCGTCAACGCCTACGCCGACTCCTTTGTCGAGGTCGCGCAAAAGTACACACCCGCCGACGGCGCCCTCGCCGAGCAGTTCAACAAGACCACCGGGTCCCCGACCTCGGCCCGCGACCTCACCTGGTCCTACGCCGCCTTCATCACCATGGCCGAGCGCCGCGCCGGCCAGTACCCGCCCAGCTGGGTGCCTGAGATCGCGTCAGAGGTTCCCGCCACCTGCGCCGCCTCGACCACGACCGGCGTCTACGTTCCCGCCACCGCCGCCGGCGCGCCCGACGTCACGGGCTCCTGCACCGTGCCCGTCACCTTCCTCGTCAACGCCACCACCTACTACGGCGAGGGTCTCTCTCTCCTGGGCAACATTGCCGAGCTCGGCGCGTGGAACGTCGACAACGGGCAGCCCATGTCGGCGTCCGGGTACACCGCCGAGCGCCCGCTCTGGAGCGTCGACGTCGAGCTCCCCGGCGGGTCCAACGTCAGCTACGTCTACGTGCGAAAACAGAGCTGCGGCTTCCTCTACGAGGAGAGGAACCACACGCTCACGGTGCCGGCGTGCAACTCTACGCAAAAGGTGGTCACGGACGATGCGTGGGTTGGAAAGACGAATGGCTGCTAAAAAAGTACAAGTGCTGTTCGCTGGCACGTTTGAATTCATTACATCGTAATAAAGATGGTTTAAGGTCCAGGTAGAAAGACCCCAGATACTTAGATAGACCCCCTAATTTCCAAACATGTTGTTACCGTCCGCGTTGCCCATCATGCCGGGTCCACCGCCAACCATGCCGTTCCCGCCCATGGGAAACCCCCCGAAACCGCCTCCAAAGGCCCCGTACGTGTCCATGTCGTATCCTTGCATCAGGTAGCTCCAATCCATATCGATGACGTCGGCCTCGGACGGGGGCGGGTTCATCACCGGCGTGCCCGCCGTCACGGACGGCGGCGTCATCATCATGTTTTGCGGAATCTGTTGCATCGGGAGCTGCGACGCGCTGTTGTTCACCGGCGCCGCCCGACCCACACCACCCGCCTGCTGCGAGACACCGCCGCCCGGTGGAACACCGACGCTGGGCCCGCCCATGCCCATCTCCGGCCCGGGCCGGCGTCCGCCCCCACTCCCGCCCCCGTGCTGCTTCTTCCCCATCTTCTCCGCGCGCTGCCGAAGCCTCGTGATCCACATGGGCTCCTGCATCGGCTTCTTCCCAATCTGCTCCTGCCCAGCCGCGTGCGCGTCCCACGCCTTGATGAATAGGTTGCCAAACGCAATGTGCATGGGACTGTGCAGCGTGCTCATCAGACCCCTCCGCTCGTGGTTCTCGGCGATGGCGTCCCACGCGCGCTCGACCATGGTGCCCGTCAACCTGTGCCGCAGCTCCGTCACCAAGAACATGTACGCGGGGAACGGGAAGTGGAGGTACGTGTACCACTTGTATCCCCCTAGGCTGTCGGCGGCCTGGACGACGTTGTCGTACTCGATCATCTGGACGGCCTCGAGGAAGAGCGTGTCGCGCTCGTGCTCCGCCAGCGTCGTCGCCTCGCCGTTGCCCATGCGCACGAGGAACGAGATGACGCGCATCTTGCAGAGCGATTGCCGCGTCATGGTGAGAGTGAAGAAGTGTAGTGGGATCTTGGGGTCGCACCATTTGAGGTACGTGCCTTCAATGTGCGCGAAGAAGCCGTCGAGGGTGTAGACTTGGTCCTGGCCGGCCATGCGCACCGTTGAGATGGGACGCGGCGGTGCTTGGGGGCCGGTACTGGTGCCGGTGCCTCCGCCGCCACCGGCGTCCTTATCCTTGTCTCCGTGGCGTTGGCCGTCGCGCAAGGTGTCGCTGCTGATGGCCATGGCCAGCTCTGTCCGGATGAGGACGAAGAGCATCTCCGTCACGCCCTGGTGCGGGGTCGGGGCGTCCTTGCCGTTGACGTGGAGGTCTGTGTCGTTGATGTTGAGGGGCAGCTTGCAGTCGGCGGCGGTGGACAGTGCCGTCACGGTCGACCCCGTCATCTCTCCTATCCGGCGGTCGTAGCCTACAATGGTCCACCACAGCCGCCGGCGTTGCTCGACTTCGTACGGCGATAGGCCGAAGGCGGCGGCGTCGCGGTGGAGGCCCATCCGTTGGGCTATCCTCACGGCGATACCGACGAGACAGAATATTTGCCGCGGGTCGACAAACATGCGAACGGCGATCTAGCTTGTTAGCGTGCTTCTCGAATCATTTATGATGACGTACCAAGTAGAGCATATAGGCCTGGAGGACCATCGTATCACTGGTCCGCATGAAGCCCGCGTTGACCAAGGCTTGCTGAAGCGCGGTGTGGAACCTGGACAGGACGGTAGGCTTTGGCTCGTTGAACATCTTTGCCACGTCCACGTCTTCCATGGAGGTGACTGCCATGAGGTAAATGGCAAACATGAGCGTCTCGACGCTCTTTGGGATCTTTTCGAGGTTGGCGCTGGCCTCGATGATGAGGCCCTGTACCGTTGGCACATGCGTTATTTTGAGTAAGGGGTTGACGTTGTTAATGTAGATTTGCCACAGTTGAAAGATTTGGATAGGTGATGGGTGGAGATGCGTCACGGAGGCGTTTCGGCTTCCCACGATGAATGGAAAGCCGTCCTGGTTGTCGTACATCTTGTCAAAGGCGTGATGGATGGTTGAGCCGTCAACCTCGTCTTCTGACGAGTCTCGCAACAGCTCCTCGCTAGCTCGAAACTGAATCCAAGTTAGATACTAGATGTGCGGATGGCAAAGCAAGGTAAGAGAACACACCTCTTTGTGAAAGGGAAACCATTTGCTAAATGGCCTAGTTGGGATTGAGTTAGCTGACGATCAAGTGTAATGGAGTGGGCCTACGCACTTATCGGATTGTGATCTCCGACTCCCTGCCACGGAAGGGGATGTGCTCCCCTCGGGCGAGGTCTTTAGCCCCTCAAAGTCGTTCGCGAGGTCGGCATCCTCGTCGAGCATGTGGTCATCGTCAAGGTGTGTCGAGTTCCTATCGCCGGCCTTGAGCTCGGCGGCGATGGGGTCGAACTTGACGCCATTCTCCGCCAAGAGGGATTCGTACTTTTTGAGGCGGTCGACGAGATCGCGTTCCTGAAGACGTTTCTTGCGCCTTCTTGGCGGCTGTGGTGGTATTACTCGACACTCTACCCTGGCCTTGACGCAGTTGGCACACGGCTTGTTCTTGTCGCAGCGGACTTTTCGTTGCTGGCACAGCACACACGAGGTCCCCCTGGTAAGCTTCATCGCTGCCATGGGGTCGGGTTCGGGTGCGGGTGGAGGAACTGCCCTCGGTGGGGGTGGGAGCTGGGCTTCTCCCGACGACATGGTTCAGTATTATGTGGATGCCTCTCTCTTGAGATGCAACGACGACGCGACAGTCAGCCACCTTGCAGACGTGGTTCGTCGGCTGGCTTGTTCCCAACTCGGATCCGAGGGGTGACGTTTGCAGGCGAAACGTTGACGGGATGCAGCATGTGAGTCTAAAGGGTGATATCCAATGAAGAAGCACTTCCAGATGCTGCCGCCGAACCTCTTGCCAGGATCGGAGGAGGAAGCTGTATTATTGACCGAGACGCTATCGACGTGATGGTGTACAAGACGGTCCCGGGATAGGTTGAAGTGCCGTATCCTGTATGCGGGCAGTGTAGATGGCCAGGAACGAGCAGGCAAGAGCTTAGAGACGGACGATCCGGATCACAATTCGTACAAAACAATCGAGGTGGTATGACAGAGAGTATGCAAAAGTCACATGCGGGGACGTCCAGCCTATGAGACGAACAACATGACTGTCGACTTGGTCAGTTCGGTGCTAAGAATTGAGGCTCTTTGCTTAACTTGGGCCTCTCGTGCCTTCTCGTGTTGAGACCACAAAGGAAACTGAATGGTTGTAAGACGAACATCAGAGGGAGCGGGGACTGCGGTCAGCTACGTTACCCGCCCGGGACCGAAGGGGACCCATCGGCGCTGGTCTCCGCGTGGCCCGCGCCTGCGAGGAGTCAAAAGTGGCCCAAGCTCCTTCAGCTGGATTGCCTGGTGGAGACCCTTAGGTAAGCCGGAGATTGCTGCGAGATACCCGAGCACCCGGCGCTATTCCGGAAGAGGGCAAGCCCCACCCTTTGCCCGGACACAACATCGACCTCCGGTGCCCGAGCAACTGCAACGCCATGTCCGTACACCACCAAAAGACAAGGGCGAGAGCTGGGCAAAGCATCCTTCTCTGGACATCCCCATCGGCCTTGAAAAGTCGGCTTCTGGATCTCGTCATGACTTTCTTCTTGTGAGACATTCCTATGCGGGCTATGATGGCCTTGCGTGGCTTCGCGTCGCGCCCTCTGCCTGTCACACTATGCTGCCGGCCACCGCGTCCAAGATAAGCAGGCAGGACAGAATGGCGGCGATGGCCAGGCTCGCCATATATAGCGATCCTCGCCTCTTAGTTCCATGACCCCGTCCTAGTGTCTCTCCCGCCAGACGAGCTCGTGGTCCGAACGTGATCTGTAACTTGAGATCTGACCGTGCGCTCGAGAGTCCGGACGAACCTCTAGCTCCCTCCCCGTTCCATTAATCAACATTTTCCCGCTGCCAAGCCCAAAAAGATTTGCGTGTGCTGCATTCTTTGTTTACATTTCGTGGCTTCACTCGAATTTGTTCACATCGTCAGCCTGCTGTCCAAATCCCCACGACAGCTTCAACATGGCGGACGCAGGTGCGAGGCCCGTCGAGGGCGATACTGCCTCAGAGAAGACCCGTGAGGTGGAGACCTCCAACAGCTCCACGCGGACCTTGACTCCGAGAGAGAGCGACGAGCGGCAGGAGAAGAAGTCATCCGAGGAGAAGCCCATCGAACCCGAGATTGAGAGCGAGAGACCAACAGAAAAGGCAACAGTCCAGTCCTCGGCCATATCAGCAAACGAGAGCCATAACGATGTATCCAAGCAGCCAGACGTCGACGACGATGTCGATGAAAAGGCCGATATCGAAGGGGGACCACCCACGGGGTCCCCGCCCGTTTTCGATGAAGCCGAGGAAAACTTCAAGCCGAAAACCATTACCTTTTGGCTCGTCATTTTGTCTAACTTTGTAGCAATGTTTCTCGTTGCCCTCGACCGCACAATCATTGCCACGGCCATCCCACGCATCACTGATGAGTTTCAAAGTCTTGGCGACATTGGCTGGTACGGTTCAGCATACATGCTCACGACTGCGGCCTCGCAATTGGTGTTTGGAAGAATCTACAAGTTTTACAGCCTGAGGGGGTGAGTCTCGATGGTCACTGGCTCTGTACGCATGCTGACACAACGGCAGAGCATTCCTTGGAAGCATCCTCATCTTCGAAATCGGCTCGCTCATTTGCGGTGTTGCGCCGAGCTCGCCAGTGCTCATTGCGGGCAGAGCCATTGCCGGTGTCGGTTCGGCGGGCATCTTTACGGGTGCGATGATGGTCATGATTCCCATGATCCCGCTGCACAAGAGACCCATGTTTCAGGGCATCTTTGGCATGGTGTTCGGCCTGGCGTCTGTCATTGGACCCTTGGTTGGCGGTGGCTTCACGAGCAACGTCACATGGAGGTATGTTTTGTGAGCATACACACTGTGGCACAGCTAACAAGACACAGATGGTGCTTCTACATCAACCTCCCCATTGGAGGCGTGGCGTTCGTCTTCCTGTTCTTCATGCTCAAGGCTCCCAGGCGGCAGCCTCAAGAGCCGGCTACGCTGTTCCAACACTTTAAGCGTCTCGACCCCTTGGGAACACTCTTTTTCGTCCCGTCCGTTGTATCCCTTCTCCTGGCGCTAGAGTGGGGTGGATCAGAGTATGCGTGGAATGACGGCCGCATAATTGCGCTGTTTGTCGTTTTCGGCGTTGCCTTCATGGCCTTCGCTGCCGTGCAGGTCTTTATGCCCAAGACCGCCACCGTGCCTGTCAGGATCATCAAGCAAAGAACCATGCTGGCGGGTGCCTTCTTCATGCTCTTCTTGGCCGGCTCGATGATGCTGGCCGTGTACTACCTGCCCATCTGGTGTAAGTGATTTCAACTCCATCCACTGTAATGAGCGCGCTGACACCCCCCAGTCCAAGCTGTGCAGGGAGCCAACCCGGTCAACTCGGGAATCTACACCATCCCTCTAGTCCTCAGCATCGTGGTATCCTCCATTATCTCGGGTGGCGCGACGCAAAAGATTGGATACTACGTGCCGTCCATGATCCTCTGCCCGTGTATCATGTCCGTAGGCCTGGGCCTGATGAGTACTTTCCAACCAGGCATCAGTTCCGGCCACTGGATCGGCTACCAGTTCCTGACCGGGTTCGGCCTGGGCTTCGGCATGCAGACCGTCGGGCTCGCGGTGCAGGCGGTTCTCCCCAAGGAGGACGTGTCGACCGGCGTCTCCATCAGCTTCTTTGCGCAGCAGTTGGGAGCCGCCATCTTCGTCTCCGTCGGGCAGTCGATCCTCAGCAACCTGCTCGTGTCGGAGCTCTCGGGCATCCCGGGGCTGTCTGCGCAGGCCATCGTCAACACCGGTGCCACCAACCTGCACACCGTTGTGCCGGCGCAGTTCTTGGACGTGGTTGTCCGAGCGTACAACTACGCCTGCACGCGCATCTTTTTGGCTGGCATGGGGCTGTCTCTCGCGACGCTCATCTGCGCCTTGTTTATGGAGTGGAAGAACATCAAGAAGAATAAGAAGCAACAGCGGGCCAAGCAGCGTGCCAGTCAGCTGAGACCGGGAGACATGGGCGCGTAGATGAGGGTAAGGTAACGATAATGATTAGAGTATGGACACAAATTCAGTATATACAGATCAGGGTAGGTAATAATAAGTTGTTATACCATTTCAAGCTCGTAAACTACAACTGGACAGTCTCATTATGAGGCAGAACTAAAAAGAGTTCACCCCCTCGGTGGCGAATGGGGACTACATCTCTTGGTGCACATGCTGGGATTTTGTCGACTCGAACTCGGGACCTCTGAGCCTTCACCGATTAGGCTGTTCGTGGACTTCAACCACTCCACCACTCAGCCAGTTTTGACCTGACCCCCAAAGGGGCGCCCGCTGGCTGGTGATAGGAATGGGCCTGGAGGGGTATATGAGAACTTCAGCCGTGGTGTTTTCTAGATATTGGATGAATATACGTTGGGTGATTCACGAGTTGTAGTTGACTTGTTGTTGAGCAACACTGAATTGCGGGGTGGGCAGCAACTAAGCAATATTCTAGGCCACAACGGGAATAGCTCTATCGGGCATTCTATGTATAGATTCTCGTCTTCGTCCCAACTACCCGGATTCAAACACAAACACACCTCCTGATCTGGTCGCAACTCTTCAGCTTTCAGTTATCGAGTCCGTTGCTTAGACACCTAGCAACGGCCTTTGACGGAGGGTCGAGGTTGGTGGGGCCAGAAATAAAGACGAAAGAAACTCCACGCCAGTAACGACAACGGATAATGACCGAGTCGCGTCAACCTTGAGTTGGACTCGCCCCATCAATCAAATATAATTAGCCTCCGCGTTGTGGTTGACCGCGGATAACCTCCTTTGCCCGAAACTCTGCTGTCCAGCCCACAAGCTTTAGTCTCTTATAGTCAACGTCAACTCCAACCACGGCTCGGACTGGCATCCTGACCTTGGCTTGGCATCGAGCACGCCGCCAATGCTACTCAACCGGGCATGGACAAGGAGGAGGAGCTTCTCGTCATATTACTCCATGATTGACATGACTGATCAGCCCATCGCGCCGTTTCACAACCCATCTCAGCCCTAAATAGACAGAAAAAGCCCGAGATTACTAGATCTGCCGGCTGCTTCGTCACGAATGGCATCTACATCACAGGAAAGCGGCTTTGCCACGCCTACGCTAGAGAAGGCAATCATCACTGCGAAGCGAAAACGAGCAAGTAGGCCCAAAGTGCGGACCGGCTGTCTGACTTGGTAAGTCTCTCGGAACCGTTATGACCAACCTTGACTGACTCGGTGGCAGCAAGTAAGACCTCAACTTGTGCTTGGCCCCCCACCGATACTAACTAGACCCCTAGAATCAGACGCATCAAGTGCGGAGAGGAGCGGCCCGCTTGTTCGCGTTGCACGTCAACAGGCCGGGCTTGCGACGGCTACGACAAAGGCCTGCCAGTTCGGCCAAGAGACAGCGATGCTCTCGTTCCCCAGGCTCTACTCATCCGAGTCTTGTCTGAGAGTCAAAACCCTCGATTGCTGCGTCCCCTCGTTGCCGACATTGACGGCACTCACACGGAGCGCGTCTACTTCCACCGCTTCCGTCGCATGGCAGAGGCCGGCCTCTCCAACCATGTCACGAACCTCACCAGTTTCTGGAGCCGCATCGCCACCCAGCTAAGCCACTCGGACGACGCCGTGAAGCACGCCATTGTCGCCCTCGGCTCTGCCCATCACATGTATCAGACGGCCCCTCCTCGTGGCGGAGAGACGCCTCCCCGCGAGCTCGAAATCTTCACCATCCAGCAGTACGGCACGGCCATGTCCAAGCTCTCCAGCTATGCCCACGTTCCGATGAAGGACAGGATCACCGTCACGCTTCTCTGTTGCGTGTCGTTTGTCTGCATCGAGTCCTTGCGGAATAACTGGCGACCAGCGCTGACGCATCTTTCGAATGGCCTGCGCATCATTGAGAGTCTGCCCATGAGCAAGCTCAACGAGCTGCGAGACGCTGTTCCCGCTCATGCTAGCGCAGACTCCTCGGAAGACGTCTTGTCGATGGACTACATCCTGAGACTCTTCGCCACCTGGGAGATCTCGTGTGCGCTCTTTGCCGAGAACTTCAAGCCCGTTATCGCCATCAAGCTGTATGAGGGGCGAGAGCTCGACGACACGCTGCTGGATGAGTTCAAGACCATTGCGGATGCGCACCGAGCCATCGTGCAATACACGCGCGACGTGTTTGCCCTGGTCTGGCTGACAAAGGAGCAACAAGGCGACGACGAGTTCTGGGCTCGCCCCGTACCACACCGCCAACATAAGATCCTCATGGAACGGGGCAATCACCTGACGGGTCTCTTCCAACGCTTCATGGAAAGGCCTCAAGCCCCCGCGAGCGGTACCAAAGAGCATCACTCCATCTGCCTCGACATGCTCCACTACAAGTGCGCGCGTCTGATATGTCAGACGCTGCATCAGAAGCCGCACCAGAGGCAGCAGTCGCCCGACGTCGTCGCCCAGCACGCGGAGCTCGTGTCGTTAGCTGCCCTGCTACACCAAGGGCTGGTTGCCAAGCAGCGCGAAACTGGGGCAATGCCTCGGTCGTTCACGCTCGATATCGGCATCATACCGCCCCTCTACTTTATACTTGTTACCTGTCAAGATCCCGTGATCCAGGGGAAAGCTCTGGGGGTGTTGCGAAACTACCCGCAGCGAGAAAACCTCTGGGACGGCAACTTTGTGCGCAACTTGTTGGTCACTGTTGAGAATGTCAGCTACGGACCGGTCCATCCCCTGAAGGATGTCCCGCATTCACTTGCGTTTGGGAAAGGCATCCCGGCGCTCTATGAGAAGCTACAGGAGCTGCGCATCAACGTTGAGGGGGGCGATTAACCTGGGTGATATTTGTTTTTCAGATGAAATTCACAGCACAGCCTTGAGTTGAGTTGCTCTTCAACACTTCCAAGGACTGATTGAGACCCTGGAGCGTGTGTTTGGACTATTTGTTCTGTGTCGCTATGTCTTGAAATATTAGAGGCATGGTATGGGTTGTTGTGAGATCGATTGTCTGTATCTTAGGTTTAACAAACTTGAAAACCCGTTAATTCTCATTATTCTCAAATGTATAGACGTCATCGTAATTGCAAATTAGTCCTTGGCGCCTCTGTTATTGTATGTTTGACTGAAGTTGATGTTACCACCAGGTCGGTACGTACCGAAGCTAAATGCGCGGGGCAGAGCTCCCTCGCTCGACCTTCAACTCGGTCGCATCTACAACACCACGACCTCGTTGTACGAGTACTGTAACCAGCTCCCCATCACCCAATTCGGCGCAAGATGGCGACATACCCTCACGAAGTACCTGCGATCGCCGAAGAAAAGACCGGATTCGACCTAAACCTCCAGCATGGACACCAGGACCTCGTCCAGGCCGTCGCCTTCAACGCCTACGGTGACCGGTGTGCGACAGGGTCCGTAGACGGCAAGATCAAGGTCTTTAACCGCCACAAGGACGGCGTCTGGCACCACTGCGATACCTGGGGTGCCCACGGCGGCGAGATCCTCGAGGTATGAACACACGAGCCGCAAGCAAAACGAAGTCGCTGACCTCTGCCTCCCCCGCCCCAGCTCCAGTGGCTCCCACCGACAGTCTACCCGAACCTCATCGCCTCCCTCGGCATAGAAGGCCGCTTCAAGCTGTGGGCGGAAGACCCGTCAGCAGCACCGGGTCGTCGATTCAGCGCCAGCAGCCGCGCGACGACGAGCAAAGCCGCCTACGAAATGCGCTCTCCCAAATACCCCTACCGCTCCTTTTCCATGAAACACAACGAAGAGACGCGGCACACGTACCTCGCCCTGCTCTCCACCGAGGGCCGCCTGGTAGTGTACGAGAACGAACAGCCCGAAAACATGTCGGAATACACACAAATCGACGAGCTGAGCATATGCCCCAAGCCGAGCCGCGGCGAGGAAATTAGCTTCAAGGTCCGCTTCGACCCGAACCTGGACCCGTGCTACAACGCCTTGCGGGCGGGCGTGGCGAGCGACTCCTTGGGGCTGGTCGTGGCAGGCATGTCGTCGGTCAAGATCTACCGCTCGAGGGACGTGATTGCGACTTCGTATGGCGTGGCGCAGACACAACGAGAGTTTTATCTTGCCGTCGAGGTAGGCGTCCACCGCGGCCTCGTACGCGACGTGGCGTGGGCGACGGGCAATATTCGAGGGTACGACACCATCGCGACGGCGTGCCAGGACGGCTGCGTGCGCGTGTTCCGCATCGACACGCCGCACTCGGCCGACGACGGCAAGACGTGGGCCACGACGGAGCTCACCAAGCACGAAAACCACTATGCGCAAGCATCGGCAAAGGCGGGAGGGCAGACGAACGACAAGCAGCAGCAGCATCAATCGGGACTCAGCGCAAGCCTGGCAAAGTCTGGCTCGCATGCGGAACGGCATTTTTCGGGGCAGCCGGGCCAGGTGAAGCACGTTTTCAAGGAAGTTGCCAAACTCGACAGCCACCGCACGCCTGTCTGGCGCGTCGGGTTTGACGACGACGGACAGATCCTGGCCAGTACGGGTGACGATGGCAAGCTTGTGTGCTACCGGCAGACCCCGAGCGGCACATGGGCCAAGAGTTCCGAGTTGGCCATGGTCAAGACAAGAATGGCAACGGTTTGATCGTGTGATATGAATTGGGCTGGCTGATGAGCGTCACCTAGGAGGCTTGAGAGCTGTTCATGTCACCAAGGCTGAGTACTTTGAGTATTGCACCGCAAATCACCAGCCTCGTAATCACTGCGAAGCGAGGTCCTCCCAATAGCCATCAGAGGCTTGGTATACGAAGCGAACAAGGCGCAACTAGACACAACGACGGGCACGTATCAAGGAAATGATTTTGAAGTTAGATACCCTACTGAGAGGCTTCACAGCCTGCGCCGTCTAATGCAAATGACAGCCAAGCGCCCTTGATTACACATACTCTGTCTCTCTCTACCAACGATACTTGCTTTTAGTCCCCCGTTTTCCGTGTTCCGAATATTTACTTTCTGCTGCGCTTCTGTCCGCCACCACCGCCTCCATCGTCGGCCGCCTGACGCTTCCGCCCGTTCTTGCGCCAGAACTCCTTGCTCTCCTTCTTCTCCCGCGCCTCCTTCTTCTCGTCCGAGTCGGCAATCTTCTTGCGGTACTCTGCGCGCTTCTCCTCCTTCTTGGCGGCGCGCTTGGCGACCTTGTCGTTGCGGATCGTCGACAGCTGCTGCAGCAGGTTGCGCGCCGTCTTCTCTTCTTTGTTGAGCACCACGGCGCGCTTCTGCATGTACGTCTCCTTCTGCTTGCGCTGCTGCACGATCTGCGACTTGAAGGGCAGCTCGGCGGCCAGGGCGCGCGGGACCCTGAGGGGGTTGAAGTGCCGCGTCTGGCGCTCGATCTTGCGGTACTGGCTGTTCTTCTCGAGGGGCGTGTCGATGCCTTCGTCGCGGCGGACTTGGCCCGTCAGGCGCATCGCCTGCCACCCGACGAGGTTGGTGACCGGGTTGTAGAAGCGGTGGGGCTTGATCGGGTACCAGGCGCGGAGGAAGACGATGTCGCTGTAGAGGATCTTGTCCTCGAAGGTGGCGCGGAAGTGGCCCTCGGGCTTGGAGAGGGCGCGCTTGATCTGGCCGCGGACGCCCGAGACGGTCTTGATGGCGGCGCCCTCGAACTTGGCGATTTCCAGCGCCGTGTTGAACATGCCCTTGATGAAGGCCGTGTTCTTGTGGATCTTGTCGGCCGTACCCGTGAGCTTGAGCTTCTTGACGATCTCGGTCGACTCGTCGACGCTGAGGACGGTGCCGGTCGCCGCGATGCGGAAACCGGGGTTCTCGGGCGAGAAGGAGTTGAAGCAGACGAAACCCGTGCTGGGCGCAATGAGCGGGCCGTAGACGGTCGCGAAGCAGTGCGTGTGCTCGGGCGTGTACTTGAGCATGCGGTTCCTCGTCCGCGAGTCCGAGGTGCTGTAGATGGGCATGGCCTGGAAGCGGCGCCAGCCGAGGGAGAAGATGAGGGGGTCGTTGGACTTGAGGATCTTCTTGTGCCAGCGGTGCTTCTTGATGCGCACCTGGACGAAGCCGAAGCGGTCCTCGGTCGGCGACAGGCCGCCGATGATGATGGGGTTGCGCGGGTTGAACTTTTCGACAAACTCGGCCGGGACGCCCTCGAGCACAATCTTTGCGTACTTGCCGGCGCGGTAGCCCTCGACGGCCGCCCGCTGCCGCTCGTCCAGCGTCTCGAACTCGGCCTTGTTGATGTCGAGCTGCTTCTGGATGACGGCCTTTTGCGCCTCGTACCAGTCGTCCTCGCCGAACTCCTGGTCGCCTGCCGCGCCCTCCCGCCGGGCGTTGGCCTTGTCGTTCATGAACCCCTCGCGGTCTTCCTCCTCGAAGCGCAGCTTGAGCTCCTCCTTGCGCTTCGCGTTCTTTTCGCGCTCCGTGTCAAACGCTTCTTCCTCTGTGGGTTCCTCCGCGTCCCCTCCGTGCTGCTCGCCCGTCTCGAGGTCCTCAAAGACACCGTCACCCTCGTCGTCCTCGTCCTCCTCATCATCGTCGATGCCGTCAAACTCGTCATCGTCATCCCCGTCGTCGTCACGCATGCCCGCCGTGGTGAAGCGCTTCCGCAGAGCCTCGACGGCCACCGCCTGCGACCACTTCGCCGCCAGGTCTTGGTAGTCGTACACGGGTATCGATCTGTCCTCGACCTTGTCCTCCTTGTCCTGCTTGGACTTTTGGAAAAAGTCGTCGTCCTCGTCCGCTTCAATGTCTTCCTCTTCCGCGTCCTCGCCGCGCCACTTTTGCAGCGCCTCGTCGGGCGACAGCTTCTCGTCGTACATGAACCTGGCCAGGTCCGGTGTGTGGTACGAGCGTCGCTTGCCGTGTAGCTTCTTTGCGCGCTCTGCCATGTTCTCCTTCCACTTCATGGCCGCCGCCTCCTCGTCCGAGTCAAAGTCCTCGTCGTCCATGTCCTCTTCCGAGTCCTCGTCTTCGTCTTCGAGCCCCGATATTGAGCCGAGATCCGAGTCGCTGTCGGCAAAGGCAATGTCGTCTTCTTGGGCGTCCTTGTCGGCGGTTTTCCGGAACATCTTGCCCAGCTTGCCCTCGTTGAACTCCTCTTCCACGTCGGACTCGCCCTCGTCTTCCCCGCTAACGAACCCCTCGTCGTCGTCCATCTCGGCGTCGGATTCCTCGTCGCGGTCTGCGAAGCGTGCGTGGCGCTGCGTCTTCCTGCCCGTGTCCTCCTCCTCGGCCACTTGCTTCAGCTGCTCGCCTCCCCGGAAGAGCTGCACGCCCTCCTCGGTCTGGCCCAGCAGCTTCCGCTCGCCCTGAAGTCCCACGATGAGCTCCTCGCCCTCGCCGCGCTCGCCGTCCTCGGCGTCCTTGTCGAGCGTGAAACCCTTTTCTCTCGTGATCCAGATGGCGTCGCCGTCAATCTTGAGACCGCTGCGGTCGGACATTGGTGCGTAGAGCTTCTTCTCCTTCTCGTCCAGGCGTCGTCGTGTCGTCTTGCCGGTGACCTTGGCGAGGGCCTGTTCCATGGCGGGCGTCGGGCACGGGTCGGGCATGACTTCGAGGTTCGCTACGGTAAAGTCGCCCAGTCCCGGAACGTGAACTCTTTGCCCCTGCTGCGTCATGTTGGTGCCGCGCAGGTAGCCCGACAACACGATCGACCGGTCGCACATGGGGTCCTCCTCAATCTTTGTGGGGTGGGTGATGTCTCGGTAGCTGTCGATGATGGTGTACGGGTGGGAGTTTCTCCAGATCAGGGGGCGCGGGTTCTTCATGACGGACAGGAAACGGGAGAGGTTGTGGATTTCGCGGTCGGGATAACGTCCGTTCATGACACCAGAGAGATAGAACAGGTGGGCGCCCGCGTACAGCTCGCTCCACAGCCTCTTCTTGAGTCTCTTCTTGGCGTCCCTCAGCGCCTGGGGTTTCCGGAACAGGTCGAGATGCGTGAGGATGCCAAAGACGTTGCCGGGCATACCGGTGGCGGCGAGGATATTGAGGAACTCCATTGTCTCCATCTCGAACCCGTAGTTGCCGTCAATCATGAGGAGGACAATGTCGGCGATCTTGGCCATGTCGACCATGGCCTCGAGCTCATTGGGGCATTCGACAAAGGTCAATCGCTGCTTCTTGGAGGTAACGACGGTGATGGGGCCTTGGGGGTCGGACACGGTCTCCTTTGCGTATCGTCGGATCAGGGACTTGAGGAGGGTCGTCTTCCCGACACCGGGCGGTCCCACGATGGTGACCAGCCTCGGTGGCGGCTCGTCGGGGAGGCGGTCGACTTGCGGGACATGGAAGCGTCGTTCTTTGATCTGTGAGGGTACAAGTCAGTTGCTGGTATGCTATGCGAGCAAGAGGGAGGGCCGCACATCTGAAGATCTCGCGGCCGACCTGGCAAGCTTTCCGGGGTTAGAAAAGGCAAAGGCCTTGGGGTTCTTTTCTGCGCGCTCGTCAGTATTCGAATTGGCGGGCGGTCATGAGTGTAGCAGACTTACCCCCAGTGTTTTGCTTCCCCTTCTTATCCTTGGCCTTGCGGTGAGGCTTGTGTACTTGGTCCTCCATGACGGCGTTGCCCAAAGATGTTGGGAGGTCCTGCAACTACACGACGAAAGACGGGCCTTGGGTTTTTTTTTTCGTCGCAGCGCCTCGCGACTCGACTGCTATCGATCAAAAATTTGTTGCGGGTCCGAGGTGGCTTATCTAATCTGCATATCGATAAGATAAGACGTGCCCCCACTTCCTCGTGTTACCCCTCTGTGCCCCTCCCTCGGAGATCGTCGTGAGCCGACCCCACGATATGGGATCACAGTTTGTGGTATGGTCTTTACACAATGATATCTCTACTATTGTGGCCCTGCAATGTTTCATGGTATCTTGGTGTTTATGTGGAATGTCAGGCACCACGTTGGATGAAGACGTGGTGGTATACGACACGAAGTCGGCAGGAGACCCATGAATACCTTCAGTTACGAACAGAGGTACATGGAATAGGTAGAGCGACGGAGGCAGAGGGTTAGGTCAGCAATGACGGCATGGCGATGACGACCCGGTGGTGGGAGATGGTGAGAGATGGCCGGGGACGCATTGATTGGTTTCTAGGCCAAGTCACAAGACAATCCAAGGCTCCGCAATCCTCTGCGCGCACCGGCAGGATGATGCGTGAAGAAACGAGATGCATGAGGCGCCAGATCTGGTCAGTCTTTTCGCGTCTTATCTCGGCTGTGCACGTCGGACGTGTTGTGGATGCGCTCTATGCGCCATAGATGCCTTTGAGGGATGACTTGTTGGTTGTCTGGCAGGCAGATGGAGGCGACCATCTCGGCTCAAGAGGCGCGCAAAGGTGGGATGACGTATTGCGTGTGCATTAGGGGAGCAATTCCTGAACAGTAGGAAGCAAGCAGATGCTGGTGCCATCCAATGCTTTACGTACCACACAGGCGTCCACACCCACGCGGTCCAGGGCAGTAGATAGGTAGTTGCTGTGGTTGCATGGACCTTCCCCTCCACCTGCTGGGCCACCCACGAACCTTTCCGCGTCACTGTTAGTTCCCGGCTGTACGCAGTAGGCAGCCCACCTCGAGTTCCCACACCCATCCCGTCACTGTCACTGGCGTGTACCGTCTAGAAGGTAGCCCATCC